TCCAAGCGTGTTTTTCAGTTTTGCGCACGATGTGTATGTACGTGGTTACTTGTAGGGTAAAACAACAAAATAGAACCATCTGCTAGTGTGGCCAGGTAAGAATATTAAAGAAACAAACATTATTTTCAACGGAACTTTAAAATTGTGTTAGCATTGTAAAGTGTGGCCAGGTAAGAATATGGAAGAAACAAACATTATTTTCAACGGAACTTTAAAATTTCGTTAACATTGTAAAGTGTTTTTCAGATTTGCGCACGATGTGTTTTTACTTGGTTCCTTGTGGGGTAAAATAACATTGAGTGTGACCAAGGAATGGAACAACAGACCCCACGAGTAAGTCTTTACAAATCCTTGTACCGGTGCGCAAGAGAATCACTATAGAGTTTTATAAAATAAAAGTTCAACTGTTTTCGGAATCATTTGTCATAAATTGCATACATTCGTACACATTATCACTGTTTTAGGCAAAATATAGAGTATGGCTGGATTGATAAGGAATTTCTAGACTGATAAGTAGTTAGTTGAGTGAGTTGTAACCAAATATTATGGGAAGGGGGACATTCTTTTTGGTTAAGTGTAGTTACATTGTAACAGTTTTATTGGGAAGTCTTAATCAGTGAAGATTGGGCTTAGAAGGGTGACTGTCATCGCAACGAATTCCTAACAAAGGTACTGTATTTCAACCAAAATATTACCCGTTGGGAGATTTTTAAAAGGTTGTAGAGGCTCCCTCCCCCTCCCTCTCCAAAACAATTAATGGAGCAACACGGAAGTGCCAGCGCTGAAGGGAGAACCTGTTATACAAACCGTAAGTTCCGTCTTGCAATTTCGGATTGAAATTGCGATTAACGTAAATATTAAAACTTCTGATATCGGATATCACGGCCAATAATTGGATGTCATTTAAATTCAATCAAAGCGTGTTTTTCTTTAGTATTTGTCGCCAATATTCTTCAGTAATTGTCTCCAGAAAGAGTGATTTAGTTTTATCTGTGGGCCTACCGTGATCCGCTTCATACCTCAGCACGTGCCTTCAGCCCTGTTTCAAGCGCTATGTGAACATTGGGGGACGCCAAGTCCAAAGTAGAATATTCTGAAAGTGAGGGTTTTTTTGGATGGCGTTTTAATCTCACCCTTTCGCCCAAAAATAATAAAAATCGCTCCATAGAATTTGTCATTCCTTGTGTACATCATCTGAAATATTGCTTTAATTGCATTAGAAAACAACAGAGTTATCAAGTATCAAAAGTAGGGCATTTTTTGTACACGTAGTAGTGCGCCCTCTATTGGAAAAAAATTGATGACAGCAAAAAAATACGGAGTGTCCATAGGTTCGCTCGTACCCCCCGCCCTGGGCACTGGGATACTCTGATGAGCTTCACAGAATCTTGTGAAGGAAATGGCCTATGACCTATGTATAAAGCACCTGGCCGCAGCTGTTCAAGACCGCAGTAAGACAATGAGCGCAAATGCTATCCGAAATCTTCCGATAGAAATGCGCGCATTCCATACCGGATGTGATTTCTGTTTCATTACGGACCATGTGGACAAAATTTTGAGCATCGTATAATGCAATACTACCGTTCGTCATTCGAACTCCTGAGCAAGTGACGGGAATTGTAAACAACACAGATAAGATTTAAGAATTTCCTACATTATAACGCTTTTCATCAAAAATGAAACATCTCTAAACTGGAATGAATCAGTCTTTTAACGGCCGTTTCAAAACTTGCAGAGTCATGACCGTGATGACGCGCAGGTCACAGGTCACGCAAAATCCAACCAATCAGAGCGTGAATTCATCAGATATCCCAGCGTCCTGTTTGCAGGGCGGGGGTACGAGCGAAGTCCATAGGTTGCAGACCAGTAAATCGGTCCGAAATTGCCTGCGCCGGCCAAATCACGATTTGCATGCCCTCAAAATCTTCAGTATTGGAGCATGCTGTGGGCCATGAACTTGAGGATTTGTAAAATATATGGGTGGAAGCCGTGCACAGGACTGTGAGCTTGTAGTTCCGTTCAATTTGGATGAAATTGGGGCCCTAAAAGCGCTCTATTTTGCAATGGAGTGTAGGCATTGTTTTTCAAAATGGCGATGGGCTTCAGGACTATTTTCAGGGGTGATCATCTTCGGATGGAAATTTCTCCTAAAAGTCATCAGTTGACCCCCCAAAACTTGAAAAGAAAATGAAAGATGATGAAATAAGCTTTAATTTGATGTGTGTTCCGAACACCTTGGAGAGTTGTGAGTATTTTTCCCGAATTTCTGAAGTGGGAGCATTTACCATTGGGGTCTATAGAAGTTTATTTACTGGTCTGCAACCCTTAACGCTGTAATTTTTATTGTCGTAGCATTCATTTTTGTCTTTCCGTTCCCGTCATTTTCTTTGCAAACTGTTTAACGTTATAATATCAGGAAAAATTATTGGACAAAATTTAAATTCAATAAAAAAATAAAAAAATAAAGCATTCCAAATGGCAGGATTACTTTTTGAATGAAGTTTTGCCTGTAGCACTTTCAAAGTCTAGGCAGTGGCGGTTCTACGAGGGGGGGGGGGCGTAGGGGGGCTTAGCCCCCCTAAAAAGAAAATTTTGTGTAGCCCCCCCCCCCAAAAAAAAAAAAAAATTTCACAAAAAAAAATGCACAAGCAAAATGTAGGAATTTGACGTACATGGGAACGTTCTAACCCTAAATGAGAATTAGGGTGCATTTGTACACTTTTAGTTAATATAGTGTGCCTGATTGTAGGATTTTATCAGCGCTCCCCATTGAAAATATGGCACGAGCCCGCCCCCCCCCCCCCCCCCCCCCCCCCCTATTGATTTTCAGAGGCCTAAGTGTCCGGAGAAAATAACCTGTCTACATTTCAGCACGCTTCCCTGAAAAAAATCTCGATCAACCTTGCTAGCCCCCCCCCCCCCCCCCCCCAAATATTGGCTCTAGAACCGCGCCTGAATCTAGGATATGAAAGCCCAGTCATTAAGCTTTCCTTTAGTACAAGAATCATTCGGATCACTCATGTACTTTTCAAGTTACTGCAGTTTGAACGCAAACGCCGTTTTAAAGTTATTCCATGGATCACAAAAAAGGAAGTGCTCTTTCAGCAAAACGAAAACAATTATCATAGGGGTGTATGTGAATTGTTTTCCTTTTGCTGAAAGAACACGTTGTCGTTTTTGTGATCCTGGAATAGTCTGTAAAACGGTGTTTGTGTTAAATGCCGTAACTTGAAAAGTACAAGAGCGATTTGAATGATTCTTGTACTAAAAGAAAGCTCATTAATTGGCTTTCTTATCCTAGATTTCGAAAGTGCTACAGGCAAAACTTCATTCAAAATTTGGTTGTGCCATTTGGGATGCGTTTTTTTTTGTACTCACCGTGTACACCACTTGACCATTCAGCATCGCTTTTGCACGAGCAAGGACTCTTTATACCGCGCTCGCTCCATTATTATTATTATAGGTGTCATGTTTGGCAACGCGCAACATTCGTCCGTCTTCAGGGGCGTCACGCCAACGATTCCATCAACATCCGACCCGGATGATTTTAGAGTGTCTGACACGAGACTGGAACATTCACCATAGCTACAAAAGTTTAAGATTTTCATAAAAGGGGTAATTTATTTTGTTCAGTACATTTCAGGTGTTTGTAAAATTGGCAACTTACTGTAGGACCTGTGGCCGTGGATCGAGAGACCCGTGTACCACAATGATAGAGTACAGAATAAGCCTACGAACATAGAATTATTTTATTGCCTACATAGGCCTACTTTGTATATTTGACCAAAGAAGTGCAATAACAGTAAAGTTATAAATCAAATTAAATATACAAAAAAGGAACATCCGTTACAAGTTCCGGGTCAGATTTGACCCTCAACTCTCGTCAGATTTGACCCGACGTTTTTCTGGGTCATATTGACACTTTTTGGGGGTGAAAATTTTTTTTTTTTTTTTGTGTCGAAATGATACTTTTGGGGGTCCAATGGCCGGAAAGGCAAAGAAGGGTCATTTCGACCCGGAACTTTTAAGATTGATGAAGCACTTAACAAAAGTTCACAGTGACAGGCAGATCAACATCAAGAAGATACCAAGCAAATTCAAATCAATAATCTTTTCGGCTGATGAAAAATTTGAAAGCTGAAAACGTTTAAGGCTTTGACGCTTTGAAAAAATTATTAACTAGTCTTTGACGTAGGCCGAGCGCCTATTTTTAAACTGACCACGTTACACCGGTAGTATTACAAATTAATAAGTAGGTCAATCTTTATTAAAATTTAGCCTCGTATGTAGATGAATAAATTGAATTAAAAATGCTCTAGTCATGCCATGCCTTCATTTTACATGTAATAACCAAAAAGGCTTATTGCAACAACAGAAATAATAAACTTATATAATAAATATTGCAAAAAAAAAATTTTTAATCGACCAAAATCAAGAGAAAGCAAGGTAGGTAAACTACCTTCATTGTAAATCACAAATAAAGCTAAGTACATTGTCGTGAACTCATACCCAAAGCTTTGTTTTTACTTAACTGCAATTACGAGAACACTTTAATAGATTAATAGATATGAAAGGGCGCCCTCATTCAAAAGGCCAAAGCGTATTAGGGCCTGAAATAACGTCATTTTTGTCTTTGAGCTTCCGGACCCCTCTGTGACCCTTATATGGGCATTTTACACGGATTTGCCCTCTCTCTTGCTATAATTTTCGACAGAATAATTTCTAGCCGATCGAGTTTGTAAGATTTTGCTCCGAGTTCAAATAATCCACATGTGTTTCAAATTTTCAGAAGTGAGAGGCATGGGCGTCGCGAGGGGGGAAACCCACCACCCCCCACTCCCCACCCGCCCCGGAAAACGAAAAAAAAAGGAAAAAGGAAAAAGGAAAAAGGAAAAAGGAAAAAGGGAAAAGAGATGCGAAGCCATTATATTGCTGTTAATTTGATGGGGGAGGGGTAGGGCAAATGCCCTCCCCCCCCCCCTGCTCACGCTCGGAAAAATGATAAATTGAGAATATTATGAAAAAGTTAAGGAATTTTTGGGGAAATTTGCTTTCCCCTCACCCCTGGAAAAAATCCTGACGACGCCCATGGTGAGAGGTACATATGTAACACAATATTTCTCTTTTTACGTCATGCTATTTTTTTAGTTTTAATAAAATGAGATGCCAATAACCCCTAAGAAACATTCATGTTGGAATTTTATCTTGGTATTCCAAGAGAAAAAAAATGACCAGAAACCAGTTGGAAATGGGTAAAAATAAAATATTACTTACGACCTTTCACATCCGGATATTTGTTCCTAGGTATCCTTGTTCGATCGCGTTTCTTTTCACATCGCGTACTTGTGTGAGACCAAAAAAGATAACGACGCAAAGATTTACCTACATCCGATGGATTCTACTCGAGCTTGTTCCACTTATGCTTGAATGCAGTTCTTAGCAACGGTCATTTTAGATTTCTTTGTAAATGAGAATTAGTCCTTCAAGTATATTCAAAAGACTGTGTGTCCCAAAAGACATTTTATTGTCCTATTTAAAGTTTACGTTTTTACCCAATGACTGCCATTGTATTGAATTATTAACGGTTGTTTTTAAATACTCTTTCCATCCTGTTTAGGACCTAAAAGGGTCTTGCCAAATATTACTATTTAACGAAATGATTATATTTTGCGATTCTTGGTGTACATATTCATTTTATTTTTTGTAGCAATCACATTCCGACGGGCATTTAATGTTATCATTGGAGACACAGAAACTGCAAACTTCTTGACAGTAGAACTTCAACTTGTCAGTGAAACCACCTATTGATCGAGAAGGAAAGAATTCATGACAAGTTACTTTATAAATCTTCCCAAGTAAGTACATGCAACTCATGCTCTGAATGCTATCGCTTAAAAACGAAGAATAACATTATTGTTAGAAATGAAACACAAACAGACGTTAAAGATGTACTGTCTGTGCTATTTTGGAATTTCATCCCGGAAATAAATTAGTTTTTTAATTGCGATACAAAAAATAGTTCGAGTAGACTGGTTTCAGCCCCCCCCCCCCCCCCCATATCAGCATCGAAAACGTTGGAGTGGGGACCAGTCTACTCGGAGAGTGGATCTGTGTGTGCGCAAAAGCAATATAAGCAGTGAGTTCGATTACTTCCCCCGCGCTTACTCGTGCAAGCGCGACAGCGTTCGATTTACCTCTCACGTGACTTCTCGCGTTTACTCGAGCTTGGCCCAAGTGACCAACTCGCCGAGCCGGTTACTTGGGTAAGTATCCCATAAGGCCATGCAACGTCCGGCGGGCGCCTCAGGCCGTGTCCGAAAACGGGCTTCCACGGAGCATAGAGCTACAAACCCTATGTAGCTCTATGCACGGAGCTACGGCTACGAATTATTGTCAGCGCGTCCCCTCGTATTTTCACTGGGCGCCGGCGTGGACGTGCTCTAGACATAATTGATTCGGATGCAGTCTGGGAATTCGGAAAAATGTTGCAACCTGACGCCACTCCATGATTGTGTACAAAGTCTATGGAGAGTCAAGCCATTTTTTTCCTAACAAAAATGGTTATATTTCTCAGTTCCAGATTCATGTCTTATCATCATTGTTGCAATGAATGACCTTCATTGAGATGATATGAAGAAAAAAGTGGCGTCAGGTTGCAACACCCCCCCCCCCCGGAAAAGCATATAATTTCCCGGCCAATTTCGCAAAAATAGCATTCGAATTCATCTTGATAGTGGCCAATTTGAAGCGGAGTGGCGCCCTGCTGTCATTCCCGTGGTTCGTATTAGATTTCAGGCGTTCAAATTCAAAGACCTGACATTTTCATGTTTAACTCATCCTAAATTGAAATATGAAACAACAAATCTATAGGCGATAGTAAACTTAGGTGATGTTTTCCCTTCTTTTTATCGTGTTCACATAAATCTATATGTTCTTAATTCTTTATCTTTGGGTTTTTGATCTTCTGTTTTCAATTGTAATCTTGGTTATGTATTTTTTTTTATATCTCTTTAACTTTTTAGATGTTTAATCATCTTAGAGTCCCTTTTTGTCTCTCTTTATTTTGGAATGATGAGGATACTGTTTCCTGCAGGTCTGTTAGCCATCGATCTCTTGCCGTGCCAAGCATCTACATTTGAAATTCTCATGTAACGCCCAGCTGCCATGTTGATATTTCTAGTGCTTTAAGCTAACAGTGTGCACGGTGATCAGAGTATTGGCAGACTCTTTTTGGAGACAGGTTTTTATATCCATACTTCCAAATTGGAACAAAGGCACTCCTTCTAATTCTAACAAACAACGGAATGACATAAACCTATTTCGATTTCATTTGCTTACTTTTCACAAATGCCTGCTTAACGGTGAATTTGAATGACCAAACTTACACAGCTGGAAGCTCCGGCGAATTTGGATGCTCGTTTGTGCAATTTTAATATGAATGCCCTGTTGTTAAAATTGCATGATTAAAATGTGAAATCGCGTGCTTCAAATGTTAAATTGATTGGTGTTTTTAGCTAATTGAATGTTGATCTCCACATCGTGAGAAAATGAGTGATTGGTCACAAATTTGGCCGCCAAATCTGCTAACTTGGCCGGGAAAAACTACAAAACAAACAAAAAAAGGAAAAAGAAAAAAGAGAGGAAAAAAAAGAAAAGAAAAGAGGCGAGAAGTCACATTGGTGTACATGTAATGGGGGGGGGGGAATGTCCCTACCCCCTCTAAAACTGATAAATCGAGAATATGTTGAGAAAAACAGGATTTGGGGGGGGAATATGTTTCGCCCCCTATAGAAAATTATCCTGGCGACGCCCATGTTTCCAGCTCTTGTACGAAACTTTACCCGAAACCGTTCGTTTATCTAGCTCCACTGCGCATGTCTGTCATTACGCGAGGAGTCAGGCGCGAGTAAGCTGGGGGAAGTAATCGAACGCACTCAAGATAACGTTGCAGAGAGCTGCAGACGCCCAAATTAAAAACCCATTATTATAATTTATTTGAATTAAACAACACACTAGTGCAAAATTTGTAAATAGAAAAAGATCCACACGTGTTGAAGAGTACGGACAGTACATATTTAAACAGGACTTCGTTACCTCTAGAACGTAGAAAATCTGATAACTTGCATTTTAAGACTTGTATAAACTGGCGCCGGATGAAATAAAGAAATTTACCTGCGTTAGACTTGCAGTCACATGTCTGACATCCGTCCTCGTCAATCTGGTATCCATTGTCACACTTGTTGTGACAGATGGCTCGACTACAGACTATCGGGATCAGGTCTAATTGGATAAAAGAAAACATTAAAAATATGTCTTGTAAAGTTGGATTTTGTCAAGTACATGTAGGCCCAACCCACATCAACAGTTGGACCCGATGTGTGACAGTTCCAGTGATACCGTGTGAAAGAAAATCTCTTTTAGGAGTTTTGTGCATCGAGAAGAACAAGTGGAAACTCAAAGCTTCGGAAGGTCTGCAATACTGCGTATGAACTTACGCTTGGTATCGAGCGAACTGTGGCATTCGCAATTGTTTGGACGTCCTTATTACTTGGATCATCTCTGAATTGAAAAATTAAACTTAAATTAGCAAACTTACTGCAACTTCCGCACTCAAACAAACCATCGTTGCAAGTGCTGTAAAATAAAGAAATTAAGATTATCAGATTTTGGTATATTAAACTACTGATGTAAATTGTAAGGGACGTTGTTCACATTATTTTGCCTATTATGTTCTGACTGTTTGCTACTAACGTGTTGAATTTGATCCAAAGCTAGAGAGATCGGAGGTGAGTACGTATAGCCACTAGGCGATACAGCCCGAAAGTGACGAAAAAATACACGTACAAGGAGGTATGCAAACTACACTGGCAAGCCTTCATACAAACTCCCCTCCACCAGGCCAAGAAACCAAACCGATATGTTATACAGAATGGACGAGGAACCGTAGATTCGTGCTAAGAATGAAGGAGGAGAAACCAAGTCCACGGAATCTACAGTTCCGAGTCTTTTCTCTGACTTAAACTATTTTGTTCAAAACAACAAAGGTTTATTAAAATGAGTCCCATGCATCACCCCACTCTCCGTGTTTTGGAATAGGCTGAAGTGTAGATTTGTAAAATTACTCACTAATGCGTACATAATAGTCAATGTACAATGAATGGAAGGCGTCAGTATAGTTAAGTTCATGTCTCACTGCCAAAAGCAGGTCAACTTAGTAAGTCATGTCTGATAGAAACAGTTCTGAATTTTTCTTGACACACAATACCTTCAAATTTTCCAGTTCGTCAAGTGATACAGTAGGGACTATGATTCATAACAGTATATCACTTTTCAATTTGATTTCCATTTGACCTCATTCCGCAGTACAATTATGGTAAATTTACAAAAATCCAGAAACCATGGTAACTGTGGTTCGTTAAGAATCTAACAGTAACCTGTAAATTCGTGAAAATAATCTATACTTTTCACAATAGTGTGATGTCACAAAAATGGTTTAACCCCACAGATAGTATGACCCGTACGGAGTTGAGATAGGGAATAGTCAGTTAATAGATTAGGAGTCGTGTTGGGACCACCAGCCATCTACTCACTATTAGCAGGTCCCCGACACCCGTCCAGTGGGCTCACAATAAACCACATACCTATCAAATCGACAGCCCGACAGACGGACAGACTGGAAAATCCGGCCATCCAAAAAAGCCATCATCGACAGGAAGCCAGATATTCGATCAAATACCACAATTCTCACTCTCTGCATGCTAATAGCATTATGAAACAACAAAGATAGGACTGAACTACCTACCAACCACCGCACCCAAATCCGCCTTCTTTTGTCTCTTGATCAGCGTACCATTTTTGCCCTTCTTCGTCATAACATGAGCGTGGATCTGTATCACGAGATATTATAAGTGAGTTAAAGTCACTAATCTTTGGGAAACATTCCTTCTTACCTGAAAATATACCTACAATAATTTCGGTTGAAGGGAGTTTCCTTGAAAAGAAACTTGATTGAATAGCTTTACGATATATATAATATGTTTGCCATGGTTTTTAATAACTGAAACTTTAATGGTTTACCAAGTGACATCAGAGTACCTGTAACGGAGTTGTAATGACTCGAGTCAATGATGACTCGACTCGAGTCCGACTCGAGTCACAATTTTTAGTGACTCGACTCGATTCGAGTCCCTAAGGGCAAATGACTCGACTCGACTCGAGACACTGCAAGCAAATTACTCGACTCGACTTGAGTCCCTCAACAGAATGACTTGACTCCACTCGAGGAAAATAAAAGTAAAAAATATTTGCAATGACTTACGCCGGTGCCAGTTTTTGTTCGCGAATAGTGTATATACATATACATACATTAGTTGAATGGCGATCACCTGGCACCCCGTTTTTATTTTCATTAAAAGTCAAATGTGGTGTCACCACATGTAGTAGCCGGAATGTAAAATTAAAAAGCCAAAAAAATGACTTTCTCTCTGTTGTTTGTTTATTTATTGTATAGTGTTCAAATATTTGTGACTCGAATGGACTCGAGCTAATTTCTTGACTCAACTCGACTTTACTCGACTCGACTCGACTACACACTGTGACTCGACTCAACTCGACTCAACCTTCTTACCCTAACGACTCGACTTGACTCGACTCGAGTCACTTCTTTAAAATGACTCGACTCGACTCGAGTCACACAAATCAGTGACTCGTTACAACTCTGCCATGTAGTTCTCAGAAATGTGACTGTTTAATGTATGCTTTACTTCATACGAAAACTGGTTAAGCTTGTATTTCCAGCCTTCATCGCCCATGCTGGCTATTTTTCCTGTCTGAATATTTAACAGAAAAATCCTTACGTTCGCACTTATCAATGCACTCCTCAGCAGTGGCGAAGTTGTTAGCATTTCCTCCGCAGCCTCCGTAGATGAACTTCACACACTGCCCCAAGTCACTGTCATAGCCCCAACTGGGCATGCGCGCACGGCATCGTCCGCGCTCCAGTGGCTCCAAACATTTATCTTTTTACCAAGAATAAAATAGAATAATCAAACATTGATTTAGAGATGCTGCCAATCAGCTTACTGTTTGTTTCTGAGTCAATCGTTTACCTACATAATAATTCAGTAAAAACAGTTGTTTATTTACAACAACAAAAAATAAACATGCTGGATGCCTGTTAGTACGTAACTCGATATCGTCGAAATCTCATAAACTCCGAATGTCAATTCAATTTAATAATAATAATGTCCATTTGCCCACACAACGTCTTGCTTTGAAACATCATGATGCATGCAATCATATGCAAAAGCATAAAAGTTGATTTAAAAATATGCTTGATATTTATCAAAAGCTCACATTGAATAGGCCCCAGCAGTGGTGCATGAAGGAAAGGGGGTCATGTTTTGAGTCATCCGCGGCACCCCCCAAAAAGGGAAACTCCCGAAGGGAAGGGGCTGGTAGTGAACGCACTAGGCGTGGTATGGCTAATACAATTTACATATCACAGATTACCGATTATTTATTCATCATGAATAAATCTGCCGAATTGGCCTCACGACTGGATGGAAACAAAATTGGTGATCCCGACCCAGACGAATCCTGTGTACGTCACTGGCAGTTATGCCTTCGAACCACACCCACAACATTTTACCACAACATTTTATTAAAGCTCAAGTTAAACGTTTCCCCTTTCTCTGTTCCAAGTCGCTAATTTTTTAATATCAAAGTATTCAATTGTTTGGAATGAATCAAAGACATCTTGGGGTAGGCGTACCAATTTTTAATGATTTTCCACCCAAAGCTACTCAACCGTCATCGTTACAGTTGAGTGCTCGAAAATAATGACGACAGACTTACTCACGTGAAACAAGTAGATTTAATTCATAACTTCGTAAACTGACTGTCGTACGTGTGACGACAAAATCGTTTACACCCAAAACTATAACTTTTACTAATTTATTCTTTTGTTCAGTCAAAAAAAAAACTTTTACACAATAAACAATTTGCTTTAAAAAAAGTCTTGGCTGATAAGCAAAATTCTATTTTAAAAGTCACCAAAAAAACACCTGTCATCTTGGATTATCAATCAGTTCAGTCACAATGCCGCTCGTCTTTATTAATTTCGACTAATTAATAGAGATGTCACTAGCAGATGGTGCATGCGTAATCATGCATGCATTGCGAAACACTAACAACCAGAGACGCGGACGTGATTGTATGCACTGGAGTGATACGAACTTCATTCTATAATGTCATCCAGCAGAGAAGTAGACGTCTGCTATTTCAGCTAGTGAAACGGTAGCTACGAATAATGCCCCCGCTGCCCCCGCTACCCCCGCTGCAAGGCAGGTTAAGCTATAACTTTGTCTTTATTAAATTTGTGTCCGACAAGGCGGATAATTTAATAACTATGGTTGGAGTGAAAACACGCCTGATGAAGGAAACATTCACCTCCAGGAATTTTCTCAGAAGAAACGATCCATACACCGTCATTTGGTTTCAGGATATGATCTAGATTTTGTGGTTACTTAAACAAAATATATTTCCTTGAGCAAACCTTTTTAGATTTTTAGAATGGCTTACCAAGGAGACGCAGTTTCGATATTTATGCATATAATTCTGACGTCAAGGGGACCAAATAGCAACCTACAGAGCGAAAAACATGTGATATAGCCTAAGTCCTTATTTTTAATTTTTCTTCAAATGGAGAGAAACTTGCTTCTTGTATCAAAAAGCTTGGGCAACCGTCACATTCCGATAATAACTTAACAATGACATTACTGTGCACATGAGGATGATCTCCACTGAACATCTCAGAAAAATGTAATTCAGGATTTGACGTCATATTTTTTTTAGCGGGGCAACTTTCAGGAATTTACACAGGAAAGAACTGTTGAAAAACATTAACTAAAAAATAAACGTTGGGAAACATTTTCGAATTAATTTTCTCGCACAACACTTCTTTTGGCCAAGGTTTCGGGACCTTTGTTAGCGTTTCGGGACAAAACCATTCAAAAAGAATACGAAAACTCAATCAAGCCACTATATGTTTTGATTTACATTGAGACATTTACAGATACATTTGGAAGGTATTCAACCTTACGGGTTGGATTAAGCAGTCTATATTGGCTGTTTATATTCAAAACGATATGCATCCATTTCAACGCACGCAATTACTCTAATTACACTCACGAAACCTTTTTCTAACAAACACCAGACGAAAATTTCAGTCATTTTTAACTGTCGTCACTCTTTCAAGACTCAAGATAATCGCAACTTTGTAGGTTCGTTAAATCGTCTAAAGGTGTAACTAACACTGACAGCCTCTTTTTTTAAAGGGGTCGCAGTCTGACAAATTGAATTTGCCCCATCGGAGAATATGATGAACTAAAACTGAAGTTAAACAATTGATGTTGGCAATTAAGTGGCACTGAATGACGACACTGACACTCATGATGGAAACGTAATGATATTACAGATTTTAATTTGTTTTCGAATAAAATAAAAATTAACCACCAGGAGACAAATTTCTATTTGGTATTTTGTTTGTTTTTCTTCGGAAAGGCTGGAGACGAGGGGCCATTTGTAGTGGTTTCAAAGATTCATGTCACAATACGATACTTACCATGTTTGTAGTCAGCAGCATTGGCGAATACAGCAAGCAGCAGTACACCCCAAAATACGTTGCCTGACATTATTGCACAGTCGTTAAGTAACGGGTACCAATGAAATATTTAAAGAAAACTGCAGAGACTAAAGACGGTGATCGAGCGAAGTTCTCTGGCCTATACCGACGATAGAAATGAAACCAGGCAGCAAGAATGCCGACATTTATTCAATCATATTTTTAGAACCGCCCACTTTGCCGACCAAGGGAGAGTCAGATGATATCACAAAAATGTCATACGCAGTGTGGTGGTTTATTCCAGTCGTTCTCCATCAGCCAAGCGGGAAGAGAATTGTCTCGAAAGTGCGTCAGATTCTCTGGCTAAATCCGTTTGATCTGTCGCCTCAAGCGTATCCTTTTAATTATGATGTCTCTTGGGGAATAAAAATGTGCCGCTTGCGGTGGAACGCGACAAATGCAAGCGAGTTTTAAATTTCATGGTGGGAATGAAGTAAACAAGCAAGAACACATTTAAAGGTGAATTTTGGTGCAATGAGCAAGCTTCATTTGCCAGTTTGTATGTTGTTTATCAGCCCAATAAAAACCTTAATGACATTTGAAAGATAAGACAGTTTAATCACGCACATACAAAGTAGCTATAACTCATCAGTCGACCTGACCCGTATTTAAAGTCGTATTCGTTTTCAAATTCATTCTAAGATAATTCGAAAAATAGTGGGTCACACAAGGCAAAAGTAACCACAGAGAGTGAGTGTGATTAGAGCAATATATTCTCACACATGTATGTTTAACTTTAATAAAGTAGTCTTTATATTTCTCAACGAGGGTCCATTTTCTAAACAAGTATTACAATTCTATGTAATATTCTCTGTATACACTAAATGAAATAGTCATCCTTTTTACATCATTTTTATGGCCCAATGTTTGTCCACACTTTATTGTCTGTACTGTCTTCCATGTCTTCATTGATGAACATAATTTTTCTTCCAGTAGGCGGACATTATACAATGCCAAATACAGTCGACTGCATAATGTCCTAATCTACTCAAAAATCGAGGGGCGGCCTGTAATAATGAAAAAATAATTACTTTCAACATATGTAAACGACCATTAAAGGGAATACAATATTTGCTCTTGTTGTAATTTTCAGAAATTGATGGATTTTGGGTGATTTTTATTTAAAGGAAATATTGTTACACTGACATTTTTCAGTTTGTGTTCGTAGATGCTTGAAAAAAACAAAGAAAAAACAATCATGTTCTAATTGTAGTCTGGCTCCATGACGCCACTCAAGTTGAAATGGAGCAATTTTTAGGCGTCGGGGAAAAGTGTTAAGTTCAGGGAACGGTTTGTACCCGTTCATAGATGTGTTATCGATTACATGCAAACAAAATTCAGACTAAATATGGTAAAAAGGGCAGTATTTGAAAACGCTGGTCGGCCGCCCAGCGTCGGAAATTGATTTAATGGACACCACTTTTCTTGAAAATGTCAGCACCAGCTGCCATGATTTTACAGGAAGCCTTAGATTGTCATTCACTAACAGTCCAGTATAAGGTATTTCATAATAATTTAGTAGTTTTAATTTTTGATGTTTGCAAATGTTGTACATTCCCTTTAAAGTTGCGTTTCATTGAATTGGTCAGTTTTAGTTGATTCGTTGTGATCTCACGAATCGCTTTGAGCTCACAGTCTCCAACCACTTGAATCATTCTAGGTGGACGATATGTCTCTCTCCGGTCGTCAATCTCAGTGGCTTTACAGCACAACCTGAGAATATGTTTGTCAAAACTTTGATGCCACGTGTTGACGTTGAGGCAAATATTTGGAATTATACATTGTAAGATTTCAATTGCTCTGTTCGTAAACGTTTTGTTCATTGCAAAGTAGATGATGGTCTTCAGTAAACTGTTAGAGTTGAGAAGCCAGTATGTACAGCGGCGGCACGCTTTTCAAACTGGGGGGGGGGGCACCAAAAAGGGACACTCGCTCAGAAAAATAGACACCTTCCGCCGGTGTGAAAGAGAAAATTGTGAGTCTATTTCCGTTTACATTGCAGTTAAGAATTGTTACAACCTTAATTCCCTTACTAAAAAAATTACAGTGTAGGTCTTTTCCTTTAATATAGCCGTATAGTGCTCTCAATTAAGGGTATTTTTTCTTACTTGAGACAGCCCTTCGGCCTCCGGCACACCCCAGGCAGTAACCTTTCTTGATACGGTCCGCCCTTGAATTTGACTATGGAGGCTTAAGCAAAGGGACTATGTTTTTTTATCGTGAGAGGCTAGTTTTCCATGTTGAGAGGGGCGCAGTTTTCACGTTGTGAGCGGGGCACTATTTGTGCTTTTAGGGGCAGTTTGTTCCATCTCGACAAGTTATCGCGAGAGGAGCACCGTTGTTTTTGATGGCGCGAGCGCGAGGGGTATTTGGGGGGGGGGGGGGGTTGGGGGGGGCACTTTTCATATCATATTGCTTTCATGTGCGCGTTTGAGGGGCAGTTTTGTTGTCATCGCGAGGGGGCACATTTATGGCCGCGAGAGGGGCACTTTGTTGGCCTGGGAAAACCTGGAGGAGTGAACTTAAAAAGTTAAAAAGTTATTTTTGTTTTAATGTAAGATGATGTCTTATAAACGTGAAACTCACTGGTTTGTGACTTCAATCCTGCTGCTGTTGCACAGTTTTAAAGCTGTTTTAACGTGTTTTCAGATGCGGTTACGATCGAGTATAAGCTTTATGTGGCCTCTCTGGACTCCCAAATATTTTGCACTAAATTTAGTCGGGCACCATTTGCAGACAGTGTTGTAGTTTTGTAATTGTGCGTCTGGGAGCCAGACTGAGGGAGCGATGGTTGTGTATCTCAACGTTATCCCCAGTGCTTACTTTATTGCCAAACTCGTTTCCAATAGTAAGTCCTTGATTGGAAACTTTCTTCCTGTATCCTGACTCGATACCGCAATTTGCTAGTAATGGATTTATATCGTGTAGTTGGTGTTAAATTCCAACGTGCATTACGTGTTTTCACGATCATGGTCGTCCACGCCTCCTCAGAAATACTCCTTTCCTTTCCAGGTTGCTCATATCATGGAGGAAGGGATATGAAATGTGATACTGCATATTGGCGGGCCAGATTGTAACATTTTAACTTTAAAAAAAACGACGTGCTTTCATAACTCACAGCGCGACGAATTGATGCTGTTTTCACCCCAGACACCGCTACAAAAACACAAACGCTAATGTAACGTTCTTCCAGGCACCAGACTACGCCTCATTTGCATACGTGTTCAAAAATCTTGCACATGCAAATGATCCAGTACCAGGGTGAGAGAGCAGGTAGTGGTGGGTGCGCACTGCTCGACACCCTGTGGACGAGGTTGCGTGTATCTGGAACCTGTAAACGCTTTTTAATTAGCTCAATTTGTAAGGAGAGTAATGACCAGCCTGGCAGCACATGCACGATGTCGGTGTCACTGTATGTATGGTCTTACGTACCGTCGTACGTAATCGTTTTCTCTAATTTTTGTCTTGATTATCCTAATTTCCCGAAGAATGTTCGTGTTGGTGGAGATCGTAAGTGGGTGCAAATTTACAAGCCTTATGGCCTTACTGAGGTCACCTCAAGCTCCACCCTGAAGGGTATTTTGAGAGTTTTAAGAGGATCGAAGCGTAATCTGCATCATCAGCCGACATTTGAACAAAAAAAGTCTTGGAGAAGATGCGTCGCTGCACGACTTTTTGGGCAAGCTCCATACCAGAAACCGGAGACTTTTTTTTCTTGCCTAATCATTGTTTTGTTTTGTCAGCAACTCGTCATTCTGTCGGTAAAATTGTGTCCGTTGGCAAATACGGCACCCGATAGCATCCAAGATCGCCGGCTCTTATTATTGTTCAAATGGTCAGACGGTGATCCACCCTCAACTATTTAATTTTTGCTGGCTGAACAATAAGAATTTTAATTGAAATTTTATAAAGTTTTTTTTTCGAATGTCTAGTCGAAAAAGCAATATATTTGATGATGTCTATTGACCCCGATAACGAGCAAATTAAACAAAGGTATCCACAATAAGTACACACGATAACATAGGGGTACCCTCAGAGTTACTTCGCGTTAACCTTTTCATGCCCTCATGACCCCCCATCCCCCCCCCCCTGCAACAATCATCACGTACATTACATTATTTACCAATTCCAATATTTCTTTAACCCTACGTTTGATGCTCCACTAAGTGTTGTCGTTTCTTCCATACTGACGAATAGGTATCACAGCGCATTTCAAGTAAAGCAAGTCTAATTCACAAGTGACAGTGGGGGGGGGGGAGTCAGTCGGGGAGTCAGTCAGTCAGTCAGTCAAGTGCAAAGGGAACTATAGGCTGGCCCATTTGGGACCAGGAAAAATAAGTCGGGGTAGAAGACAAAAACCAACACAATGTTGACCGTGCATGCATTCAGGAGTAGAACTCAGGAATTCAAGAATGCATTACCTTACCGACTCTTAAGACTTTTCTGTGATCTCAAATTTCCCGACCCATCACGGCTCCTTCCATGTCCGGTCTGTTCAACCCAAAGGTACAACACCATCAAAGCGAAGAAACGAGGCGTGCCCATAAGCCCTGGCATCCGAGTTCGCTAGTTCGTCTCTTGAACCCATACGAAGGCGGATTCCCCAGACAGCTGACCGTTCCAGTAAAAGAGTTAACCCAAAATGCTTCACACCCGTTTGAAACACTCCAGAGTCGCCCGAATTAAGTTTGATGGTTATCGCTATTCCGATGGTAAATAAATTTGACGTTTGAAACAATTATTGTAGGAGTAGGCTTCACGAAATTGCGACTGTTGCAGTCGTTTGAAACGACCCTGGAGTCCAGTCAATCGATGATATGTTTATGTATTTATTTCTACCGTCGTGGGAAGTTGTCGATCAACATCTTCTTGGGTCTGACGCCCCAAAGGAGGACCGCCCCACCCTCTTGAAAACTGTCTAGTTCCGCCGGTAAATAGAGGGCGAGCTTGCAATTTATAGACTGACCATGCAAATTATTGATGTCATACTTGACTAATACGTCGATTTGAATATTACTTCAGTTTTTTACACCCCCCCCCCTCCCCACCCACAAACAAATGGGCCAGGAAATCGTATTCCATCGTGTATACATTGTTTGTTGTTACACACTCCATTCGTTACTTAAAACAAAATGGTCGACTTCATTGATTCTTGCTTGGCAACGAATGAACAAACACATGAACAAGAAAAGAAAGATAACATGTGGGCGTGTTATAACTGGGCGTGCTGAACTCATTATGAATAATCGGAGCTAAACATTTTTGATACGCGATCATATAGCGCACTTTGAACCCACCCAGCCTGCTTCTATTGCTATAATAAGGGCGGGCTTTTCAACTTGAATTAAACATTAACTAGTTTCGGTGAGCAATCTCGTTCATGACGACATCAGAATTGTGTATAGGCCTTGTCATGCTGTCTGACATCACATACGAGCTAGCACGGGCGTGCCACATTCTTTCCGGCTAGTTTCATGATGAATGTGGGTTGTTGCACAACAGGAAAGAAAATATCCAGGTTTAACTACATTTAGAAAATCGATTTAGTGCGATTCCTTGTATTCAGAGCATCATGGCGGACATTCGTCTCGCAGGAATAATTGTGGTGATTTTGGCTTCGCTTAATGTCTCGCTTGCCCAGACAGTATCCACATCGGACCCATTTACCGCCAGTCCAGGTAGGTTTGAATTTTCCGTTCATGTAATTTTTGTAACAGAAATGGTCATCGTCGTCTATCTAGGGTGAATTTAATGTTGCCATCACCCCACTCGTCATGTAAATCTCATAAACATATGGTGCCTCTGCAATCTCGATTTAATGCTTTTGGAACCTGTCTGCACAATATTGTCTCTTAATTGACGTTGGCCAGATATTTTCCCCCATTTTTTTGAGGGGAGTTACACTTTTCTTTTATTGTGCCTTTCCTTGAAAGTGGTTGATCTTTTGTCTGTACTTCCCATTATGATATAGGAACGGCGATGTTTGTGCACGGTTTTGGCGTGTTAATTTGAATGGAAAAGCTACATGAAATAACTGACAGTTTGAGTCAAACATTTCCCAAAATAATATTCCTTTTATGGAATCGAACAGGTGTCCGCAATAATGTTGTTCATGCCCCTTACTGCTCGTTTTGGTCCCATTTGATCGGGGGTCTTAATCGTGTTTCGTCAGGTCGAATCTTCATCTGTTCATCTTTGTAAAATTCGATTATTTACAATGGAATCGAACACCTGTCCGCAACCGTTGTTCATGCCCCTTACTGCTCGTTTTCCGAGGGGTTTAACCGTGTTTAGTCAGGTCAAATCTTCATCTGTTCATCTGTGTAGAATTCGACCATCTTCATCTGTGTAGAATTCGGTTCATTTGTAAAGGAATCGAATTTTACGCCTGTCCGTAAGCGTTGTTCATGCCCCCTACTGCCATAGTTTTTGGTCCCATAGTATATCGAGGGTTTTAATCGCGTTCCGCCATCATCTGCTCCAACCGATTGTCATGCATGATCGAGCTATATTTATAGGCCATTAATACAGCAGACTGCAAAAGATGTGTAGCTTTCGTCGGTAACATAATATGAAACTAGTCAGGAGCCATCAGTTTCTATTATAATTTGCCGACCGAAACTAAAACGATACAGTACTGGAATCGCATGAGGAATTTAATTGTTTAAATATTAATATTACGAGTTTCGACACTTTGTTACAAATGCGGGTAATTTTTCGTTAAGTGCATCATTAGTCTCATGCCCTTTCAATGCGCTACATCAGAGACTATAAATACGCAGAAACGAAAGTAGGAAATATCTTTTAAAAGCTCCAACCATAGCGTTTCCTTTATTCATTCATAGAACATAGGAAATGCGTCAGAAACAAATGCGATATTGATCAAGCTTAAGTAGAGGAGTCACTGCAACTGCAATGCACGTCGAATGGGCTTAACTTAAAAGCCCAATACGCCTTTTATCTTCCGATTGTCCATACTGGTTTTGAAGTTATTTATTGATTTACTATTCTATAGGCCTATTTGTATTATAACCGTCTGCATACTTGTGTTTTACCTTAATGAGCCCTCAATAGTTATTATAAATGAGTCAAGAGTGACCACACCTTCCCATAAACGTTCTTATATGAAACCCCTCAGTTTTCAAATACCAATCAATTTAATCTCCCCTTCTGTTCCCCCTTCTTAGGCAGTTACAAATTATACAAACTATCGATATTTCTTCCGCGAGCGAAACTGCTATGCTCACGGGGAAAGGAAATATTCTTTTTTATTATTGATCTGGGACATGATAACTGCAAACATTATGTTTGTGTACATATTTCATATTATCCTGAGTTCAAGAGAGACGACGGCAGCATTTATCAGACGATGGGCTGAAGTATCTGTAATCTTCTAACCATTAATGTGCGCACATGTATTGACTTTAGCTCGCTTATATAAATCAATGTCTGCTTGTAAGCTGTCGCCAAGAGAATAAACTCTTTTGAAGTGTGGTGCTTCAGACGGTTCTTACAAGTCCCATGAACACAGAAAAGATCAAACGAGTGCATTCTACAGGGTCAGTCAAAAAACAAGAAACCCACATGCCGGGACTGTTTCATTGAAGTTCTGCATGTGTAGCACTTTCAAAATCTCAGATAAGAAAGCCCAATTCATCAGCTTTCTTTCAGTACAAGAATCATTCGAATCACTCTTGTACTGTGCAAGTTACGAAATTTTAAACGCAACCATCGTTTTAAAGTTCTGTCAACGGATCACAAATAGGGAAATGTTCTTTCAGCAAAACCAAAACAAATCACATAGGAATGTGTGTGCATGGTTTTCGTTTTGCTGGAAGAACGCACACTTTTTTGTGATCCGTGGACAGAACTTTAAAATGGTGGTTGTGTTTAAAATTCCGTAACTTAAACAGCACGTAAGTGATTTAAATGTAAAACATGATGATGATGTAAAACAATTGGGGCAAATGTTTTGATCACTTGAACCCTCTCCAAAAAAATGGTCAGACTACTCCCCCAAAATCGTTTCGTTATAAAAAAAAAAAGGGATCCATGCTCACACCCATACCCTCCTTCTAACAAGTGGAAAAGGTTGATTTTGTTTAGTAGTACAGAATACTTGATAGTGCGAAATTAAATTCTGGGTAATTTCTGGAAAAGTTCGAAATCCTTTTCTCTTGAAAAAAATTCTGACCGCGAATTTTGGTCTACGTGCCATTGCCAAGGCGCGTACAAACAAAAGCTAAGGGTGTTGCGGTGTACGTCATCAACCACAATGCTAAAAAGTTGTTCATCATGTAAAGATTGTGCAGCTTATCTGGATGTCAACGTTTTAAGGTCTGTACACTATTCATCCTGTAACGGATTTTCCAGCGGGCTGTAGCTAAGCCTTTTCTGGATTGTGCGGTCGGATCGGAAGTACAAAGGTCACAAGTACAAAGTAATGCCGAATTTTGTTGACATTCCACAACAAAAGATTGGATTGGAACACCTGCCTGTATGTCGAGGCTATTAAACGGTAGTTATAGTCAACTTGAGGCTCCTGCTCATTCTTGCCAAATATTTGCTCACCAAATACCGCTGTCGGTGTTATTACTGTGAAGTTATTAGGTCCAACAACAGGACACACCTACTATTTGTGGTTTCAGAACTCACTGGAAGTTTCGGTAATAAAATGCCGGTCCATCTTTTAGTTGAATAGTGGTCCTTGTTTCATTTTTAACACATTGGATGCAATTTCTGAGAGACAAAAAGTTGACAACCCTTTATTTTTTTCCTTTGGGGGAGGGGCAAAAGGTTGGTTGGGTAAAATAATAAATGACAAACAGAGGTTTCATCAAAAACCACATTTGTTGGGGGGCTTTTGTTTTGTTACAACGGTTGTAGAAATATTGGCAACCAATACTTCCAGCTTCACTTCAGCTGAAGTCAGGGTTGTCATTGAAGAAGTCGTTAGTTTCGTCGAAAGCGCACATATTTCAGATATTCCGTGTAACAATGTTTTAAAGAAACTATTTGACTAGAAACAGGCAAACTTGCACCCAGTTGACTAAACAGATATAGGGTCAGCTGGGTGCAAGTTCGAATGCTCTTTTATAGTCAAATTTAACTAGCGTATAAATCGTGGGTTCATATTGCATATGCCTCATGCAAAATTCCCAGATTGGTCTCTAAGGCCAAAAAAAGTCTCCGACGGTTTCCGGTATGCGCACGCGTCGCCGTAGCCATGCGTGTCGGCAAAATGAAAAAGTTTTTTTTTCAATGTAAGATGATGTCTCAAAACTGCCAAACTCACTGGTTTGACTGGAATCCTGCTGCTTCACAATTTTAACGTGTTTTTAGATGAGGTTACCATCGAGTATGAGCTTTATGTGGCCTCTCTGGACGCCATTATATTTTGCACTAAATTTAGTCGGGCACCATTTGCAGTTATCAGCCGACATTTGAAGTAAAAAAAGTTAAAAAAAAAAAAACATTGCCACACACATCAACTCAAAATATGCATGTTTAAAGCCATGTTTGACTTTTCAACATGCCGCCAGAGGGCGCTCTATCATTTGATGACGTCACCTGTAAAATTGTTGTACAGTACTGCCTAGGCAGACACTCGAATCATTGAAAGCAAGTTCGCATCTTCTGCCAATTTCAATTAATAAGGCACTTCCGGTTTGACCGGAAGGAAGGGTCAAGTGATTTTGCACTTAAAACCAAAAATGAAGACCCTGCAATATTTTATCGATTGCCATAAAGAACAAAATCAAATCTGTAGCAGTTGATTTTATATTGATTTCCAAAGATTAAATCTAGAAATCTTTGATTGCTTGTAATATGATACTTGAACACGTCATTGTGACGTCATTACCAGAAACCTCAAGAGCTATATTTACTGTGCTGTATACAGCCAAATCTTGATTATATCTATCACGGTATATTTTCTAGCAATTTTTTAAGGTTTAAAGGTCTTTTTATTGTAACTTCCGGTCTGATGACGTAATCAATTTTTTTCGCTCACAGGTGTTGTCTGCATTATGGTCATCATGTACATTAATTTTGAAGCGATTACCGCAAACTTCGCCACGGACATCAAGTGAAAATGCGTTTTTGACGTTTTTAACCTGCCGCTAGAGAGCGCTCCAACACTTCATGGCATCACCCATTAGCTTTTTTGAAAGGTCAATCCAGGCAGACACTTAAATCATTAAAAGCAAGTTCATATCTGTTTCCACTTTTAAATTATTAGGCACTTCCTGTTTCGACCGGAAAGAAGGGTCACGTGATTTTACGCGCACAGGATAAAATAAAGGTCATGTATTACCATGTCGATTCCCGCAAATTTCAGGTTCCGGTCTCTCACGGTTGATTTTATATGGAATTTCAAAGATTACATTTATTAAACGTTCAAGTGACGTCACGTGACCCATGATGACGTTATGATGACATAATTGCAAAAAACCACATGTGCGGTGGATTGGGCATTCATATATTGACAAATGAAGCTCATATATGTTTCCATTTTTCCAAACAGTTCTAGAGAAGTATTTGCTGAGAATATGCTGAGGAGAACAAAAACAGTAAATTCTTACAATAACAATAGGTGTTGGGCTCAAGGCCCAACACCTAAAAAACAAAAAAGCCGCGTCGCCGCACCATTTTTTGGTCAAGCTCCATACCAGAAACCGGAGACTTTTTTGGCCTAACCAATCGAGAAGGAAAGAATGGTTTTCAAAGTTTGGTGCTGTACAAGAATATTTCATTACTATTAGACGAGCATTAGTTGACGAGGTATTAGTTCTGAAACAAAACCATCCCTACAACAAAAACAGGTTTGGGAATAGGGTTTGCCACTTTGCTCATTTTGAACAAATTTTTCCAAAAAGTTACTTAATTTGTAACCTAATTAACCAACATACAGAGGTTTCATCAAAACTACATTTGTTGGGGGGCTTATGTTTTGTTATAATGGTTGCAGAAACATTGGCAACCAACACTTCCAACTTCACATTAGCAGAAGTCAGGGTTGTCAGTGAAGAAATCATTCATGTTTCACCGAAATGCAATCAATTTTTGGAAAACATTGATCAACAAGTTTTTTACCCCACTAAGTTTCACAGTGTCGTAACACCCATAACATCACCTTACCAAACTGACAGGCGAAAAAGGGATAAACTGTAGTAGTTGAGTGTGTCGTCTGTTTGTCATTCTGTCATCCCTTCTTGTGGCTTTATTGCGAAGATCTTCTGTGATGCTTCTAGCATTACGGCCGTTGATATCATGTGAAGCAGACTTTGGTATAAACGAAAACGGCAAATGTACTGAACGTTACATTTCTACAACCATGATAATTGCAAATAATTACCAAAGATTGTATCTTTTGAAGGTAAATCTGATACAACCTCTGCGTCGGGCACACCAACAAATGAATTCACAACTCAGCAGCCGACGACCCCAACTACTCTAAGCCTGACAACGGCACCCCTCACGTCACCAACTAACGAATCCACAGCACAGCAGCCGACATCACCAACTACTCCAAGCCTGACAACGAAACCCCTCACTTCACCAACTGACGAATCCACAACACAGCAACCTACAACCCCAACTACTCTAAGCCTGACAACAGAACCTCTCACTTCACCAACTGTCGAATCCACAACAGAGCAGCCGACAACCCCAACTACTCCAAGCCTGACAACGGAACCCCTCCCTTCACTAACTGACGAATCCACAACACAGCAGTCGACTACTACAAGCCTGACAACTGAACGTCTCACTTCAACTGACGAATCCACAACAGAGCAGCTGACAACCTTAACTACTCCAAGCCTGACAATGGAACTTCTCACTTCACCAACTGACGAATCCACAACAGAGCAGCCGACAACCCCTACTACTCCAAGCCTGACAACGGAACCTCTCAATTCACCAACCGACAAATCCACAACAGAGCAGCCGACAACCCCAACTACTCCAAGCCTGACAACGGAACCTCTCACTGCACTAACTGACGTATCCACAACAGAGCAGCCGACAACCCCAACTACTCCAAGGCTGACAACGGAACCTCTCAATTCACCAACTGACGAATCCACAACAGAGCAGCCGACAACCCCAACTACTCCAAGCCTGACAACGGAACCTCTCACTTCACTAACTGACGTATCCACAACAGAGCAGCCGACAACCCCAACTACTCTGAGGCTGACAACGGAACCTCTCAATTCACCAACTGACGAATTCAGAACTCAGCAGCCGACAACCCCAACTACTCCAAGCCTGACAACAGAACCTCTCACTTCACCAACTTACAAATCCACAACAGAGCAGCCGACAACCCCAACTACTCCGAGGCTGACAACAGAACCTCTCACTTCACCAACTGACGAATCCACAACAGAGCAGCCGACAACCCCAACTACTCCGAGGCTGACAACAGAACCTCTCAATTCACCAACTGACGAATCCACAACAGAGCAGCCGACAACCCCTACTACTCCAATCCTGACAACAGAACTTGTCACTTCAACTGACGTATCCAGAACTCAGCAGCCGACAACCCCAACTACTCCAAGCCTGACAACGAAACCTCTCACTTCACCAACTGACGAATCCACAACAGAGCAGCCGACATCACCAACTACTCCAAGCCTGACAACGGAACCTCTTACTTCACCAACTGATGAATCCACAACAGGGCAAATGAAAAACCAAACTACTATCTTCAGCACAACTACAGAACCCTTAAATAAAACATCCGAAACATACGAACCCACAGAGCAAATGGAAAACCAAACTACTATCTTCAGCATAACTACAGAACCCTTAAATATAACGTCCGAAACCTACGAACCAACAACAGAGCAAATGACAACAAAACCTGTAAATACAATAACCGAAACATACGAACCAACATCATTAATGACTACAAAACCCTCAACTACAACAACCAAACCATACCAACCCACAGAGCAAATGGAGAACCAAACTACTATCTTCAGCAATACTGCAGAAACCATCAATACTTCTCCAAAGTTCTCCGAGGAACCAATCAGGTCACCGGTGACCACGGGCATCCCTACAACGCAGAAACCAAACACGCCCAAAGATGAAATGCCAGTTTTTGAAAGTAAGTATTGCTTTGAATTGTTGGACCACATTTGTTTGAATTTATTGGCGAAGAATCTGAAGTTATAGGGAAAGGGGTTAGGGTTATTGTTGGACCACATTTGTTTTAATTTATTGGCAAAGAATCTGAAGTTATGGGGAAATTTGTCTGCGTTAATTGCGCGAAACAAAACGAGCCTAATAACTATAAGAGTAATGTTTTGCTCGCAGATAATTTTGCGACCTATAGTTTAATATAGATGTACCTCCAAGAAACTCGATTGTACGTTCTGATTTTTTTTCATACGAAATGCTGAATCGAATTTTTTTCCGAAATTGTTTGACGAACTGCATGTAGTATCCGAAATTTTCGCACTTCAAGAAAATACAGGGTACAATTTTACAGGCGTTGGCGTTGTGGGCAAAGTGTATGTATATGAAACGTATGCACCATTTCAGCTTTCACTTTAGTCTACGAAGAATCACAGATGAAAACTGATGAAAATCAACACCTGTAAAATACTGCATTGGGATCTGGGTTATTACGGTATAAATGTTGCAGTCGTTTAGATTTTCCCCAACTAGATACTGCCACTGCGCCATATAATTAATATAGCTGATATAGATAATTAATATAGCTGATAATGATAATTTTAAACTAGGACATTAGTAACTTTGTACCTTGCACCTGTAACCTTTGCCATTATCATGTAATTAACAGTCTTACCTCCTACGCAGCCTTTTAATAATTAACACAAATCAGTAACCTTTGCCATATTTAGAAAATCCAGAGAAAGTTATCTCTGTTGAAGTTGCCATTTCGGAGAGTTCCACAAATTGTCGCCCAGATAAGGATCCAGCGTCTAACGAATGCACTGATCTCAAAACAAAGTTCCAAACTGATGTAAGTAAAACTGTTCAAAAACGCTCTCTACTTTTTTTCTCTGGAATTAAATAAAACGCTAGAGTAAGCCTCTGTTTATCGTAAAAGTGCTTCTCATTATTTATTACTCATTGATCAAAAACAATTAAGTTAAACCTAAAAGAGAACGACCAGAGGCGAGGATCCAGACCATTGATTTAATTAAACATTAAGTCAAATATCACACAACTAATTTCCATGTATGGAAAGACTGAACAATGCACCACCCTCGTCTAGTTCATATCCTACCGAAGATTATGGTCAAGGGATACGAACGGGTCTATTAAAGTAAGGTTGTCTTTTATAGGGAAATAAAAAAAAAATCCCGAATTAATATTTAACCTTTATTCACTGCCTTTTTTAATTTCCTCAATTACACATTTGTCGCAAGGGTTTATAGAAGTTTCAAGTGGTCATTTTCGGCGCCAATATGTGAGTTATGAATGTCGTATCGGGATTGTATCAAACAACTTCTCCGTTTATATGGGTTGAGAAAAGCTTTTAACTGGAATTCATTCGTACTCACATCCGGTTGCAGAGAGCGGGTATCATCTATACGTGTCGTTCCCTGCATAAGGAAACAGTACGGTAGCATGTGCAAAAGCTTTTTGTCTGATCGTATCTGAGAACAGAATAAACGCTAAAAAGCTGTTGCAAGGTTGTGTTAACTCTCTGCCACTTCAGCACGATCACATCCTTATTCTCTACAAGCTGATTTACCCGATCATAGATCGGGTAAGGCGTAGTGTTGGGATGAAAATGTGGGGAGTGAAATGTAAATGGGGGATATAGTTGGCGAGACATGCAGTTATAAAAGCAGTTTCTGTGGTGTGATCTGAGGCAATTTCTGACCACTAAAACCAATTTGAGCAAAAAATCATCTTTTAAAGTTTTGAGTAATTGAATCAGCTACATGTATTCTGAGCAAAAGAATCATTATTGTAGGCTACCATTTTTATTCGGGGAAGAAACAGTGGGGGGGGGGACCAATGTCCCCCGCTTTAAAATGTGTGTGGGAGGTGGGTTTCCCCTGTCCCCCGTCGATTTACGCACATGATAATTATGTTCCATGGCAACTGTCTGTAAATGTTCCCGTTGGTCTGTAAAATTGGCATTTTGTGAAGCAGTCGCATTTGGAAAACGTAGTGAAAAGGTTACTGTAGTACACAGGCGAAGGCTGATTGTACAGTTTTGACAATAAAATTCATAATGCAATAAAACGTGAAGGTGTCATTTGAAATGAAAATGTTGAGTGTTGCCATAAAATTACAAACGGTCAGAATCATGGAGGAAGGTCATGATTAAGTTTCAGTATTGGCTTCTTCAACACACGTAAACTTGAACTTCGATTCAAGCTGGTTCAACCAACCGAGACCGCGGTCTCCACGTCCGTGGAAAATGTGGAGGGTGTCTTCCGCCGGGTCGGACACTTTTTCGTCGATTTTTCTGTGACTGCGTTTAAGATCGCGATATTTGAAGCAATGCATCGATCCTTCGTTGATCCCAAACAGGCCCCCGAAACTATAACGCGACACTGAATTATACGTGGCGGGCAACGAACTCACAACGCTCAGCCTTGGTGGAAGCATGGAGCTATAAAACACATGATGGAGGCAACAGAGCACTATATCACGTTACATGCTTGCGCTTCAAATAGCGAGCACCGTAGACCCAACCTCGTTTCCAGGGTGTGGAGTAGGCTGCAGTATGCGTTGCCATCGACGGTTTTACGCATAGCCCGGAAGTACTACGCAGTGTAGACTTTCGATTGGTCAGACCGCGCAAGGCATACTAATGTATAGTCCTTCTGAGTATTCGTTGCACTCAGCGCAGGGGCGGCAAGCAAAGCATAGGAAACAATAGGGACACTTGGTGGCCAAGCACCATAGAGAAAAAATATTTTGCCAAGGTCACACCATGCTACGGTTTGGTGAACACTTTTGCAGAACGGCCAAGTAGAACACGCAAACGGAACCCCTACGGTGAAGCCGCTGACCTCGCACAGTCTAGACTCGCAGAAAAGCCAGCACAGGGGGCGGCCAGGCAGTCAACGTGAAAGCGCACACGATGGCAAATTCCTGTGCAAAACGCAGTCACGAAAAATCGACGAAACGGATCGCCGGTCCGTACGGGAAAGTTAGGACGACCCGAAGTGTACGACCCGGCGGAAGACACCCTCCGCATTTTTCCACGGACGTCGAGCGATTTTGGCGCCGCGGGAGCGGCGGTCTCGGATCCTTTCAGGAGCAAACATCATCTCGGAGGCCGAGTAAAACTTGCTCTTATATATATATATGTCTTACAAGACTCTTCACAAAAAAAATTTCTGGTGGAAAGATCGTTTCATTTTTTTGTTTATACCAAGCGTGCAGCAATATTATAGGAAATCGACATTTCTTAAGTTTGGGTTGTTTATCAGTATTGTTCTCAATTCCTACGATTGATATACCGTATGTAGGGGCCTAATTAAACGACACTGTTTCCATATTGAAGTCGCATCTCCTTATTTAGTAATGGGCAGAGGTGGAAAAGCATATTAACCTTATAAAACATGTTTGGTTTGAGAGAAATCAGCAAAGCTACAAACAATTCAATGTTATCTTTGATCTGAAATTTTAATGATAGGTTGAGGTCCTCTACAAGAAAATCGAAGGATTTCTGCGGATTGAATTGCTGGACTTACGGTAAGATTGGTGCGACCAGGCAACAAGCCTTTGCAGGTCGGATCGCATGTAATAATTATACGCTTAACCAAACACCTAATTTCAGTTAAAAAAAATATTTTGATTGGAAGTGCATTGGCACTTTGCTAGCAACGATGCGCATTGGCGCTGGCCGGTAGGCGAATTTTCTTTTCCCAAACGACATCCTCATACATGGTTGTCTAGCGCCCTTAACGATACGTTTGTGATACGTAAGCAGGTACATGTATATCATTCTTATTTTCCCCACATTCCGCCGAGTAGTCTGGTAGCTCAGTCGATATATTGTAGAGTTTTGCACCTCGGGGTTGCGGGTCCGAATTTCGGTTTTGCACCCGAAATATTTTTCTTTTCTAATCTGAGGCTTTGGAGGATTTTTTTTTAAAGGGAACTGAAGTCTGAATTTCATAATGCTCGAAATCATTTTATTTTTTTCTAATTTTATATTTTCTTCTCATGTTTTTAAAAAAAAGTTAAGCCAAAACGCCATAGCGTACACCCATATGCGGATGTCGTTTGGGAGAAAATAATTCGCGGCCGGTAGTGTGGTTAAACTTTCGCAATAATGTTGTCGCAAAAAAAAACACGGCGGAAAACCCTTACCTCATACTAATTTGTATATACATGTACACAGGTGAACAGACTGGTAAAACAGGGTGGGTAATTAATAAATATATATATATATATATATATATATATATATATATATATATTTCATATTTAAAATAAATAATAATAAAGTACCAAACATGATAATCACTGAAAAGGCAATTTCATAAGCTACTTTAAGATAAAAAAAATATTGAAATTGCTCAATACGTTCAAAAATATCACCAATTAATCACAAGGACCCTTAAACCTGTTTCCTTCAAAAAGAGGGTCATTGTGGTTAAATGGTTATATTCTTTGAACGGATTGAGCAATTTCAGTAATTTTTTTTTCATCTCAAAATAGCTTATGAAATTGGCTTTCCAGTCATTATTAGGTTTCGTGCTACATATTTTGCTTCAATGATTCGCTACCGGTTTGGAATGCTTTCGACACAGTTCCCCCAATGCGTCTTTGTACAACCTTTTATCCTCGTTGGTGGCGTTCTTCCATGGAAGTTATATTTGGGCGATTTGTCAGGTTTCAGAACTCTCTTGTAGAGTTTCGTATAGAAAAAAAATCACACTTTAGATATCAGAAGTTAATTTCATAAAACGAAACTGATTCGTTTAATCAGCATTTATTTATCTGTGTATTTGATATAACGAAGCACTCAAAAGAGGAAGTCTTGTTGCTGCCAACATGTACGACGAGCCTGTGGTACCAGGCACCATTAAAGTCAAAATTGACAAAGAATTCATAAAATGTCTTCTTTTTGTGACCAAAGTATCAGTTTATAATTAAATTGAACGGTCTCATCAAACAAAAAGTAAACATCAAGACGTTGGAATGTGTGGTTTGTTTGCGGTGGCTTGTAATATATTTCGTTGAAAAGGATTTTATCGATGTGTGTCCATAGTGAATCGGGGTCATTGCCTTTGGCGCGACAAAGTTTATTGATCTGACGTTAATTCCATTTTTGGTTTTCACTGATATGAGAATGGATGCAAACCATGATAAGTTTCGTTTCGAAATCGATCAATTCTGAGTGTTCTTGCGTCAAAAATCTTGGACTTTGACTTAATTGTCAGACATTTTAGTTTAACTTTTAGGAGTTTTTTGGTTAAGTTTACTTCTATGATAGGGAACCGGTCAGAATCAAATATTTCTTTTTTATTATTCTATTTATTTAAACTGTCTTTAGGGAGGGGTATCATTCGGGCCCTCACACTACAAAAAAATACATCAAGACAAAGATAGAGACAATAAAGACAAGGCCTTGACAAGAACAACAATAAGTTTCTCCCTCTCAACGTATCCCAGCAGCAAAATACTAAAGTGAAACATAATTTCACATTCTTTCAGTGTTTATTTAGGTGTCTGCATTTGTGCTGTTCTTTTTAAGCCTTAAGTAGAAACAGAAGAATTTTGTGAAACAGTGAAAATACCCAAATTTCAGAGCAGAAAAGCGAGCGTTAAGAAGAATCGTGCACTGAAGATCGGCCCAAAACAAATGAACCAAAATTACAATTGGCACCTTAATTGAGATATTTAAATGTAATTGAGAAATTAAGATGAGGAAAATACTATTAACAAATGCACCCACGAGACAAAAAAAACTAACCACATGGTACGATACCTTTCTGTTCCTCACTTTTTCACACCAACACCTCCAACATTTTTATCGACAGGAAAGGCAGTGTGGTTGTCCCTCACAACGTTGTGTACAACTACACGGGGATGAGATCAGAAGACCAAGACCTGACGGCCATGGACGTGTACGACCGGACCCTGGCACCGGCGGTTGAGCAAGGCAAACTGGGCGATCTCATTGTGGTAGCTTGTCTAACTTGTAGCCCTCCAACTGGTGCGTATATTGAAGTAAAAGTGCATAGAACGCTCGCAGTAGGACCGGGTATTCGCATGAGTATAAACACATTATACTTTTATTTTTCATTGCATTCTAATATCAAAACCTGTCACTGCCGTTGCCATATAACAATTCCCTTTGCACTGAAAGCCGAGTTTTGTAAGGACATGCATTTTGTTGGTCATCTAAAGTGAAGCCCCAAAGGACATCTTATTCTACTATCCAAGTGATGCCGCCACCATTGGTAAAGATCAAACTTTTGAAAGTTTCATAACATTATCATGAGCATCCAATTCTGCCGCTATTACAACAAAGTATTGGCGCCAACTAAACGAAACCATCCTCATTTGATGGGGCGACACGGGGCAACCCACCCACCCCACCCCCTTACCCTCCGGCTTGAGGCATGACGAATCCCCCACACATCCTTGTGCTCCCCACTGACGTATTGATTCTCTGCCCCTCCAGGAATTGAGGTTGTTGCAAATCAGACCTAGATTTTAATAAACCACTGTCCATCAAACTAAAGGATGTGAGATCCTGTGTCTTCACTTTTATTATAACTCTGATATTATTCTTGTCAACGTCGAAATTTCAGACGAAACAAACTTTTGCGATTACATCAAGGATGGTTTCGCAGTGTGCGAGAACCCCTACCTGGAGCTGCAGTGCGTCGACGGCGGGTACTTGTCCTGCCGCTCGCCCTGCAAACGTGACGAGGGTTACTGCAATGATCACGGGGAGTGCACCCAAGCAGACACGGCCGATCCCGTCTGCAAGTGCCTGGACACCGCCGAGGCTTGGTACACCGGCGAGAGATGCGATGGCTTCATCAGTAAAACTTGGCTGATAGTCGGAGTCTGCGTCGGGTCGGTCGTGCTGATTATTGTGATTGCTGGCGGTGTGTGTTTCTTCAGGAAGCGAGCTAAAAAAGAGTACGGAATGTTTTCAATGATATTTCGAGTAAACTGCACTCTTAATGCGCTGTCCTTATCACTCTCATTTCAAACGTGAAACATTGAACAGTCAGCACACAATGTAATGTACATTTGTTATTCAGTTTACTTATTGTTTAATTTCATGTATATAAGTCAGCAAATCCTATAGGACCTTTCTAATATTCCGAACAACCTGAGGTGATTACAAGCATGCACTTTACATTTTACGAGGTTCATCAGTAATGAGGCGAAATTAATAATATGATCAATGACTTTCTAGGTAGGACTATTTTTTTTAATGGCAAACATTTTTCTTTGCTATAACAGTGACTTGTTTACAAGACGAAGGAAGAACAGCTACATGTCAGATTTTGATGAAGGAGACAGCATCAACATGGTACAGTGCCACAGTTTAAATGTAAGATCCCTGTAGGTAATGTAACTTTGGGATAGGTTTAGGGTGCTGGGGGTGTTGGGGGTCTGACAGAGCCCAAATCATTTCTGTAGAGCCTCAATCTGCAAATGAATCACCACGAGTTTTGCGAGACGTGGGTTTGGAGTGTCAAACCACCATTAATGGTTTTTGTCAGCGAATCGTCATTAGGTCGGTAAAAGTGTGTGTCTGTTGGCAAATACGGCACAACGAAGAGCATTGTCCGATAGCATCCAAGATCGCCAGCTCCGATTATTGCTCAAATGGTCAGACGGTGATTGATTCCCTCTCAACAATTTTGGACGAAAAACTATAATATTTCTTTGCTTGAACAGTATCAGAGTTTTAATTGAAATTTTAAATACTTTTTTCCCGAATGTCAAGTTGAAAAAGGCAATACTGACATCCCTATCTGATTTGTTTTCATTTTGCTGAAAGAACACTTACCTTTTGTGATCCGCGGAAGGAACTATAAAAACGGTGTTTGTGTTTAAAAATTCGTAACTTGAAAATTACATGAGTGATTTGAATGATTCTTGTACTAAAAAAAAGCTTAAGAAATGAAATTGAACTTTCATATCCTAAGTTTTGAAAGTGCTACATGCAATACTTCACTAAAACAATGATCCCGACATTTGGTGTATTTTTTTTTACTCACCCTGTATATTTGATTATGTCTACTGATTATTTGGTTCCCCCGAGTTTAGGTTCTGTCCGGTGGAATAGATCGCCCGGCTATTCTGCAGGAAGGGGCGCGACAGGAGCGGGAACACGTCTATGTAGAGGTGGAAGATGAACAAGACCCTAAGCCAAGTGTAAGTGGGGCTAAACAAGGCATATATATTATCCATTTAACTTATCGATGAAGTGGATTTGGGGTTTTCTCAGGAGTGCAGGGTCAGCAGGGAAGGGGCACATTGTGTATATCCCCCGGATAAATATTGCATCGCAGTGGCGCACCCAGGATTCTGTTCGGGGGCCTCACAATTTTTTTTTTTTTTTTAAGTTACTATTTGTTTCAAAACATTTTGGCCAACATTTTTGGCAGCAGAAAAAATTGGGGTTGGGGGTGGGGGGGTGGGAGGCCGACTATTTCGACGTTGATGGCGCAACTTACACCCTATTATGCTACTCGAAAATGGGCCGCATACACATCACCAAGGTATGGAGGTTCAACAGTGGACATCTGCTGTCCTGCTAACAGAATAGCAGAAAAGCAGATTGAACGCTTTGTTCAAATGCATTTTTCTACTTTTCGGGTTTTCTGCTGAGAAAAGCAAGTTTTACTTTTTGCCCTTCACTGGCAGTTCAAAAGTGGACATCTGCTTTTCTGCTACCAAAAAAGCAGATTGAACATTTTGTCACGATGATTCAAAAGTGGACATCTGCTTTTCTGCTATCAAAATAGCAGAATAGCAGATCAGACGTTTTTGTAAAATGCATTTTTCTACTTTTCTGCTTTACTGCTACCAGAATTCTTACCCTGTCTCATTTGGTTCGCGTCAACGACGGCCATATATAGATCCCAAATTTTACTGATCACGTAACCATTATTGCCAGTGTTTTTCTTCTTTTTTGTTTATTCAATGACCCAAATTTATGTTCAGTTATTTCTTTTTACATCGGTACCAGAAAAAAGGTGAACTTGAGTATAACATTGGTTTAAGGTCAACTGCAAACCGAAAACGTTTGGTGTTATTTAGTTATATTTAGAGGATGCAAACCTATTGTCAATCAACTTTTAAAACATTTAGACTGAATTCCAATTTCTTACATTTTGCAGAGTTCATGCTTTCTTAGAAGCCTCATGAAGTCAACGGTCAATTTAAGCAGCAATATTTCCTGATGAACATTGTTCTTCTTCCAAGTTTGAAATACCAGAAAAAAAGTTAATGCGACAAAAGCATCTCATTGGAAAACTTGCTATGACAAAATTAATTTCCACTTGAATGATAATTTTCCTCAGATATCTGAGTACACTGAAGAAGTTCCCATCGTAAGCCTGGCGTTGGAAGATGAAAACTCTCAGCCTAAGACTCTAGATCCTGTCCAACCAGACTCCACAACAACACAAGCATCACCCAAAACTGATTTGGTGAGAAAATTAATGATATCCTCTTTTTCCGAGAATGAATGCAAGAGAATGGTTAGGGAAGCTAATCAACTTCTATACATACCAATTATATATATAAATAGACGGGAAAAATCCCGAAAATCCTCTTATGAAACAACGCCAGACGACATCAGCACTTAAGCCTATAGGAAAACCTCGATCCGCCTCTGATCTGGACGGTTTATGTCATGTAACCTATTAATTAAAATGATACCGACCAAACTTTATGTCATACTGCTAAATTCAGTGTAACAATATCAAGATATAAAATTAGTAAGCACACTCAATTAACCCAAATTTTCAAGATAATCGATGGGACATCCGTCACTTTTTACATTTTCAGGACACAGTCTACTTTTGAGGAGCTAAATCGACAATTGGCTAATCATTGAAGATGACGGCGATAGACCGTATTAACTTAAGTGCCTTTATGGTATATTCATTTTGGTATATCATCATTAATTGATTTTGGGATATATTCATATAATTTGTAATTATCTTGAAAATTAGAATGTGTTGAATTTTGTTTATGTGAAAGACGGTTATTTTGCCTTATAATAAACCGTGCATGTTGGCTTTTCTTTCTTTAAAGGCATGCAGGATGATTTGCATTTATCCAAAAAGACCTATAACGAATTACACTATCAAAACGCTTAGTAGGAATATGGATCGTATGCCTATATACTGGTACTTAACACCCCCCCCCCCCCGTGAAATTATTCCGGTATGGTTTCCTTTCATCAAGAAGAAATTAAGAAACATGGGTGATTTCCAACAAAATTGAATGATTTGTGAAAATACAGGGCACCTTGGACAAAATGGTGTTTTGTGATTATGTTGTGCAAGGTTTTCACTGTTTTCTCGAAAAGTGTATATCCACGGCGCTGAAACACTACGCTGAAAGTTAGGTTTTGAACCTTTTCTTCGCATTTTGAGTGGTATTAATATTGGAAACGAACAAAATGCATGAAAAGCAAATAATCCTAAATTATGCCTTTAACGAAACATATTGATTGGGCCGTTTTTATAAGTAGAACCGATTGGATGTGATTAGATTATATCAAATTCATATTTTTAATAGTCTTTTTCAGTTTCCTTATAGAAAGTTATCCTGCTGTAGACCAGTTTTATATTTATTTTTTCTTAGTCCTTTTTTTATGAAAACAGTACTTAGATGATAACTTTAAGATATTGCGAATGCAAAGTACAATCATACAATCCGCTTGTAGTCAGCCATCTGATATTATATTTATTTTTTAATAATGTGGGTATTTAAACTATGCGGTTATCAGCATCATCAAAAACATTACAGCGGTCGCAACCGAGATCCCATTCACAACGCCACACCAGCTGCAGCTGGTGTCTTTATCCCTCATTATGTATGGAAGGTCCTCAGTTTCATGTTGGTGTCTCTGCCTTCCCCGTCAATGTGATTGAAAGTTCTCGTCTTCCATAGACAATTAACATGCCGCCACCAGTTCAGTCACGTTTCCTGTATCCAATAACAGTATACTGAATGATAACTTCTTTCGGGCAGAAAAGAACCAGACTATTTTTCCTTCCAGCCTCGCTTTGGTTATGTTGATTTGAATGGGAAACAATCAAGATGGCCGCAACGCGATAGGACACGGAATTCTCCAACATAATTCCTCGGATGTAGTCTTCAACACGATAACAGCGGCCAGCAAATCGTTATCGACGTTGAGCAACAATAGCAGATGGGTGGAATGTCTCCGTAAATCTGTTCTTTGGTCTTGTGCTCACGCCATGAGATGTTCTGTGCCCTCATGATAGGGTTTATATAAATCAGATAGACCGTTAATTGGCGATTTTAACGTTAGGTGAAACTGTTTCGTTTGGTGGAGCTACCGAATCTTGTAATGTCTTTGTAAAAAAAAACATGTATAAATTTCTAAACTAATTGAAAGCAAACAGACGCGCAATATTTTTATACATATAGCCCAGATGACGAATGAATTTTTGTACATAATGCTTTACTCTAAGATTGATATCCTGACCAATTTTGTGAGGTGCATCGTCGTTTATTGAAACTCTCACACAAGTAGTTGTGTTTAGATATATTTTTATGTGTAACTTTAATCTATATTTATCGTTTACTTTAAAAAGATGTATAGTAGGCTTCATGGTACAAAAAAAACATTATTTAGAATTTGTGTATTGCTAGTTGAGTACTTTTTTGACTAACATTTGACTGTTTTTGTTTTCTTGGGTTCAATTTCACGGAACTGCTATTGTTTCGCACACCTGTCTTATGCAGCTACTCGTTTACAGCCTTTTCAGCAACTTAACGAGGATTGTGGTGTGCTGTCTCAAATGGTGGACACTTGTGCAGGGTGCTCTGATACCTGTATATACAAAGTTGGTGCAAGTACAAAGTCAGCTCCTATGATCTAGGCGCTGATGGCTCCCTTGAACTGCTCCACAGTGGGCAGCTCAATGATGTCTTGGGGGAGCACATCCCAGTCCCGCAAAGTTCTTGGAAAGAAGCTTTGCCTGTAGTTGTCAGAACGGGAGCTGAGTCGCATGAATCTGTGTTGATGTTGTTGCCGTGTTGTACGGAGTCTTGGTTGGATGTTGTCTGGGATGGCTATTTGATTATGGACGGCTTTGTAGACCATGGTTAAGCGGGCTTGCCTGTGCCTCTCCCCCAATTGTGGGAGCCCTAGATCTCTCATTCTCGTAACGCTGGCATCACGATGGTAGTTTCCGCTTATAAAGCGTATTGCCCTTCTCTGATTTTTTTTCAAGATGGTCAATTTGATTTTGTCTGTAGCTGCTCAATAGCTGCTCATCAAAAATGGATGATGATGATATCGGTTGCTTATTACCTATACTGACGTTTGCTTCCAAAAAATAAGACATCTCAGTTGCTCTCAGTCAGAAAGGGAACGAGCGAACGGGTTACACAGACACGGATTATTTAAACAGACACTGAAATTCCTTGCTGCACAGTAGTACCGATTTCGACAACACGAGATAAATGTAAGTTTAGAAAGCTGATTAGGCCTAGTGTTATTATAACGAGTGTCATATAAAGAGCATAGTTTGTAGATCATTTACTAATTTACATGCCCCTGAAGGTTATAGATGTGTGGGCGATTGCAACACGAATTGTGTCGAGTAGTTGTCAAGATATCTGGGTGTTGCTGGATGTGAACAAAAAGAGAACAATCGAAACAGGAACAGCAGATTTGTAAAACGTGCGGCCGTGTACCTTGCATTGTACAGGCCTATGCATAATTATGCCAAGCACACATTAGCTGTAAACGCAATCTACCTTTTAAAAGAGGGAAATGCATGTTGAACGCAGCGATCATTTTTCTAAACAAAGTTCTCTTTATAAGATGGAATTTTTGCGACGGGGTGATATAAATCAAATTAGTTTTTGCCCTTCACCGACGTTTAAACACTGTATACTCAGTGTGTAAACGTCGGTGAAGGGCAAAACCTAATTTGATTTATATCACCCCGGCGCAAAAATTCCATCTTATAATAGTTTATGCGGTACCCGCTGCTATGTACATCAGATTCGAACCGACCAACCTTAGCTCGGTGGTCGAGTGGTAAGACATCTGCACTAGAAAGCAGGAGGTCGTGGGTTCGAGTCCCACCCGAGTGATTTTTTTCCAACTTTCACTCGGGAGGTAACACACTGAGTATACAGTGTTTAAACGTCGGTGAAGGGCAAAACCTAATTTGAAACTTCTCTTTCCTCTTTCTGCTTATTTTTCTCGTACCACCGCCCTGGGAAGGGCAGATGAGCTGCAAAGAATATTGTGGAGGTAGTGGGGATGGCATTTTGGGTAACTTGTGACCTATGTAAAATACATCAACTACTGCAGCTAGCTGTTTAAGACCGCAGTTAGCTAATGCGCACAAATGCTATCCGAAAACATTCTCATAGAAAGGCATACATACATTCGCGCAAGTTTTATCTTAAACATGTTATTTTTTAGTCGGATACTATTACTAGCAGCAATTTTCTTTTTCTTTTCTGATTCGAGGCTTTAGAGGATTTTTATAGGAAATAGAGTCCGAAATCCGTACAAAGTTGAATAATACTAGCCTCCACTCAAGCCTGGTAATACTATGCTCCATAGGAAAGCGCACAAAGAACTACAGCTAGTTGTGTAAAAAAAAATATTGTGTACAGGCGAATCTACAGAAACGTTCGCTCGTACCCTAGCCTTTCGCCAACTTAAGGCCATATCGTGGCTTAATTTGCCGGCATCAGACAAAGCGGCGAAAAGGCGAAGCGACTGGAGCAGGAAAACACACACGCAAGTGGCGAAGCCACGAGGACCTTTTCCAACTTGTCAAGAATCTCTTATGTTTTTCTTTATAATCTCGATTTCTTAATAATCTCTCTTTATAATCCCAAAAGGGTATCAAAATTCCAACCAATCATCAGCCTTTTAGTGCGCGCGTGGCTACTACCCGGACGCGTCGACGCGCCTGGATGCTTGCACAAAATTTAAAAACAAAAAATGCGAGTCTAGTTTTCCACCAGATCGTGATTGCGTAATTGTTTTTACATTATCTTAGGCCCTATATCAATATTACTTATAAAAGTATTCCAAGAAATTATTTGAGTGTATGAACTTATTTTTCATCTGAACTTACAGCTATTTTGCTCTTACGTTTTCCGTACTCACCCTTCTTTCACAAATGGAAGCAACTAGGCAAAATCCGCGTTGTGATTGGTTAACCTTTCAGCACTCTTCTTATTTGCATAAAACAAAATCAAGTTGGAAAACTTGCATAAATTCAAGCGAAATCATTATATCTTTTGATCCGCTACATATAACCACGTATAATTTTGCCCATAGGTAAATCACTTACTTGTTAGGCTTCCTGTGAATTAACGCGAGTGTTGAATCTGTCATTGTCAACAAATTCGAAGTAAAATACGGCACAACTTTGTCACAACGAATGTTTTCAAAATGATCAGAAAATCAAAGACATGCATGACACTCTGGTAACCCGAGTTCCGCATGCGCAAAACGGTAGGAGTCCCACCAGTGGGTACCCGACTAACAGTCTTACATGGCAGGATGACCGTAGTACCATGTAAAATTCTGCTAAATCCACTTCGAAAGCCTGCCAATCACCCAGTACATGTATACAGTGGCGTTCGCAGGATTTTTTCAAGGGGGTGTTTAAAAATTGGATGTCATCATTTATGACGCTAGAAATGAAGATGGCAAATTGTGTTGGCGCCAGAAATAAAAAATAGTATCAGTGGGCTAAACTTAATGCTAAATTAAAAGTCGGGAGTTTGTGTTGACGCCAGAAATAAAAGAGGGTATATTTGGACGGGTTAAACTCGAAGGGCCGGGAACCCACGACCATCAGTTATCTTTTTGAGCTAAAGCATAGTAAATCGGAAAAAATCATGTTCTGTGTCTTTAGAGTATTATTATTATTATTATTATTATTATTATTTATTCGGCCAGGTACAACACAAGGTACAACAAGCAATTCACAAAAGTAAACAAAACTAAACAAAAACAATCCAATCCAAGCTGGCCAGGATTGACAAAAGTATAATAAAACACTGTGACTCGAAAGCCTGTCAATCCTAACTTGAATGGTACATGTAACATACAAAATATATTAAAAATTTGGTATAAAATTCAATGAAAAATAAGACCGCCTTAAAAATAATACTAACAAAGATAATTAGATTTAAAAGATTAACAGTTACAACAGTTTTCTCATAGGCAAGAATAGCTGGCATAAAAACCTAACAACTGCAGATTATACAAGACTGGGAAAAAACAGACAAACAAGCCAAAACAAAACTAACAAACAAACAAACACCCCAACAAACAAAGAAACAAAACAAGACAGGATAAGACTTAACAAAATGTAACAAAACAAGTCAAGACAAGAGACAAGACAAGACAAGACAAGACAAGACAAAACGAAACAAAACAAGACGAAACTAAACAAAAAACAAACAAACAAACAAGACAAGACAAGACAAGACAACAACAACCACACAACAACATAAAAACACAGAACGAAAGATTGATACAGTAAACAAAATAATTTAAAATGAAATAAAAAATAAATAATAAGCAATAAAAACCTGATAGAGAAAAGTAAAAAATACAGTTGACATGCGAGAAAAACTACGTCAAAAAAAAATATCCATCCAATGAACAAGAAAAGCAACAACAAAAGTATCAATAACAAAATAAATACAAGTAATAATAAACGATAAGCAACCGGAAAAATAGGCCTGAAAACCAACATTATTTCAGACATAAATAAATGAATAAATAAACTTAACCACAAAAGATGAAAATAATATAAAATAAAATAACAATGAAATAAAAGAATGATGGCAGTTTACAGTGGAAAAATATACACATGAAATTACTTTAAAAAGATTAAAGTAGATCAAAAGAGTTAAACACTTGGGGGGGGGCCTATTTCCAGCTCAAGGTTTTAACACTCATAATAATGGGCGGATAATCGGGTGTTAAACAGTGTGAATGAATCAATTAATAGAGAGTCCCTTACATGCGATGGCAAACTACTCCAGATTCGGGGGAAGACATGACTAGGTGTGTTTTTCAGGGTTTGAGTTCTAGCATAGTGGTGACTAAATGTGAGACAATCCTGGTGACGAGTGTTCACTACTGTGTTGGCCTTCACTGATTGGCAGTCAACTAAGTTAAACAGGACTTTAACTGTGAAGGAAACTATGTGCTTCTGTCTACGTGAATCTAGAGTCATCCAATTCAAAGCATGCAATCTGTCTTCATATGACATTGCACCTTTGGGCTGTTTGAGGCACATTCTACTTGCCCTTCTCTGCACTCTCTCAAGTTTGGCTGCATTGGATGCTGTGTATGGGGACCAAGCTGGCAACCCGTATTCTAGTACGGGCAAGACAAGTGAACGATAGAGGGATGTCAAGGCCTTGGTTGAAGCACCACCTGCAATGTGCCAGATAAAGCCTAATGTCTTATTGGCCTTTGAGACAGTGGCATCGACGTGATCGTTCCAGTTCAGTGAGTCGTTGATGATTACCCCAAGATATTTGAATGTAGGTGTAACATTGAGCGATTGACCGTGAAGAATGTAACTTGGAAGAACTGCTGGTTTCCGGGATCTGGATATGTGCATGACCTTGGTTTTCTTGATATTCAGCTGCATACCATTGAGATTGCTCCATTGTTCAAGTGCAGTCAGGTCCGACTGGAGGGTGAGTTCATCTTGGGGTGAGTGGATTGGCTGATAGAGGAGTGTATCATCCGCAAAGAGTGCACAGTTTGTGGATAAGTCATGAGAAATGTCATTAATAAACAAATTAAACAGGAGGGGGCCAAGAACACTGCCCTGAGGAACACCTGAAGTAACTGGTGCCCACTCGGAGTAGCATCCCCGATACGCAACTCGTTGTTGACGACCTATTAGAAAGGACTTTATCCAGGTCCATGTCGATCCACGAATATTGAAGTTGCCGGCAAGTTTGTTAAGTACCATATGGTGAGGCATAACATCGAAAGCCTTACTGAAATCGAGGAAAATTACATCGAGTCGAGGAGGGTGCGGTTTATCCAAGATAGTTGCCCAATCATGGATTGTGTTTGCAAGCTGGGTGACACATGATTTGGAGGCAGTGAAACCATGTTGCTGGGGGTTGCCGAGGCAGAGTGATGTTACATGGTCGTTGATGTTGTCAGCGACAGCCCTCTCCAACAACTTGCAGATGATTGATGTCAACGCTACTGGACGGTAATTCTTGATATCGGTACGACTGCCAGACTTGAAAACCGGAGTTATTTGTGAGAGTTTCCAATCTGCTGGGACAACGCCAGTAGTTAGGGATGAGTTCATCAATCGCATCAGAGGCGGAGCAATTGATGATGCAGTCGCTTTTAAAATCCTTGGTGGTATAGCGTCGTGACCTGGTGCTTTATGAGGATTTAAGTTGGACAGCGACTTAACAAGCCAGCCAAGGTTCACTGTTGTGGGGTGAATCTCTGGAATTGGGAAGTCACAAGATGGTGGGGTCTCTGCAGGAACCCCTGTTGGAGTATGGACAGAGGTGAAGAACTTGTTGAATGCATGACAAATATCGGCAGGCTTGTGGAGCTGTGTCTCGGCTGTCCTGAACGCAGGTGGGCATTTGGATTTCCTTTGGTCCTTAACAAAGCTCCAAAAGCTACGTTTGTTGTCCGGTAGAGCAAACAAGTCATTGATGTATTCCCAGTACTCCTTCTTAGTTTTGTTTTTCACCTCATTACGGATAAGTTTATACCTGCTCCAGTCACTGCTGTCACCGTTCGATTTGGCCTTGACGAAGAGCTTTTGTTTCTGTTTGATGAGGCGTTTCAGTGCAGGTGTTATCCATGGGGACATGCGACGATTGCATGTCTTCCTGGGGATGCTGTCTCGAATTGCTGCATCCAGTATGTCCATGAACCCCTCCCATGACTCCGTGGGATCACTGTCCTTCATGAATGCAGTCCATGGCGCAAGATGTAAAAGTGTCTCCAAATGTGAGAAGTCAGCTTTCTTGTATTGCATAAATGAGCGGAGGATTTTGGGTTCAGGGGGAGTTCTGTTTGCAACAAATGAGAAAAACACTGCGTGGTGATCGCTGCTGACTGGATTTGCTACTGTTTCTACTGAACGGAATTTCTCCTGCCGGTTTGTGAAAATAAGATCGATGATAGTCCCAGACGATGAAGAATTATTTGATGGGCGGGTCACTTCATCAACCAGTTGAATGAGGCCTATCGAGTTGATTACTCCTTGCAAATTCGTCAGTGAGGAAGATTCTGTACACCAGTTTATATTGAAGTCGCCTAGCAGTAACATTCCTTCAAAGTTACGAAGATCTGATTGGAGGTTGTCACAGACATCTTGAAGTTTATCGAAAAATGTTACATCTGAGTTTGGGGGACGGTACACAATTCCAACAAGCCATTTTGAGTGTCTTAGGGTCAGTGATAAGAAAGTTACCTCGATGTCAGTGGGGCTAAGGTGGTCGAGATGAGCCGGAAGCAACGAATCCTTCACTATTGCCATGATGCCACCACCTCGGTTATTCCGGTCACGTCGGATAGTGGAATATCCAGGTATGTTAAGAACATTATTTGCTGACAGCCATGTCTCTGTGATGCAGACAATGTCCACAGGATGAAGCTCCAGAAATGACTGCATGTCCTGTTGCTTACTACAGATACTACGAGCGTTGAGAAGTAGACCGGAGATGGAATTCCTGTAAGTCTTTGAAGATGCAGGGAAGTCCAAAGGATAGTTGTTCAAGTTATTATCAGGTTCCACTGTAGAATTGAGCTCATGATCGCTGCCAAACTCCTCATGGAATGAAGTGTCAGAGCATGATGAAAATGGCAGCTTGTACACACAGTATGGGCAGAACCAGTCCACAGTGCTAGATATGATGAATGTATTAGTAAAGGGGTCAATGTGGGGCCTTGTGGGCAGTCCCCTCCCTCAACAGCATTTAAACAAACAAAAAAGAAGAAATTCAAGAAAAAAAGTTGCACGGGCTGCGGAAGTGCTAGGATCTGTTCTTGTAATTGGCTAAAATTACTCAGCTTCGTCCCCTGGATCTCATGATTCTCATCCGTTTGGAATCTTTGTGTAAACCGCCCCACCCCTAAGGCCAAACTTCAGATACAGGATACATATGCGCTCTGGTCACAGGGGCGGATTCAAACTGCCATTTGCCAGGGGGGGGGGCCTAGAATTGTAATGAAGGGTCCAGGACCTTCGAGCGCGGAGCGCGAAGCCCTTACGGCATGGGGTCCGGGGCCCGCTTAAGCTAAGGGCCCCGAAAAAAATTGGATTTTAGATGCTGTGTGGTGCAATCTGAGGCGATTCCCGGCCACTTCCACCGTTTAGAAAACGTTTTAGACATCTCCGTATTTTTTCACAATTTTCTATTTTGGAAAGGGATTTAGGCCACTTGTAGAGCCATTCGCTGCTGAAGGTACAAATAAGGTGGGGGCACCGCTAGGGTGAAATTATTGCAGGGAATTTGGCCGGAGGACTAATGCGAGCGCGGAGCGCGAAGCACTTAGTTACGGCGTGGGGTCCGGGAAATTTTGGATCGTAGATACTCTGTGGTGCAATCTGAGGCGTTTCCTGGCCACTTTCCCCTGATTTTTTTAGCAGAAATTTGTAAAATTACGAGGGGATATTTTGTTTCATTTGTTTCAAATACATGTAGGCCTATATACTCTTGCTCTTATAAAGTGTCTTCTGTATTCAAAGCTTAAAGTTGAGACTTGAACATACACATAATTTGTCATTGTTCCGCGCTCGGTCACATAACTCTCTTTTCCCTCCATATTTTTACATGGCAAGGGGGGGGTGTTTAAAGGGAATATACAACATTTGCAAACATCGAAAAATAAAAGTACCAAGTTTTTGCGAAATACCTTAATAGGATGTTGGTAAATGACAGTCTAAAGCATCCTGTAAAATTATGGCACCTGGTATACTGTCATTTTCAAGAAAAGTGGTATTTTTGTATCAATTTCCAACGCTGATCGGCCGATCAGCGTTGGAAACAACTGGCTTTTTTTTCAAATACTGGACCCAATTGACCATTGCACTTGTTTGCAATCGATTACAAACCTATGAACGGGTACGAGCCAGCTAGACTGGTTCCCTGACCTTACAATTCCCCAATGTATGTAAACTGCTCTGTTTCTTCTTATATAGAGTCAGGGAACCAGACTACAGGAAAATGATCGTTTTTCTTGGTTTTTATAGCATTTTCGAACCCAAAACCTCCAAAAAGTCAGTGTAACTATATTTGCTATATATTTCTAACCCCCCAATTCCATCCATTTCTGAAAATTACAGCAAAAGCAAATGATGTATATTCCCTTTAACAGCCAAAACATATAATATAAGGGTTTGTTTCAGGGATCTTTCAAAAAACGAAGGTTTTTCAAACCAAATGTGCCCATAGTTATTTCTCTTAATCTTTTTGATTGTCCTTCATCTACATATTTCTGCCGAAAGAAATAGTCTGCTGGATTTTCTGTACAACTCATTTTTGTATGCATTAATATTCTGTCCAATGTAGCCGAAATTCGGCTAGAACGGTCACTCGAGCTAGTAACCGTGGATCACAATAGTTTGGCTATTGTACATGTAGTCACACGGCCGGGTCGACGCGACGGTCTAGTATCAGAACAAGCTCACGCACCAGTCTCTTGACTTGGAAGTTGGATTCTGCTTCGAGACTCTGTTGAAAAATCTACGGAGTGGAAAGGCGGCAAAATGGGCAAACGTGACACAAGAGTTGTAAGAAGTCTTTACTCCTAAAATGATATTTAATGTACTTATAATATAAGAACAAGGACCGATTTCAGCCGGGTTTTGCTTGAGAAAAAAAATCAGTGTCGGAAATGCACGTCCGCAAGTAGGCCCACTTGTGTGGCCTCGGTACTACAGCGCAGCAATACGGAGGCCACACAAGCTGACAAGCATGACAAGTCGTGGGTGTCCGTGTTCAATTTTACACTTTCGCATCCGCTGAGCTTTTATAAGCTGAAATTGCACTCGCATAATGTCATTCACTTACATAGATATGTGTACATTCTGAGATAATCCACGAATTGCCATTTGCACGGGACTAGCTTGACTCCAGCTGACATGCTCATTAATAATCATATTCATTCACATGTAGCGCACTGGAGACATAACCTGTTCGTTAGAATGTGGTAGCAAGAGACCCTGGCCTAAAAAAATGGCCTCTCAAAAATTGTCCATTTTCACCTCTAATATCCCACCCCAGATTTCATTTACATACCTTATACATTCAGCAGTCATTCATTTTCATGAAGCCTAATGATCGACTTGAAACAGACCACAAAAAAAACAAATGTGAAAAATCTTGACGATCACGGTGGCTTGTCCGTAAAAAAAACGCCAATTCCAACGGCTGTCTTCCATTTTGTTTTGTTAATTATGTAAATGTATGCATCACGTGATGACATCGAAAAAAATCTGCGTGCGCGATGTATGTGGGTGCCACACCGCTTTTAGGCGCCGCAAGTGAGTTCAATTTTGGTCTTGTGCGTTGTCGAGTCTCGGAAAGCTAGACAACGAGAATGCAAAGTGACTTTGCAAGCTTGCTTTTCTGCACTGGTTCTCAGTCTGATCTGCTACATTCAATGTAGCAGTCACTAGCAGTGAGTAGGCTAGTTATGAAACAATAAGAATCACAACTAAATGTTGCCTTGTTTAAATGAGACATAGGCCAAATTGGCTGTATTGTCCATATTAGTTGGTAGTCGGCCTTGTGCTTGGAGATGAAAAGGAGGGTAACGGCTAAGATATCATTCTCAGAACTTTTTTTAAAGGGAAAAGGGGGAGGGAACAAAACAAAATGAAGGGATGTACAATGTAAGTCCTGCTAGGCCTATTACCAGATTTCAGACTTTGATCAAATTGTAAATGACGTATCAAGCACTGTACATGTATATGTGTGTATAACATACTTTTCCCTTCCCAACTTTCAGACAAAATGTCAGACTCAACTTACCTCTCTGAAAATGCCTATACACGTATAACCCTTGAAGTAGGTATGCATTACTCAATTCTTTTGTCAGGCGTATGTTAACCCAATAGCCGCAGCGAGAGCCTCGGGGCCCACACAGCAATCAGGACCCTCCATAAGGGACTACTTGAACAGACCCAGACCAACATGGTGAGTTACTGAAACTTTGTAAAACAACCTTGTAAACTTGACATCATTTATCATGACGAGATCTACCTCAGTAGGGGGTAGGCATAAAGGTGTAACAAAGTATTTCTTCTGAGCTTGGTGACCAGTAAACTGAGTCAGAGGACAGTGGTTTTGCATCGCTGGGATAGACACATGAGCTAACAAGTTGTGCATTTATTGAAACTATATAACAAAGAACATCCTCTCAGGTACCTACAACGCATGTATGGTTTATTAGGCCATTTCTTTGAAAGTCGTATTATTTGTCTTTACTTATTTCCTTGTCTATTTTAAGGGAGGAATGGAAGGATATGATGAGCAAGAAACAAGGAGGATCCAACACTTTGGCTGAGTGGGAGAAAAACATGAGTGATGTAAGGAGGAATGTCTCAGTACTGCATTTCAGTATCATTACTACTGCTAAACTAAACCGACTGTTAACAGTTTGTATAATAATGGTGAAAATAATTTTTGTGTTCACAGGGCTTTTTTAACAAGATCAAGCCCAATTTGGCAGTAACCACTTTCATTTGAACTTGCATTAAATTCAGTAATATTTTAAGAAAACGGATCTTTGGACATAATTTAGTGGGTTTAAATTTCTGATTGGTAATTTAGAAGTATTTCATGATCGTCTTTTGTTTTGTTGCGGTTTCTAGCAATTCAGAGACGAGCTGAAGAAACACAGAGAGAAGGTGCTGAACAAGTCAAAGAAGAAGAAGAAAGAGGCAAGTCACTTGAGCAATGTCATAGTATCATAGACTAACAAACTTATCTTCATTAAGTGTTAACTAATGACAGTCAACACTTAAAGCGTCTGAAATTGTAGTGGTTTCTTTGCCCCCTGTCAATTCTACCTCCTTGTGTTTGGCCCAATTTTTAAGCACGTGTATAAATATGTAAATGAAGGTAATCCTGCCTTAAATGTTGTAAGGGAAAAAAAGTGTTCTCTGACCCTATATCTGTCATAGCGCTGATACTCATTTACATTCATTTATGCACACTCAACCTTATGTAAATACATAATATGAAGATAAACATGCACTCAAACTCTGAAGAAATATTCCCATATACGTATGCAACACTGACAATTGATTACACCTAACATGTACATAATTATTAAAGGTAGATATTTGGGACCACTTGTTTTGAATTTTGGCAGTTCTGGACCACTGTTGACTGAGTGTATTTGAATTTTCATGCCAAACAAAACAATAACTACAAAAAATGGGCACTGTTAACCTTTGCATAGCCTTGGTCAAGGCTCTCGTCATTATTCGTCCCGTAAGCGGTAATCAATCGGCGGCATATCCTCACGTGCTATATGCAGTGCATGTAAAAATACAGCGCGAACAGCGACCTCATGCGGCCACTCTTTTATGCAAATCAGCTGGACCCGATCGAGAGCCTTGGTTCAATCGTCCATATGTGAGGTTTTGGGGGTGGTTTGCACCGCTCTTTAAAATCCTGGCTTACACTCATGTACACTCATATAAGTGGGTATTTGTCTGCAATTGGGGACCCCCCATTGTCCCTCTTTTGTTTGTACTTTTTAGGAAGACCTCCCATATGTTTTGTACACGAATCCAACTTTAAGACCTCTCGGGAATTGGGGACCCTATTGTCCTCTATTGTTCAGTGTCCTCTATTGAATGCAGAAGCAAACTCATATACACACACTGTAGAAAAGATTTATTATTTTATCTATTCATTATAAAATTATATATGCTCATTTTGTTTCAGTTTGTATGATTATTTGTTCTTTCTCTTCCTGTTTCAGAAAAAGCGATCTAAGAAGAAGAAACAGGAGAGGGTGAGTTCATGATGTGCAATGCTGGTCATAATTCATGCAGGTGGATTCGTGGAAGTTATCAAGGGAACAGTTGGGGGGTTTATCTTTAAGAGAAATTTGTAAAAAGTCTTTAGTACTATGTTTTGCTTTCAGTGGCCAATTTTAAAATCAGTGCTTCTTGAGCATTGTGGGAGTACAAAAGTCACAAGCTTTCTCAGATGGACTGAAACCCATGAGTTCCTGCTTAGGTGTGTGCTTAGCAGTGCAGACGTCTGCACCACCTGACAATGCCTGATAGCCAACCTTGGCGCCTGTTGGTCGTTTTTATCTGAAAAAGCATCGGGTACCACAGTTGTGTGAGTGTTGCAACAACAAAAAATTAAAAATTTTACCCAAGAAGATGAAACACAATTTGGAATTGTAGAACCAAATAATGTAATGTCATGGCTCGGAATAGACTGATTCAATGAGTATTGTCTCACCCTCCCGAGGACGGACAGAGCACACCGTCAAAAACGTCAAGCTTCACACTGGACCAATCCATTCTTTTCAGAACCACACTAATTCCAAGAACAGATTACTTTCCACAGGGTGTTACCGACAATCTTTCTACTTTATCTCATCTGCCATGCAAAGGTTCAAGCCATATTTATTGTCTAACATATTTGCCCGTCTCTTTCTGTGTGTTTTGGTTTGTTGTTTCCTCTTTCAAGTCCTCCTCCCCTTCCTCTTCCTCATCTTCATCATCGTTGTCTGACAGTGAGCAAGATGCAGAAACAGAGGTAAGCATTTATAATAATAATACATGTATATGGGTATTTCAGTGTTTTGCTTACCACAGTGACTTTCATGATATACATGGAATCAAAGTAATATTCATAACTGGCTTCATTTCAAATCCTCAGGAGGTATACACAGAGCTACGTTAGATAGATCAGAGTGTTTAGTCCACCCTTGCATGCAGTTTAATCTAAGTTGATTCCTATGTTCTCCAAGTTTGGGTGAAGTACATGCAAAACAGTAGCACAACTTATAATTCTCACCAGTGAAGGTTTTTATTGGTCGTTGGTAGTGTGAAATGTCACTAAATGTACTAGTAAAGGGAGCCAGTCATGTTAGCAGTTTTTCATAGCACCTGTTTAATACATACATTTTTATGTAATTGCTGTTACTTGAGCAGTCCAGAACAGATTCCATTACATATACTAGTATATGTAATCTGAATGAATGCTTTAACTTGAGTAATATCATAGAGATACAGTTTTGGGTTTATTCATGCTCGCAGTCAAAAATTGGTGGGAGGGGAAACCTACAAATTTTGACTAAATCTGAATGTCTGATTAAGAAATTATTTAGCATCCAGAAAACGCTGATAACCTGACAGTATGTTGCCAACCTCTAGACAGCGTTTTATGTCAAGTGTTTAGCCAATGTCGCACTTCTTTCCCCATGAAACAATCCAAAGTTAGTATCATTACCATCAACTTATTATTTTCTCCTTCATTTTTTATCTCCAAACACATCATCACATACATCGCTGCATGTTCACCAACAGACAAGAGATAAAAGAAGAAAGAGCAAGAAGAAGAAGAAGCAAAGAAAGCGACGACATGACTACAGTTCCTCAGATGATGAAAGCGATGGACCGTCGGTAATTATTGTTCTCTATTTTTGCTAATTCATGAGGATCGAAAAAAACATTTACCCTCGTACTGTTTGAACAGTCACAGACAGTCAAAAAGTCCATCCACTTCACCTGCCATGCCTTTTACGCAGGCGAGTCATCAACAGTCGGATGATAATTATTTCAAGCAAGTACTCTGATTAGCCGAATTCTGTGAACAGACAAAAAACAGGCAACTGGTAGGCACAGCTGTCTTATCAATCACCTACATTCAAAGCATAGCTGTATAAAGTTACATAAACAGTCACAGCCAGTCAATCCTACTTTATGTAGGCTGAGAGCTCTTAACTGGTGAAAACAGTCGCTTGATTGATTTTGACTGCAAGAACAACTTGGCACAGAATGTATGTTTGCGTAGGAGGGTAAATATTGTTACTCATAATAAGCCAATTTCTCTGTGGAAAGCTGACAACTTTCCTCATTTCATATTGCAAAGCAATACTTTGGAATGAAAACTTATTTTTCAAGAGTGCTACACCCCAAAAGCATCAAAACTGTTTGTTTTTTTAGTTTTGAATCCCTAACGAATTGAGAAAATGACCTGACTAAACCTAAACAAAGACAAATAAGATTTGACAAAATCATTATCATAATGGGATGAATACAGATACGCCATGAATATGTATGAAAAGTCGTCTTGATATTGCAATAGTAATAGTTCATTCCCCCCCCCCAAGTTGTGTTCAAGTCTTAATGCTGAAACTATTTTTTTTTTCAGACATCCCACTCAGAGAAGAGAAAAAAATCAAAAAAACACCGCAAGCGCAAGAGGAGACGAAGATCAGACAGTGATGATGATAACTGAATCATGCTTATTTCTTGCTGAGGCTGTATCAGCCAGGCTTTTGTGCATGTATTTGCTCAATTTTTTAGCGCTGCTAAGCACACAATTTGTCTGCTAATAGAGCCTAAAAAAGTTTTCAATTTTACGGAGACCCTCAGCAGTCAGCACAGAAATAGGCATGCTGACCTTGGAATAAACAATTTGCTTGAAGCCCGGTTCATACTCCACGCGAAAGCAAGTGCGAAGCGAAATTCATGTCGTCAACAATGGTGGACGCGCTTTGAACGTATTGTTGATGTCACGAATTTCGCCTCGCTTTCGCGTGAAGTATGAACCGGGCTTAAGTTAGTAAATGTAATATCCAGCTACTACGGTTTGAAGTCATTACTGGTGTCGTTCTTAACATTGAGATGCATATGTGATTTCTGCAACCCCATTGGTCAAAGTTGCATTGAGTGCATGCCAGCATAGTAACAATAAGTAATGGTTTTTCTTTGTAGTCCTTGGATTAGGGCCCCCCCCCCAAAAAAATCTCTTGTTTCTGGTATGGAGCTTGCCCCCAAAGTAATGCGGCGATGCGGGGGTTTTTTTTTCCCCCATTTTTTTCCTTCAAATGACGGCTGATGTTGTGGATGACGCTTCGACCCCCTTAAAACTCTCAAAAATATCCTTCAGAGTGGAGCTTGAGGTGACCTCAGTAAGGCCATAGGGCTTGAGAATTCTGCACCCACTTACGATCTCGACTGACACGAACAGTCTTCGGGAAATTTGGATAGTCAAGACAAATGACAGAACAAACGGTAGTAATGTTAGACCATACATCGACATCATGCATGAGCTGCCAGGCTGGTCATTAGTCTGCACCCTTACATATGTGCGCTATTTGAAAAGCATTTACAGGGTACAGATACACGATCATTGCTTCTTCAGTCTGGCTTCCAGATGCACAAGTACAAAATTACAACACCGTCTGCAAATGATGCCCAACCAAATTTAGTGCAAAATATACGGGAGCCCAGAGAGGCCACATAAAGCTTATACTCGATTGTAACCCCATCTAAAAACAAGTTAAAATTGTGCAGCAGCAGGATTCCAGTCTAACCAGTGAGTTTGGCAGTTTTGATACATCATCTTATTTTGAAGAAAAAAAAACGTTTTAATTTTGCCAACACATACGGCTACGGCGACGCGTGCAGACCAGAAACCTTAGACTTTTTTTGCCAGGGGGTGTGCAAAATGGTATGACAATTGGAGGATTCAGGACTGTTAAGGTTGTACAGACTTTGAGTGTATATGTACATGTATATGTGTAGTCAAGTGTAGATGATTTGTTTTTGTTGTTTCATGTGCAGTATTTTACTTTTTGAGGACAGGCTGCTTAAATAATGCATTGTGTATTTTTCATGAATCTACAGAATTTACAGCACTGATGGATTTCTATGATATGTGTTTTCTGTTTAAACTTCTTTTTAAGAGGGAAGCAGAATTGCAGACATGAGAGGTGGCACCTCTCTCTAATGCATCCTTAATTTGAAATCAGGATTCCCACAGTCATGGGGAACCCCTGGAATTTAAAGCCATCATGGAAAATTTATGGCATTTTTATTTTACAAGGAGTAATGGGAAGTTTTTATTCCAAGAATAATATTTGGCTACGGCTGTCTTTAAGCTTCCAGTTTGCATTCCTATTTACAAATGTACTATACATGTTCTTCCTCTTTATGCATGTTTTCTCCTTACTTGATGCATGTTCAATGCATCATTGTGATGCTTAGTGGACTTGCTGCTAAGATGCCTAAAGCCTATTGCAGGAATTGGGTCATTAAAGCCCTAATTGTGTCCTGGAAAACTCATGAAGTTTCCATTTTAAGGTTTCTGTGTGAACCCTGGAATAAAATTATAGTATGACAATCCCATTGGTTAATGAAGCAACAAGTGTATGTATGTTCACCACCTGCGCCAGAGTGAAATTAATGCCACCTCAGTAACGGTGTCTACTTTTGGTTGTTGGGTAATCCTTGCACGAGATCACTATACACTCACGAGGCCCTCTTCAATGGAGAAACCATTGTGTACACTATTTTACAAAGCAACAATTCAGTGATTGATTATATGTAAACAATAGGTAGCACAATGCTTTTGCCATCAAAGAGGGCTTTGATCTATTATGTGTATGCAGTGGTAATCAGTTTAGAGTGATGTGCCCTGGCCACGTATAAAACATGCATTGCAAACTGCTATGAAAAAAGCGCAAGAGTGCAGAAAATAACAGCTCTGCAGTCTGTACAAGTTACCCATGTCTAAAGTTTTTAGGATATTTTTCTTTTTTTCGGGGGGGGGGGGGTACTATATTTACTTGGCATTCATTTTGTTGTATTTTTTGTGGAATAAATTAATGATCAGTGGAATTCACTACCATGTCTCATTTCTTTTTTCACTGTTGATCTAAATAAAAGGTTACTATATTTCACACATATTTTGTACAAATCTTCTTTTTCAGTCCTTCAAAATTAAAAAATGTATTTGCCTAACCGGCATTTTGTAACAAGATTCAAAATATACACAAATTGAAATTTAATTGGAGAGTATATTTGACACTTGCCAGTGTACTTTCTACATTTAAAGTTTCTTGCACATTCATTAATGAACAAAAGCCTACATAGTACATGCCTCATGTAAATCAAACTTTGCTTTTTCATTTTTGCAACTTTGGTCTAAGTTTTCTCAAATCCAATTCAACGTACACATTTATAAACTCATCCGACAATGATTAACAATCTGGAATTTAAAAAAAATGGAAAAGAACAAAATGTACAATGTATGTCATAAATTCAGATTACCAAGTATCAAGCTCAAGAATATTTTGGTCAGGTTGATTACTTTAATTAATCACAAAATTAACCTGATTAACTATAAAACAAAAGCGTTTAAATGACCCGATACAATAGGTCATGTAAAGTCTCTGGAGTAGCTATTCTCACTAGGTTTTTATTTCTCTTTGATGTCTAACTACAGGGCAAATCCAGTAAAGAATTTGGATAACAAACCTAACCAAACTAAACATTCTTACAATAAATACTCTGAAATTGAACAATGTTAAAGATTACTTTCATTCCTTCAGAGGGTGTGACCCACCTATTTTTAGTTCATTTTTTTAAAGGTAATATGCATTTGCTTTTGCAGTAATTTTAAAAAGTGGTTGGATTTGGGGTTAGTACTTAAAGTAAATATTGTTACACTGACCTTTTTAGACTTGTTTTCATGGGTGCTGGAAAAAAACAAGAAAAAAATGCTGTTCTTGTGGTCTGGTTATCTGACCCTACTTCAGACGAAACAGAGCAATTTATAGACATTGGGGAACTGCCAGGTCAGGGAACCAGATTAGATGGTACGTACCGCACCCATTCATGGATGTGTTAGCGTTTGCAAACAAAACATGGACTAACTATATTGGTAAACTGGGGGAAGTTAAACTTGCACGATCCTCCTGGCATGCTGACAGTATTTATACAGTCGGTTAGTAGGCACACTTTTCAGTTGACCAAAATCAACAATGACCTCATTTCACCCCTAGATGACCTTTGACCTCAAATGTCTCAAGTCATCCGAGTCCCCCTACCCAAAGATTATTTACACCAAGTTTGGTTGCGATTGTAGACTGACGACTTTTCATTAGACAGCACTAAACAGTTAAAGGTATAGTCCATCATTTGTAATTTGTGCATTTTGTTTGTTTGAAGCAACAAAAGTGCTCAAGATTTAAAGAAGGGTGCTGAACAACTAACCTGATGAACTTTCAGCTCAGCTTTAACTGTATATTTCGAGAAAAACAACATTCTAGGATCTCAATTTCAAACAAAAGTTGCTGAATCTGTTTTGAATTGGGCCTGATGAATTCAGCGTCAGAGACACGTTCTCACTGAGACGATTGCAGCTACGCAATGTCGCGCACTGATCCGACGAATTATAGCAACCGCGCGCGCATGTGCGTCATGCAAATGCTTGCGCGCGCTTCGCCAAATAAGAAAACGAACTACTAATTTGAATTTCCTAAGAAGCACCGTTGGAAAGGCCGTCTTTTGTTGATTTCTTTAAAATGACAGCTTGCCAGAAAGAATAATTTCACAAGGAAGTCCCCTTGCTATCTTTCAACCAAGTATGTTTTTCAACGATCATTACACCACTTACTTTTTGGATAGCTGCAAATGATGGACTCTGGCTTTAAACCTAACCAAAATGGAAGACACGGACACACACAAACGTGTGTTCACCGTCGATTGTGGACGTCCTATTGTCCCTCTTTTGTCTGCACTCTCAACTTTTTAGGAAGACTCCCATTTGTTTTGTACACGACCCCAATCGCAGACGTATGCTTGGAATCGTGGACGACCTTGTTCTCTTTTGTTCTCTGGTATTTTTCATCGACAGTTTGAAAAGATGAACATATATTAATACACTATCTGAAGATCCCCCTTTCTTGGCTTAAAATTAAGCCAGGGTATAAAAAGTCAGTTTTTTCCCAATGATGGTCAGCAGACCATCATTGAAAATTGATAAAAAAAAATTCCACTTTTCATGAAAATGACAGCACACCAGGTGCCAAGCTTTTCACAGGCTGCTTGAGACTATTATTCTCTTACAGTCAAGTAAGGTATTTCATGATAATTTGGTCGTTTGGTTTTACATGTTTGCAAATGTTTATTACCTTTAAACACTGGTTACGCAACTCAATGTAGCCAATGATTACTGTACATTTCCTATTTCAAACATTTCTTCTGCCTTTTTAGAGTGTTCACTGCTGTGCTTACAGCATCTCTTCTGTTATCGGTTTCTTTTATCAGGAAATCATACATTCAGCAGTGCAATAGGCTCAGAAAGGCTAAATAAGTTCCAGTCAGTATGCTCTGACCATCTTCAGGAGAGTGCCTAAACTCTAAGAAAGTCAATACTTAAGTAGCAAAAGCGAATTTGATACTAGTGTGAAGTTGCATCCTGTGTGGATGCCAAGTAGCTGGGATCCTAGAGCAAGCTTGGTGCCCACTGAAGTGGAACAGTAGGGTTGCAGTCTCAGTTGAGGGAGGACCTAGGGTATAGGAGACCCATCAGTCTATAGGTGGTAGCTGAATAGCTGATGAGGACCTAGGGTATAGGAGACCCATCAGTCTGGAGGAGTGGGAGCCAGATGTCGTTGAGGTGAAACCCGATGTCTTGCGGAACTGTGTTGTGCTTGCGGATCTCGATGGCTTCCCGTATGCTATCTCCACCATGCAAAGCCTCAAATCTTACTAAGTAAGGCTGTGAGTTTGCATTTAATTTTGTGAATGTTTTGCAACTATTTTAAGAAATGTTTAGTTCAGAAATTTCACAAAATCTTATGTCTGCCCATTATGGCTGCAAATCGGCATGGTTGACATGATAAGTCAACAATAATTGACAGAATAAATAGCGGGCAGATAGTTAAAAAGTAAAAACGTGTACCTCAAATGGAATGAATCGAGTGCTGCGGTGTTTCTAAGGGTTTTTTTTAAATTGGGACTAAATAGGTTTGACAACCTACTTAAACATTTGTGCTCTGACTGTTTAATTCAAAGAAAGATCGTGTGAATGCAGATCCCTTTTATTCAAAATTGGGGTTTAGAAATTTGTAAACACATTTAGATTTTTGTTTAACGTTTCAAACGTGTAAACGTCACATCCTTAGGGCCAAGTTGCAATTTATCATTCATGCAGTTGACTCCAGGATACCGTGCATGATTTCAGACGGAGGGGTACCCTCCGTGTCCCTATACACACTCCAGACTATTGTTACCTAACACATCCCCTAGATATCTCAAAAGAATTCCTGAGGTTCTGGGAACACAATGACAAACACAAAAGAGGGGGGTCCCCTCCATCACATATTTCCCTTCAACAAGTCCCTCCTCAGCAGTTCAAAAGATGAAGTAGAGAAAAATGACTGAGAGGGGCATTAGAAGAATTACTGATGGCGCCTGAATTTCACACGAAGATGCCATGGGATTGTGCTCATACTCTTCGTATATGGGCACATACCAGTGCGTGTACGCGCCCCGTATCCCCAACTGCTGCTCTTACACAAGGTGATGAAGCACAGTCATTTTTAGAAATTACTGTCTGTTCATGCATGGAGTCGATTTCTTTACACCAGGAAATGACAGGGTGTGGCGGGGTGGGGGCAGTTCTTGGCATATCTTGGGTTGCGAGTTAAAGCAAGCTATTATCTTGCAGTGCTTACTTTTCCATCATCCCACCATTTGTCCCTTGGACACATTGGTTGAGGCCACCTCCAATACCTCGCAGAACATCCTCAGTACTCCTTCACCGCTCATGGCGGATGTCTCATAATATCTGAAAGCAGACCAGACCCCACAAAACAGCTACTTGTATTAAAATGGTTTTATACTGTCCATCAGTATGAACACACAGCTATGTTTCATAATGAACCGCAACATGGGTTGTCCAAATACAGGATGTAAATTTGGCATCAGCAAACGTGACAACTACAATAAAGGTTTTTCAAAAATCTCCCTCTAAAGCTTTGACGAATACTCATCTAAAAGTCCATCTTAACTTGGACTATAATGGACTGTCCTTATATATCGTGATTATGACTCACAAAGCTAACAAAAGCCTTGGAATTAATTAGGACGTGATTTCTCAAACTCAGTTGTGTAACATGCAAGTTAAGTTTTGATTGCTGCAGCTCAAAATAAGGGAATTTTGAAAAGGAGGCTTTATAGAAAATTTCTGTAAAGATTCAACTGCACACACAGGAAATCAACATCTTCAGCATTGATGGGGTTTAAAAGTTTATGAGAAGCAACATACATGCCAAATTGTAAAGTAGTAAACAAGCAGTGGCGTAACTCTGTGCCGGCGAGTGGGGGGGGGGGGGGATGGGGGATGATCACAATCCAAAAATTGCCCAGCCGTGGAAATTTGAACAGCAAGGGGGGGGGGGGGGCGGGGGTGGCTGGACACCACATTACACTAGGGGCGCTCTTTAGAATATAGATGTATATTAATAAATATTGCGCTTACATCAAAACGGCGCATTTTAAAAGATTTGGTACTCTGTTTCTCCACTTCTCAGTCCTATTGAATACATTTTGGTTGTTGGGATGTTCGACAAATACCTCGAAATCCGCTGCTATTTTCTCAAATCACGGAACAGTGAGGGGATGATTCAATAGCCTCCCCCCCCCCCCCCCCCACCTCGGTCAAAAAGTGGGAGGATATACCCCCATCCCCCTCGACCAAGCTTACTTGAGTTTCCTGGTTACCGCCCATTTGGCTGCCTCCTCTGCAGAGACTGCCCGCTTGCCTTTAATGTCAATCTGACAGAGAAAACAAAACTTATAAAGTTATAACATATAATGTTGACTGCTTCGAGTAGTGTAGTATAACTAGTCTCCCGAGGTGATCCGTTGAACATTTTCGTGGATCACCAAAGGAGGGTACTTTCACAACACCACGAGATAAGCAATCAATATTTGGTTTATAAGATCTCCCATCGCAGACTCTGCTTGAATTTAAATCAAGTTAGGTTTTGCCCTTCACCGACGTATAAACACTGTATACTCAGTCTGTAACCTCCCGAGTGAAAGTTGGAAAAATTCACTCGGGTGGGACTCGAACCCACGACCTCCTGCTTTCTAGTGCAGATGTCTTACCACTCGACCACTGAGCTAACGGGATCAGTTGGCTCGTTCAAATCTGATGTACATAGCAGCGGGTACCACATTAACTATTCATAAGATGGAATTTTGCGTCGGGGTGATTTACATCAAATTAGGTTTTACCCTTCACCTACGTATAAACACTGTATACTCAGTGTGTAACCTCCCGAGTGAAAGTTGGGAAAAATCACTCAGGTAAGACTCGAACCCACGACCTGCTTTCGTGTGCCGATGTCTTACTTCGCTCGTACCTGCAAAGGGCAGATGAGCTTCACAGAATCTCGTGAAGGAAGTGGGGATGTCATTCTGGGTCATTTATCATGACCTATGTATAAAGCATCTGGCTGCAGCTGTAGACCGCGGTTAGCCAATGCATGCAAATACTATCCGAAAAGTGTGCCATAGAAATGCATACACACCATACCGGATGTGATTTCTTTTTCATTGCGGACCATGTGGATAAATATCGAGCGTCGAATGATATGCATTTCGACCCTTCGTGAATTCAAAACGGAGCCTGAGCAACTGACGGGAGTTGAAAAATTGCAAAACAGATAAGTTTTACAGATTTTCCTACATTATTATGCATTTCAACCAAAAAAGCGAGCGCCGCATTTACGAATGAGAATAAAAGAGTGATGAATGACTCCAGTCTTAACGGCTAGGCCTATTATCGGCCGTTTCAAACCTTGCAGGGTCGTGGTCGTGATGACTTGCAGGTCACAGGTCATGCAAAATCTATCCAATCAGAGCGTTATTTCGTCAGCCCTTCCCAGCGTCCTGTTTGCAGGGCGGGGGGTACGAGCGAAATGTCTTACCACTCGACCACTGAGCTGGTGAGACTCGAGGAGGTTACCGTTGTTTATACGTCGGTGAAGGGCAAAACCTAATTTGATTTACATCACCCCGACGCAAAGTTCTATCTTAAAAATATGCTTGATTTTAAGCGATAAATGATTAATTTAATCTCAGTACAATTAAAATGTACTGATACATGATTGAGAAATAAGTTGAAAATTCACTAGACTTTTCTAAACTACCCCTTCACAAAGGGTTTGAACCCAGCTCTGTGGCGCTTGTGCTTGGCAACAATACGCGCAACGCGCACACCCATATGCCTTTGCACACAATTCTGGTTGCTATGCGTATAGTACTTTGGTTGCTAAGGGGATAGTACTTTCCTTGATACGGGTATAGTAATTTTGACCATGCACAACAAGATAGCAAAAATAGCAAATGCCATGCGACTAGCTCTCGGCCAATCAAGACACAGAATCTGTGGGTGAGGTATTAATTTTGATAATAGAATGGTTGGGGGCAGGTGAATTTTAACACTGGCTTTCAGTCTTCAAGTAAGTAATGAATACTTGGTGCTGTCTGATTGCTTGTGTGAAAAAATCTATAAGCTTTTTGAATTGGGTTCGACTCAAACCCAATAACTCCTGGTTAAGAAGGATGCACTGGTAAGCAGGAGGTCATTGGTTCAAGTCCCACCCAGACAAGTACCGGGTAGTAACCTGTAGTATGCATTACTTTCCATACAAGTGTGCACAACACATTCCAAAGTGTTGTGCATTTCTGTGGTATTTGGTACTTGACCCCCAAAGAACCATTAGGGGGTTAGGGTTAATTTATCTTTTTCTCACAAGTACTAGTTCAGCACTAAATGTGTTAAACTATTGAAAGCTTAAATTTTATTGAGCTAAAATCTGTTCTTGATTGAGGCTGCAGGCTTCTACATGCACCAAACATCACTTAAAAACATCACTTTGAAAAAAATGTTCCGAACACATTTGATCAAGTCTAAAAGATACCTTATTTGCCACTACAACTGTGTGCATTGTCCCTGCTCCATTTCTAACTGCCTCTTTCAACCAGAAATCCAGGTTTTCAAATGAGGTACGATTTGTGATGTCGAACACCAGAATGCATGCCTGCGTCCCTCCATAGAGTTCATTGCGCACTTCTGCATACTCCAACTGTCCGGAAAGATCCCACAGATGGACCCTCACTGTGTACAAATTCATGGAAGAACAGTTGGTAAATAAGTAGTTTTAAAAAATGCACAGTACATATCTTCCAAAAATGCTGCTCAATGAACTACACCAGTAAAAAATATTCCAAAGGATGTTTCAATAATTATGAAACAACTGTAAGCACTTTGGTAGCGTTTAGAATTTCGGGTGATTTTTCAAAAATGTAAACAAAAACATGATAAAGAAGTCAAACTTCTAAGTTTAAATGCAAACAACAGGCAAACATGCCTCAATGAAGACTGTATTGTTTCTACTTACAGTCAAGATCTTTGACTTTCTGAATCTTAAATCCATAGTCTACGCCTACAGTTGGCTGGTATGCTGCCGAAAACTGAAAGTAGAGGAGAAAAGAAATCTGAAAATTACAACATAAATGGCACTTTATGGGTTTTATCAACTTTGTTCAATGATGGACTGTGGATGAAGCAAGACTTCAGCTGCATTTCTTCTGTGGATTTACTTAGTGCTCAAGTACCGCCTTGGCATTACTAAACAGAAAAAAAGGGACCTACAGAAGGGACACTCCTAGGCACTGCCAATGGCATCTGACACTACGCAATGATGCTACAGGTTGGAGAAATTCAGGATAACAAAAGTTGTGCGTACTTATCTGCCCTTTACACACGAGAACCAATGCACATGTGTGCTATGTCTCTCCTGCATGAGCTATCATGAGTGTCAAAGCACCATCTAATGTGCATGCATAGAGCCAATAGTGCAAACCATTCTCTATATTTCAGGCTAAGACATTGTGCATCGGCTAGTCTGTAGTATATTTTTTACCTTATCTTCACAGAAGTGTTTAATGAGGCAGGTTTTGCCCGCAGCTGCTGTTCCTAAGGCAATGATTTTGACCCAGATAAGAGAGGAGACAACGCCTTCAACGGAGATTGGGAGATGGCCAGACTCTCTATCCATCATATCATCTGTAACTAAATATCAATCATCCACAAAAGAGGTGTTAAAGCTTTAACAAATAAAAATCACTAAATAATTCAGAGGCATTCAACGATAGGTATATTCCCAATAAAAAAACTAATATATTTCAGCATTATTTTCCATTTGTAAAACGAATGCCTTCTTTAAGTGAAGTGTATAGAGTGAGGTGAAAATATACAGCGCACGCACACAAAAAAGGAACTAGGTATGCGTATTCAAATAACTAACTCATAAGCACTCATACAAAAATAAAAGCATGTTTATGTAATGGCCTGATTTTTTTTCTCACTTTTTAAGAATTAAGATAAACTCAAATAAAAGTCAACTAGTAAAGTGCTTTCAAATTACAGGAATATGGCTACGTGTTTCTTTTCTGCCCGAAAGCTGTCTTGTGAATACGAGGTTACAACAATAATTTTGGCATGGAGCCAGACTAAAATTAGTACCAAAAAACAGTAACTGCGCATGTTCAGTGGAATACAGGTCAACTCGTACGCAGGACAACTCATACGCAGACCAACTCGTATGCGAGGCAACTCGTACGCGGGATAACTCGTACGCGGGCCAACTCGTACACGATCCAACTCGTACGCGTGAGTATAGACTAGCGTAAGGATGAGGTTTGGACTTCGAATTTTTTTCAGCAACTCCCATTCCTTTTGTATTCGTTCTCAAATAATGGACCCCCACTCAGTATCCGCGTAGCTGGCATGGACTTGAATTGTTTCTTTTCCAGTGATTCCAACCGCGTAGCCAGAGATTTTAGGGGTGTATTTCCGAGTGGCGTCCCAATTAGTTCATTTTTAAATCAGCTTGTTTTGCTCATTAACCGTAAAGTTATGATTTGTTTTCCCGGACGCTATACGACACTGTACGCTATACGACATAATGCCACGTAGTGAGAATTTAAATCGTACAATGTCCGCTGCTAGTCCGAGTAACTTGGACCCAACTTATCGCCTTTTTAAAAATTTTGACATGGTCTGGCGATAGTAGGGTCCAAGCCCATTCCGAGACCTAGACAACACAGTCACTGACAGTCCCAAAAACCAACATTTTCCAACAAAAAACATCAGATTTCACCTTCAAAACGGCCTCCAAATTACTAGGTATGCCACCTGAGGTACAAGTAGACATCGATAATTAAGATAGTTGTACTGAAGTTTACTTACGATCCGGAAAAAAGTGAAATTTCCGTTCATTTCGGAGAGCTCCCCTCGCGATCTTGAACACGTTAAATTTGCGATCGTGTTTAAAGTTTGAACGACGCGATTTCTTCTACATGCCCAGCGTACATTCGATGGTCCCCGTATCCCGTATGCGATTCCGTTACCGAGCGCGCGCGATGCATCGATTATGATAATGATCACGTTTGTAAACACATACATGTGCATTTCGAACTGTAAAAGGGAATCGGGAACCAGCTTGAACTGGTACCCGCTATAAAAGCTGCGCTAGTTCCCGACTCCCTATTATCGTTTGAAATGCACATGTGTTTACAAACGTGATCCAGTCTACTCATTATCATAATCGATGCATCGCGCGCGCTCGGTAACGGAATCGCACTCGGGATACGGGGACCATCGAATGTACGCTGGGCATGTAGAAGAAATCGCGTCGTTCAAACTTTAAACACGATCGCAAATTTAACGTGTTCAAGATCGCGAGGGGAGCTCTTCGAAATGAACGGAAAATTTCACTTTTTTTCCGGATCGTAAGTAAACTTCAGTACAACCATCTTAATTATCGATGTCTACTTGTACCTCAGGTGGCATATCTAGTAATTTGGAGGCCGTTTTGAAGGTGAAATCTGATGTTTTTTGTTGGAAAATGTTGGTTTTTGGGACTGTCAGTGACTGTGTTGTTTAGGTCTCGGAATGGGCTTGGACCCTACTATCGCCAGACCATGTCCAAATTTTTAAAAAGGCGATAAGTTGGGTCCAAGTTACTCGGACTAGTCCGCTGCATATTTGTAGACTTCCAACAATACACCACTATAGTGGCCCCGCGCTATGTGTAAATAAAATCGTTGTATGTCTTGACAAATTCTCCACACTAGCTGCGTGGTTGGAAGTAGCATTGCACTTCACATCGGTCGCTAAATTAAATGGATCATATTTTTTTTAAATGTATCTTTGAAACTTTTAAACTTGTACAGTATCGTTGTTATGGAATTTAAATTGTTGAAAATACATATGGCTACAATCACAGTCATTCAGTCATACAATCGGACGGTGATAAATTGTTAACTTTGGCGTCTGTTTTGGGGTAAACTTTTGGCAATCGTAAACATCGTTCAATTTCTTTTCATTTGCTAATTTCGGTCCGCGTACGAGTTGGCTGGCGTACGAGTTGGTTCGCGTACGAGTTGCGTACGAGTTGTCTCGCGTACGAGTTGACCAATCCGCGTACGAGTTGTCTCGCGTACGAGTTGGTCCGCGTATGAGTTGTCCCAACCACGTCCCCAGTGCTTACCATATTTCCAACCGCGTTTCCAATAGTAAACCCTGGATAGGAAACTTTCTTCCTGTATCCTGATTGGATACCGCAATTGGCTAGTAATGGATTTTTATCATGTACTTGGTGCTATATATTTACAACGTGCAGTACGTGTTTTCGCGATCATTCGTCCACGCCTTCTCGAAAATACTAATTTCCTTTCCAATTTGCTCATATTAATATGAAATATGATACTGCATGTTGTCTCGATAAGATCGTAACAGTTTGATTTCAAAAATCGTGTTTTCGTAACTCACGCCGTGCTCGCGCTGCTACGAATTGACTCTGTTTTTACCCCAGACACCTCATACAAAAACAAACGCTAATGTGTAACGCATATCCAGGCACCAGACTGTTCCTTATTTGCATATGTGTGCAAAAATCTTGCACATGCAAATGATCCAATACCAGGGTGAGAGAGCAGGTAGTGGTGGGCGCGTACTGCTCGACACCCTGGGGACGAGGTTGGAGTTGTCCTGTTTCCGTTCAGTGCATATCCGGCTAAACTGCTAAAGGGGTAGGCCTAGCCCGACTGCGTCTGGCCGTACAGTACTATCGCAAGCTCTGTAGTACGGCCAGACGCCCGATGCTTCCAAAAAGACTGAATTTTTTTGGCCGCCGATGTAGCGATTTTGCTACATCTTTCAATCGCGATTTTCTTTTCATCCAGGACACAAATTTCCAAAGTTAAGGTTCGTAGTGGTAGAGCAACTCATACCTTTTCGAAAAAAACGTTCTTTGGTCTCAATATTTTCATCCATCTGGCCACAAGACGAATTTCAGTCATCAGATTCCACAAATATCGTCCCCCATGCGATCCCCCACGCGATTTCAAAATGGCGGCCGCGCTGTAATGTATGCATTATGCGAGCGCGCTTGGGCAAGATAATAAATATGCATCATAGTTTATGACGTTTGTCGGACACTTAGCGCGGCTGGCCATACAAACACGAGGTCATGAACTAAATAATGCATATTCATTATCTTGCCCAAGCGCGCTCGCATAATACATACATTACAGCGCGGCCGCCATTTTGAAATCGCATGGGGGATCGCATGGGGGACGATATTTGTGGAATCTGATGACTGAAATTCGTCTTGTGGCCAGATGGATGAAAATATTGAGACCAAAGAACGTTTTTTTCGAAAAGGTATGAGTTGCTCTACCACTACGAACCTTAACTTTGGAAATTTGTGTCCTGGATCATGGATGAAAAGAAAATCGCGATCAAAAGATGTAGCACTAGCAAAATCGCTACATCGGCGGCCAAAAAAATTCAGTCTTTTTGGAAGCATCGGGCGTCTGGCCGTACTACAGAGCTTGCGATAGTACTGTACGGCCAGACGCAGTCGGGCTAGGGTAGGCCTAACTAAAGGTTTGCCGTCTCCGGCAAAATATACACCTATTAATATTCTTTCCAAACTTACATTCAAAATATTACCTACAAAAACTACACGTAGGCCTAGGCCCTACACTTCTTCATCTTCTTCTTCTTCCAAGCTCTGCGCCAACTTCATAAAGTTGAAGACTGGGGCACATTGTTGGTGCGAATTACATGTTTATCATGTTTATGATGCTGACTGACGGAAGTCACAGCCGGCCGCGCGGCCCCTGGCAACACAATATAAGTTCTGCGCGACTTCGTTTTGTCTATGGGGGAATAGACTTGGCTCAAGTCGAATTCCTTGCATGATCTAATAGAACGTCAGCAGTACTGCGTAAGTTCTTGGATTTCACCCTAATTCCGCCTTGAGGTTAGTCTAGTTTGCGGCTGTAGAAACAGTTTGGTACCCAGACGTAGATTTGTTTCACAATGCACTATTATATCACAAGTATTTCCCTTCATTTGAAGCTAGGACCTGTCCAGTGCATTCGCTTTTGCGACAGTGCAGTTTATGAATAATAATTTCAACAGCTGTACAGACGAACTGTACATTGTACATTTCACATTATACCACAGTGTCGTAAACAAGACTTGAAAACCCACGGGTGTGATCCAGTACGAGAGGAAAAGACACGAAAGTAAAGTAGCAGAGAATCTGACAGAAATTTTGTGGTGCACCTAAGCCTACTGTGATGCAGAGCAGTGTCATCATCGCCATGGGCGTCGCGAGAGCGGGCGGAGGGGGGGGGGGAGGTGGGGGGGAGGTGGGGGGAGGTGGGGGAGGAGGGGGGAGGTGGGGGGAGGGCATGACGAGCCAAAACCAAACAAAAAAACAAAAAAGGGGGAAAAGGAAGAGGGGCGAAATCATACTGTTGCTAATTAAATGGGTTGAAGGGGGGCCAAATATCCCTGTCAAAAAAACCTCCAAAATTGATCGATCGGGAACCGGAAATGCTGGAAAAAAATAGGGATTATTTTTTGGGGGGGGGGGGAGAATGTGCTTTGCCCCCCTCTAGAAAAAATATTTGCGACGCCCATGATCATCGCGTAGTTAGTCGGCGAACAAGGTCTGGTGAATACAAAACGCGCAATTCCTGAAGTTAACATCAGGGGTGTGAGTGACCACTGATAAAAATAGCTGAAAACAGCTGAAAAAGGTGTAAAAAAGCTGAACTTTGGAAGTTTTGTATACTTTTGTACACAGCAAGTGAGGAAAAAAAGCTGAAATCCAAAACAAAAAAAGCTGAAATCAGCTTTAAAGTTGAGATTTCACACCCCTGAACATACATAATGTATGAGCTGATATGTCACCAGATATATGAATATTTATAGAATTTCGCTCAAAACTTTCTGAAACTGGTGCGCGCCATTTAAAACCAATTTTGAAAACTGTATAAAGGTCTGCAACAATAAACAAGCAAATTTATTTGATACAGGAAATAATCGAAATTTTATATAAAGCACGTATATATACCAACTTTAACTGTTATACAATCATTAAGTTTACTAATAACATCTTATAAAAGAGTTTGAAATACAAAAACCAAATCAGTCAGAGAAGTATACTCTTAATAATTCCCATTGGGTTAAGCTGACTTTTTTTATAAGTTGCATTCAGTTATCACCAATCATTCTTAATGAGCTTTATCAAAATCGACGATGTTTTCACGAAGTGACAAAAACCTGGAAAATCGATTATTTTTTAGATTTTGAGTTTTGCACTTGACAAAAGGAACAAGCTGACAAAGTTTCAACGCGAAGTAGTTTACTTTTTTAATTATGGTAAACAAACAATTAACAAAAAGCCAGAACTCCGTGTTTTTGTTTATACGAAGTGACAAAAACTTACCTCGATATAACGAGGTATGTTTCTGCTATTATAGCAGGGCCAGAGCATAGAATATAAAGACTAGATTGGCAGCGCGTGCATACGCGCCATAGTGTGCACAAATTTTCCCGTTCCGTCATGGACGCTCTACGCACGCAAAACGTGCATTACGCGTACCTATACATTCCCGTAGGTTTGTGCACAAACCATAGAGCTATATTAAATTACACAAACGTGTATTTTTATGTCCGTAATTAAAAGTAATATTTTTGACCTGTGCAGTGTGTTCAAAGTAATGGGACAAAAACTAGGGACCTATGCGTTTTGCTGTTTTCACGAACTGCAAAATATCTTTATTAATGAATTACTTTTTAAATTAAGAGAGACTTTAAACAAACAACTTTGAATTAGCAAAGAACAAAGCATACGTTACTTGACAATGCCAAAAATTCCCAAATCTGTAACTACCAACTAGTCGAAAACGTGTTTTGAAAAATTGATTAACTCAAAAATCTGATTATCTCGAGATGACCTTTTTGCAGGACATTGAGGTTTTTGTCACTTCGGGATGCAGAAGGTACCACTTGTGAGGGTTATAGCTTAAACCAATGTCATAACGTTAATTCCAGTAAACGGCTTTGCTTCAGACATGCCTTTTGACTTGAAAACAGAATTATGCACGATATATCGATAACCATTTTTGGCCTTTCGTAAACGATCGATAATTGCCTTGCAGCTGTTCACATTCAATAATGTTTCATAATTCATGCACCATGCCCTCGTTCTTCTTTCGCAGAAAAAAATGAACAGACAGGGAATAATAATGGGTTAATCATTTTGTTTCAAATGAAAATTAATGATTTGTCAATGTTATTAGTCGCCTTCTATTGTGCCTAATTATGAACTGCATGCCTATATAATACCACATTTTGGAAACTCATGCGACTATATGATTGTAAATCCATGATATCCACCTTATTTCACTGAGTTTTCTCAGCGTATATCAATGCATTGTTTATCTAAAAATGAAAACATACATATCATTGGGCAGATGTTAAAGTGCACACTTTAAAGCTATTGATAGCTGATGTAGATGTTTAGCTGCTAAATGTTCATTCTTTTTTTCTCTCTTTCAAAGAAAACAAACAGTAAAATCTACACGAAAAAATACGGACCTTAATATACAAAAGATCAATGTCAAATTTCTCCCAATACAAATCATGCAATTTTTTTCAAATTTTTATTTATAGATTAAGCAAGCAAGAATACTGTTTCCTGCTTGTATATTTCTACATGTACATCGTTGTATATCGAGTTGTTCAGGGGTGCTCCATCTCCAAGTAGGTGTATTTACCGCCCTCATCATCGGGGGAGGATCACTTCGTGCACCGGAAAGAGTCGCCGGATCCTGAAACGTTCAAAATTGCAAAGATTATACCAAATAGCATTTCAATGCAACTTGACCCCAGCTTTCCACACTGATCTATGTTAAAAACAAAGCTTGTTGATACAATTTTCAGGATGTCTTCTGTTGTGTCTCTTTTTGCGATTAAACATATTTAAACAAAGATTACAAACACAAAAGGGCAATTGTTTCTGGTACAGTTACTTTTAAATGTCGTTTTTCCTCCTTGAGTTCGAATATGAACCCTCATACCTGATGTCGATCACTTTGTCATTTCCAATTTAATGCCCCGAAGACAGTTTTGCATAATCTGAAAATATTTCTTGTTCTCGCTGACATTTCAATGAAGTGAAGCATTGAGTATAAATATGCACAGCCACGTAAAATACTCGATCTTTAAATTGTGGTCTTACTTTTGGACCCCTTGCAAATCCGTCGACATCTTCTTCACTATCGTAATCGTCTTCGTCATCGTTTTCATTGCTCAAAAGGTTCCATGAACTGCAAAATTATATACATTGGCATGGAAAATTGGCTAATTAAAGATTTGTAAAACAATTATCGAAAAATCGAAATATAAACATATATAGGCCTTTTGGCGAAATGCACCAGTAGCAATACTGATTTTAAACCTCTAAAATTAAACTAGTCGAAAATTGGAACTTTTGAATTGTGCAGTTAACATTTATTTTATTTCATTTTTTACTATATTTTCGTCTTTTTTTCCTCCCAAAATTGTTCAGACGCTACACTCCATAAACTGTGTTTAGCAATTAAACACAATCTTGCAATCACTTTGTAAACTTGTTAAGAAATTAAACATTACGTGTCCGACACTTTAGAAAGTCAAGTCTGAGAAATGAATTAGCAATCAAGAGTCTGCAGTGTTCCCCTGCAGAGTTGCACAGAGACTGCTGAACCAGACTAGATCGGAAAATTTCCATTGAAATAATTATAAGCACATTTTTGTTAGACAATAATTGCGTTATTTTCATGATGCGATTGTGCATTCTACTTTACACAAGTGATGCATTAAACTGGGCAGTCGGTAGCGGGGATCTGGTGTGGATCTCCAACTACTCGTGATGCATTAAAACTGGGCAGTCGGTAGCGGGGATCTGGTGTGGATCTCCAACTACTCGTGATGCATTAAAACTGGGCAGTCAGTAGCGGGGATCTGGTGCGGATCTCCCACTACCCGAAAAACTTAGAACCTGTTTTCCCCTCTTGCCAGTTACCTTCCCGAACGTTAAAGAGAACAAGTGGCAAACAGAATGTTAAATATCGCCCTATCAGAAAATTGTGATTTCACTCTTTTACCATAAATAACTGGTACTTATTCCTGTACACATTTTTTTTCTGTGTACGAACATGCCAGCTGGAACGTGTACACAACGTAACATTGAAAACCAAAGTTTCTAGGATTAGTTATTGAATTCAGCATAAAAGGAGAAAGAAGAATACAATTCATTACATTTATTCTTCATAATAATTTGTTAAAGATAATAGTACCGATTAAGTACGAATGTTCGAATGGCTTAGGCCTAAGCACGTTTATTATATCTTTGGGGAAATTGCAACCTCAACTCATGCATTGTTTTGTTACAACGTTAATAAAGGCTGCAGCGACAAAGCTATCACAGATTTATAAAGGTTGCGAAATATTTTAATAACTTTAAATAATCGACAAAACTTGTTTGCTCACCGGCGTTTGTTACTTCTTTTCTTGCACCAATAGACAGCCGCGTATACCAACACGATGAAAAGCACCAGCACCGCAGAAACACCGCCGATCACTCCGACCTTACTGGTGGAATACCGACACCTGTCGCCGTGGTACCATTCACTGCTCGAGTCCGAGCACCGACATGTCGGGTTAGCGTTGTCGGCCTGGCTACACACACCGTGATCGTTGCAGTAGTCGGCGTGGGTAGCTTTACAGGGAGAGCGACACTTGACGTACCCGTCCACGCACTGCAGCTCCAGGTAGGGGTTCTGGCATGACGCCAGACCATTCTTTGTAAAGTTACAAAAGTTGGTTTCATCTGCATGAACAAGATGTGTTGATGTTGACAAGGCTTATACGGGGGTGATATTCATTGTTCTTGTAGTGCTTTATTTCGTTTGTGTTAAATTGTACCTGAAGAACTACTCGCTAGTTATTAAGTTAACCTTTTAGTGATCATGCAGGCATGGGCCAGGATTTTTTTCGGGGGGGGGGGGGGCAGAGCACATTGTTTCCAAAAAATCATTGTACTTTCTCTAGCATATTCTGAATTTGTCTCTTTTTTTTCGAGAGTGGGCGGGGCAAAATTTGCCCACCCCTGACCCCGCCCCATTGAAACGGCCTGCGGTCGCCCATGTTGTTAAATGCGCATCAAGGTAACGGCAATATGACCTCACACCTCGTCGATTTTTTTCCTTCTTTTTTCCCCTCCTTTTTTCCCTCCTTGTTTGGTGTTTTTGTGTGTGGGGTTTTTTTTTGCTCTTCCTTGCAACGCCCATGCTTCTGCTGGGTGCACTTATTTTTTTCACCTGCTTGCTCATTTGTCCATCTTATTACCATAATTATTGTAGTCACTTGTTTATACATATATCTTTATGTATTTGCATATGTATATTTTTTTAATACCTGCGAAATAATACATGAAATGAAATCAAATCAAATCAAATGATGCGCAGGAAACTCTACTTTATATCGCTTTAAGTTTAAGACAAGAAATGTTTCCGACAAGACAACGTAGAAGGAAAACAAAATCTAAAATCAAAAGACGGCTTCTTTTCAGTATGGTTCTCACCTTCAGGCTCGGAACAGTCGCTACAGTTTATCAGTACGTTGAGGTTCCCGAGTTTCCCCATGGCAACAGCTGGTGCCAGTGTACGCTGGTAAACTTCCATGGCCGAAAGCCCTTCATCTTGTGGGCGCATACCTACATAATCGTACACCACTTCGTGTGGAATAATCACGCTGCCTTTCCTTTGAAAACAAACATCATACCAATAGCTTAATTGACAAATTTCAAATGAACATTAAAATCGAGAGGATCAGATAGTTTTCCCTTTTGTGAGAAAGATATTTTTTAAGTCCTTTGTGTCGTGCAGTGGCTTTATAGCACAGACAGCCTTGATATTGATACTAATTTGGAATTCGTCTATAGGAAAGCGCTAAATGGAGATGGACTCCCACACTTAATTTTCTTAATTAACAAAATAGAGAATACATTTCCATTTGCGGTTATAACATTAAAGAAGTAGCGTCATCGACCGAAGACTCACCTCATTTCATCAGCCAGGCGAACTGTTTGAAATCCTTGGATATTTCTGTAATAAACTTCAGCCTTCAATAAGGAAACAACAAATCAGGGGAAAGGGTTAATTAATCTAGATATAATGTCTGTATGGGATTGAATATTCATGCTTGGCCCTGACCTGAAACAGTAATTCTCTTTTTGATAGGGAAAAGTCAGCCTACCAAGCCTGTTATTATTGATCTGGATTTCAACATACGACCAGGTTTTCAACATTGAAACAGTATCAACAACTTGCCTGTGAGAGAGATTGTTCTAGGATTGAAATAGGCCCTGCCTACAACTTTAACGATTAAGACATATTTACTCACATAATGTTATCACCATTACAAAAAGGGAATATCGGTGCCATAATAAGGATAATATAGTGTACTGATGACTTGGCACTACAATGTACTCACATTTTCGTATTTTCCGTCTGTTTTTAGTAACTTTTGTGTAGACAAATAAAATATTCAAATATCAAGGTTTGGATACGAATATAACGACAAGATTCATTTGGGGGGGGGTGGGAGATTTTCTCCCCATCCCCCCCCCCCTCTCTATCTCTCTATCTCTCTTTCCCGAGTTTAACTGAGTCATTATGTTTCCAATGTCATTATTGTCGCTAAAAAATACTGAGTGTGAGTTTTGTGGTATTTCAATGTGGGACTCACCCTTTTGAAAAAGTACTTGCCCAACGCCTGACAATAACTGGAAGTATTATTTTTGGCCGGCCGACACTGTGTCGAGTCTTCTGAGATAGCCACCTCAATCCTTATAACTTTCTTAGGTTTTCCTAATGAGAAATTGAGATCAACGATTAAAATATGATATGCATATCCTGTAAAAGGCCTCGTAAGTTAGCGTCATGTTGCAAAACGTTTGCAATCTGCATTTGCCAGTTTTTAAATAAAATAAAACGTGGACCACTTTTTTTGTCAAGTGCACAATGGCTTCTGGCTTCATTTTAACATATAAACATTTTGAATAAGAAAAAAAATTACAATTCATCATTTCATTAAGAAGTACTATACCTTTAAATTTGGGTGTTTCGTCCTTAGGTAAGTTGGACGCAGCCGTCGTTGGCATCACTGGAAACTGAGAGGTAGCATTGATAAGTTCAGTAGTGGTAGAATTGTCAGTTGCATTTCCTGGGAGAGTCGGAGTGGTCAAGTTCAAAGGCGGTTCGGTATAGTTACCGGATATGGTTGTAATATTGCCTGGTACATTGGTGGTTATATTGCCTGGCTGTTTTGTGGTCATATTGGACGGTTCAACGGTGGTGAAGTTGAAAGGCGGTTTCGTTGAGTTACCGGGCATGGTTGTCATATTGCCTGGTACATTGGTGGTTATATTGCCCGGCTGTGATGTGGTCATGTTTGACGGTGGCTCAACAGTGGTGAAATTATAAGGCGGTTCCGTTGAGTTACCAGGCATGGTTGTCATATTGCCTGGTTTATTGGTGGTTATATTGCCTGGCTGGGATGTGGTCATGTTTGACGGGGGTTCAATAGTGGTGAAGTTATAAGGCGGTTCCGTTGAGTTACCAGGCATGGTTGTCATATTGCCTGGAACATTGGTGGTAATATTGCCCGGCTGTGATGTTGTCATATTTGACGGTGGTTCAACGGTGGTGAAGTTATAAGGCGGTGCCGTTGAGTTACTAGGCATGGTTGTCATATTGGTGGTTATATTGCCCGGCTGTGATGTCGTCATAACAGTGGTGAAGTTATAAGGCGGTTCCGTTGAGTTACCAGGCATGGTTGTCATATTGCCTGGTACATTGGTGGTTATATTGACCGGCTGTGATGTCATGTTTGACGGTGGTTCAACAGTGGTGAAGTTATAAGGCGGTTTCGTTGAGTTACCGGGCATGGTTGTCATATTGCCTGGAACATTGGTGGTCATATTGCCCGGCTGTGATGTGGTCATGTTTGACGGTGGCTCAACAGTGGTGAAGTTATAAGGCGGTTCCGTTGAGTTACCAGGCATGGTTGTCATGTTGCCTGGTACATGAACATTGGTGGTTATATTGCCCGGCTGTGATGTCGTCATAACAGTGGTGAAGTTATAAGGCGGTTCCGTTGAGCTACTGGGCATTGTTGTCATATTGCCTGGTACATTGGTGGTTATATTGCCCAGCTGTGATGTGGTCATGTTTGACGGTGGTTCAACAGTGGTGAAGTTGAAAGGCGGTTTCGTTGAGTTACCGGGCATGGTTGTCATATTGCCTGGTACATTGGTGGTTATATTGCCCGGCTGTGATGTGGTCATGTTTGACGGTGGCTCAACAGTGGTGAAATTATAAGGCGGTTCCGTTGAGTTACCAGGCATGGTTGTCATATTGCCTGGCACATGTACATTGGTGGTTATATTGCCCGGCTGTGATGTCGTCGTGTTTGACGGTGGTTCAATAGTGGTGAAGTTATAAGGTTCCGTTGAGTTACCGTGCTTGGTTGTCACATTTCCTGGTACATTGGTGGTTATATTGCCGGGTTGTTCTGTCGTTAAACTGAAATACAGCTCAGTTGAAGGGGTAAAGTTACGAGTACCTTCTTGAGTGATACCAAGGGGCACGACTGCCGCCATATACACCACCGCCACCACAACCACTTCCCAAAGACGCACCATGACAATCATCTGTTTCTTTCACACTTCAGCAAGAACTTTTCACTTTGTTTCAGGTAACCTAAAATCTATCCTGTGACAGCTGGTACGGTTGTGTTAAATTTACCCAGGTTCAATGTTTTAGACGATTTCCGAATGCACAACGCGACGACAAAGTAGGCTGTAAAAGGCAGTTTGAAAAGCGCTCAGCTATTAACCTTGACACACGGGTCCACCGTCCAACTGACTTACTCAGATTGCGAAGAGACTGACACTAATATATTTCTCATGTCTGATGAAATCATTCAACAGGTGTTGACGGTATATGGTAATGGACATGCAACAGATATTATTGATTCCAGTTTGTTTATTTAATTTCGGGACTGAAAACAGCCGCAAAAACACGTAGGCCAAGGCAACTTCAGGTGTTTACGTTTGTTGGCTACAGTCTCGTTTAGACTTTGTTTGATGGCACTTCACTTTGTCCTTTGAACAGATATGAGATTAAATCAGATTAAAGGCGCAACAGTGTAACGTAATGTATGCCCATATAGTCTGGTTTCGTTTTCGAAAACAAAAAATACGGTTCACGTGTGCATTTTATCATGGGAGTATTTTTCGTAAAACCTTATGCGTAGCGGCCATCTCAGAGGACATCTTTTGTTATTTTAATTCAGTAACATTGAATGCACAAAAGGATCACTATGCATGTCCAAACAAAACAAAGGCATTGTCCTATAAGACGGCCGCTACGCACAAGGTCTATTATCTTCTAGCAAAATGAATCCTCGATCCTGATTGGTCGATCACTACTGGCAACAAACCGTGCTGTTTTATCCCATACACCACGATCCATAAACATATTTTTGTGAAAGGGCTTAGCCTGACTAAAATATACACTTTTAGGAATTCACAGTTCATCCCAATGGAAAAAAGGGTTTTGTTTGCCTGAAGGTAGAAACCACTGCTAAATTTCCATCCAACCACTCAGTTTAATCTCATACAATGTTTCAATATTTAAGGACTGTTTATAACACCATCGTGCTCTATGGGAAAAAAAAACAGAAAAATGAATAAGCTCCTATGCAGTTCTTGAACTTGCCAAATGCATTTGTTTAGGGCAGCTATTTAAACAGCGGTGTTAAATTCAATGATGTTATATTCAAAATGTGTGTTCACTTCAAAAAGTCAATGTGGACATGCATGAGACCAAATCCTCAACACCCCCTTACACTAAATTGTTTACCAAAATGTATTTATTGTTTACACAATAAACTGTCACACCAACAAGTAAACAAAAACTTAATTTGTACAAATAAGTTACTTTAGAGTCCATTCTTTTTACAGTTACATGTATTTATTTTAAAAAAAGTACAGCACCGAATTAGTACTAAATCAACTGATTCTATACATGTATACACAAAAAGGGTAAATTGTGACCAATGGATACATTGTTGAAATTGTCATCAATAGATCCGTCAGTCCTGAATCCTCCAAGTTTACTTTGATTTTGCACACCCCCTAGGGAGTTAGGGTTAGCTAAATATATGAAGCAGACCTCATCACTTAATCAAACATAAAAAAATGAACAGTTAGCCATTTTAAATGGAAAACTAAGTAGAGTTATGTTCTGTTGGTCTTTTTACATATTGAAATTCAGTAATACATGTACAAGCAAATGTCATCAGTAAGCCAGTGTAAGATATAATCATCAATTCGCAGTGTTAGCTAACGCCAACAATACAGCGACATTATTTCTCAACCCCCCCCCAAAAAAAGTTGTATATTACATGTAGTGATACTGTTCTACGTCAAGCAAAGCATAGCAACAAGCAGTAAACTAGAATTTCAGAAACTTGTAAAAACAACACGCATCAGCTCAAAAATATTACTGCATGAATTTCTGTTGGCATTTTCTCAAGTACTTGATGGGCACTTGGTTTTATTAATCTTGTATTAATTCAATTTTTCAATGTGATCAGGACTTAGATTTCACAGCTTTCATCAGAAGCCTAATGTGATATTTATGAAAATATAAAGACAAGACCAGCATGCTCATCCCTTCTACTCTTTGCTCATAATATTATACTAAAGTAAGTATGACAGCCTTTGGCTAATAAAAAAAGCAACTTACAAGGCTTACACAAACATCTGCTTGGTAATTTCAGTGGTTAGCCATTTAAAAATAGAGTTGTGGCAATGAGAAAGAGACAGCAGTCTGTCACAGATTTGAGTGGACATTGTTCAACTCTACATCTTGTGTTTCATCCCACAATGGTTCCTCTGCATCGTGAAGGTGTTCTGGGGGATAAGAATGGTGAAAAGGAAGCAAATAAGCTCCCAACTGAAGAACTCTCAGCATTGGGATAATATCTTCACTCTGGGTCAAGGTTGTAGTCAAGTCCATCGTATTAATCAAATCACAAGTCAGTTACAAATCAAATCACAATTGAAGTCAGTGGAAATAGGGCATGAACAAGGACAAAGGATTGACTTATCACGGTTCGATTGAATAGCTTGTCACTTGACTTGAGGCCAGATGACTTATGATTGATATGTGACGACATGACTACAAGTCTGGCTGGGACACCTTTAACCTCCGCCCCTCTTTTGTGAAAATGTGCAACATTTCTGTTGGTGCACAACACTGCTCTGATGGGATAACGTTCCATTGTGATCAGCAATGCAAGAATTCTGTCACAATGACTTATTCGACCCCTGCTATTTAAATTTGCAATAAGGGGAAATGATTGCATGTGTTTTGTTCTTGCCTTTGTTTGGCAAATCATGTCTTCCGTTTTAAGTGCTCCCTGATTCTCAAACATAAAGAGATAAAAAGGCTAAAATGACCAGCAAAGTGTCATGCACGAGACAAATAAATTGCCTCACCTCTTCTCACTTCATTCTTTAAGTCTCTGTGTCAGGTTTGTTATATTACAAACTTCTTAAATAGAGGCAAAAGCATTCAGGATTTGTGCAGGATTTAAGGATAGCATAGCCCTCAGCTCAGTTACTTTTTCTTCGCAAGGGGCTTGATCTACCCATCCCCACCCATGCCACCCCCCCCCCCCCCAAAAAAAAAGTACAAAGAATGTGGCATCAGGTTCCTGAACTATGGAGGATTTAGGAGGAGTGATGAAGGATTGCAGCTATGCAATGGAAGTTAGAGTTAATGCTTACCTGAGGTGTAGTCTGTTGTTGGTGTGACTGAGATGACAAGCCATCCTAAGCAGGCACCGATGGCTCGGATTAAATTGATGATAACCCAGATATTGAGTTGTGTGTCTGCTTCTGCACTATCCCTGGTTAATTACACCAACCAAAATAAATAATTTATGACATCAGCCTTTTCATTTTCTTAAGTCACAAAATGAAGCACAAATATATTTGCTCAACAAACACTGAGTGTCAAAGATAGATTTGGCAATTACCTGACACCTAGATCATATTTGTTGAAATGTCTAAAAGAAATTGGTTACATTTGTGATCCATTGTAGCTTTTACAGATTATGTGTTGCAGTGTTCTCTGTGGAATAAAAAGTTAGCCGGGCAACAGCGAGTAAAATCTGTGATTGCATGTGCAAAGTTCAAAGGTCAATGAGAGGTGCACACAAGTGCCAATAGCTCCTACCACCGGTCTACCCTCCGGAAATTTGAAATGCAAGCCTTGAATGGATCAGCATGAAAGTTTGGCAGGGTGGCCCGCCCGTCTAAAACCTCTCCTGGAGAACACTGGTGCTGTTTCAAAGCAATATCCAGGCCACTATTGCCCCATGCAACGATTCTAATCATTTTTGATATACTTGGACATTACTTACCATAAAGAACCGCTGTCTGGACAAGAATCACCACTGAAAAAAAACAGCGAGAGGATAAAAATCAAACAACTGCTCATTGCAACTAACACTGCTACATTTGCTTGACAGAATTCTAATAAGACAGAAAGTTTCAAATATAAGACAATATTAATTTCTTTCATTCTTCATTGGCATAAAGCACTGACTTACCAGTACGGTGCACTCGTCTTGAAAAACAAACTTATTCTGTCGTCTATGGCTGCAACACTCGCAGACATTATCAGTGAGATTAGGTAAACTATAAAAGGTAAAATATTTGAGCAAATGTTATTATTAATTATTAAAACAAATAACATTTCCCCAATAATCCCTGTACCGCCCGAAGTGCCCTGCCCCTTACTCCGTTGGTTTAATGGATTCATCAAGGAGTATATACAATGTAGTACACTGTAATACAAGTGCTAAAGGGTTAAGAACAAATAGTATATCGGAGTGTGGACTCTGTGCACAAGTACTCCTCAGTGGTGACAAACAGCAAGATTGTTATGTCCTTATAGTGCGCCCTCTATCGGCGGGATTGGGATGTTTCACCGTGTTGGATTAAACAGTGTGTTCTGATATTCTCAGAGATATAACAGACACTTGAACGCTTCTGCCACTGTGCACCCAGCAGAATCGTAAAGACAATATGGGTTTGTGTGCACACAGAAAAAAATTAGTCGAGTGTATGTTTTCTCAACAGTAGCACAAACTGTGTGTGCATGCTGTGTGTACTGCACTATCTAGCTACCATGAGTGATCACAAAGGGCAATCTACTGTTCCTACATCGTGTCCATAATATGGGCAAAAGGTTAGCTGATGGAAAAATGCATAATGAAAAGCACACACTAGTCGATGAAAAATGCATAATGAAAAGCACACACTAGCTGATGGAAAAATGCATAATGAAAAGCACACACTAGTCAATGAAAAAAATGCATACTGAAAAGCAAACACTAGCCGATGAAAAAATGCATGCTGAAAAGCACACACTAGCTGATGAAAAAATGCATAATGAAAAGCACACACTAGTCAATGAAAAAATGCATACTGAAAAGCAAACACTAGCCGATGAAAAAATGCATGCTGAAAAGCACACACTAGCTGATGAAAAAATGCATAATGAAAAGCACACACTAGTCAATGAAAAAATGCATACTGAAAAGCACACACTAGTCGATGAAAAAATACATACTGAAAAGCACACACTAGCCGATGAAAAAATGCATACTGAAAAGCACACACTAGCCGATGAAAAAATGCATACTGAAAGCAAACACTAGCTGATGAAAAAATGCATAATGAAAAGCACACACTAGCTGATGAAAAAATGCATACTGAAAAGCAAACACTAGCCGATGAAAAAATGCATGCTGAAAAGCAAACACAAAAAAAATGCATACTGAAAAGCAAACACTAGCCGATGAAAAAATGCATACTGAAAAGCAAACACTAGCCGATGAAAAAATGCATACTCATGGGCGTCGCGAGGGGGGGGGCAAGGGGGGGCACTTGCCCCCCCCCTGGAAAAGCAAAAAAAAAAAAAAAAAAAGGAAGAAAAAAAAAGAAAAGAAAGAAAAGAAAAAGAGGCGCGAAGACAGAGTGGTGTAAATTTAATGAGTTGGGGGGGGGGGGGGGGCCAAAATGTCCCTGCCCCCTCTAAAACTGATAAATCGAGAATGTGTTGAGAAATACAAGACTTTTTTGGCAAAATTTTTTTTGCCCCCCTCTAGAAAAATGATGATGAACAAATGCATACTAAAAAGCAAACACTAGCCGATGAAAAAATGCATACTGAAAAGCAAACACTAGCCGTCAAAAGACTGAAATCACCGATAGGGTTGAAACCACAAAAAGTTTTGTAGTTGTCTGTTTGTCAAGTTTTTGATCCAACATGGTAAGACAGCACAACGCACACACTAACAGCAAGATGGCTAAGAAACACACAGGTACATGTATGCAACTGGGAATTTTTAAAAAAAAAGAGGAAACTCCAAACGCCCACAAGACTTTGTACTGTATTTTTCAATTTGTAATGGCATTCATGAGAAGTGAAAAAGGAGGAAATCAGTGGATCCGAGGAAAAGTTGCATGCCTGAACACAGATACACAAGACTGTCTCAAACTGACAGACAAATTAAGACTTACTTAAAATTGAAATGGCACCAGATTGGAAGGTGATAAGGCCACGGAAGAACTGTCTGTCAGGACGACCAATATCAAACCTTCATGGCACAAAAACAGAGAACAAATGGCATTGTTGTATAGTAAATAAACATGTTGATTAACTTGCCTTGTTTGCTGTTGCCAATGAGGCATTATATATGACATTAACCCTTGCTTTCCAAGACCATACAATATACTTCAATGTTTGCCTTAAGAACAAGTTTACTGTATGGACTTTAAAATTGATAGGTGAACATTTATATAAAATAAGGAATGCTAAGGTAATTCTCTCATTAGTAAAATATAACAATAATAAAATAAATTGAAGTGCTTTCCAACATATCCACAATATCAAAGCGCATTACAATTATTTCCCGTTCATCAGGCCACGAGACCACACGGCAGCCAATATCAGCACACATTCAGTCCTCTACTATTCATACTCCTGGGTGCAGTGATACAATTGTAGTTAAGTGTCTTGCCCAAGGGCTCAAACACCATGTTCCTGGCAGGGTTTGAACCCTCGCACCATCGTATAATAGTCAAACACCGTACCACTGGTCCATGGCACTCTACGTATTAAAGCAAATGGACCCCCAAACTCCATTAGGGAGTCTTTGCTGATTGGGGCTCACATCATCCAATGCACTTAGCGTGAAGGGATACTGGCCAATCCAGCTGACTGGCAGAAATGGCACTTGGAAATCAAGAGTTCAGACATTTATTTCCATTTCAAGTGTGAGTGTCAGTGCACTAGACTTGCTTGAACAAACAAAATCCCATCTTTGCAATATATGCCTCATGCCTTAATCAAGCCTTTCAAATGTTCTCCTCAGGAAAATATTGCTTGACTAGAAACTTAAAAGGCAAAAGTAATCAGGTTCAGAGAACAGAAGATTAAAACATGGGTAGCAATTTGACTGAGAATGTTCAGTTTTACAGGCTGGAGGAAACTGATAGAACACAAAGAGACTGGAACCCATTCTACTTGCTGCTTTGAGTGGGATTTGAACCTAGAACACAGCCGTGAAAAGCAAGCGAAATTCAACTCACCTATCAAAAACAGAGACAGTGCAGACGGTGAATAGGAAGTAGTACATGGCAGAGGCAGGCTGGGCCAGTCGACTGTAATGTTCCAGGAACCGCGTCTTGCCAGGTGTATTAGATGACGGCACCTGACGCTGCAACATGTACACCATGACACACTGCCACAGGGCAAAGCCAGCAAGGAGACCGTGGCAGAATAGAGCAAAGGTTAACGAGGCTCGGTGGGTGGTCTGAAGAGGATAGGAAATGTGATTGGAGACAAAGATGACTGAATATAATGGATCAAAGAATCTCACAGATATATAACCTCAACAAATCAACAAATGAATTGCCATCTTCCACAAAATAAGATTCATCATGGTTTGAAAAAATGGATTTTTACTTGAGAAAAGAGAAGACAATTGAACCCTGGAAATAGTGAAATCTGACTTGCTTAACCTTTGAGTCCCTATGCCACCCCAAACCGCCCCAACACTCAGAAACTATAGTTTATGGATTCATCTAGGAGTGATTACTGTAATACAAGTGCTTAAAAGGTGAATTAATTATTATCCATATGTAACCACATACCAATGCCACTTGTGTGGTGGTAATTTGAATTTCTGTTTGTGGCTGTTGATTGTTCAGCTCTCGCTCCCTCTGGCGAGCAAGTCTGCCCTTGTCTTCTCCCTTGAAACCACCTGCAAATCAAGTGGGAGCGAAAAATAATAGGTAAGATCAAATTTCTTATAGGTCTGGAAGCCATTTTGAATTGAGCAATCATTTCGAATAATGTCTAGAAGGCAGCATCACATTATATAAATTAAAAAAAAAACGTAAGGAAGGGTCTAATGCTTTGTGTCATTTTCATAATGATAAGATCATTTATTTCACATTTTTATAGGTGAAATTCAGGCCAGGGAAAGGACCAGAGGTGACATAATCCTTTGACCCTCTTAAGTTGTGATGGCAATATCTTTCCTATTCTCTCACATATATACATGTGCTTCAAACATTAGAAAAACAAACATATGAAAATTTGACATTATTGGAATTTATACCTGGGTGGATTAAAATGGTTCCTTTATGCACCACAGTTCATTGGTTCAATAATAACATAAAAATCGGGCTGAATACTCACTTTTTCTCTCCATGAAGAGTTTTCCGACAGGTTGGCTTGGCAACACTGCTGTATGTGAGGGTTGTTGTTGTTGTTGTTGTTCATCTGTTTGTTTATCAGGAGCAATGATGTCTTCTGCAGCTACCATTATATCCAAGGACATACCTGGGCAACAAACACAAAGTGTTGGGCTTGGAATGCTGTCATTCTCATCAGTGTTGAAGTTGAGAGACTTGTGATGAATCGCAAGTCATCACAGGTCATCACAGGTCATCACAAGTCATCACAAGTCCATCAAAAGTCATCACAAGTCATCACAAGTCATCACAAGTCAAACACAAGTCATCACAAGTCATCACAAGTCATCACAAGTCATCACAAGTCCATCACAAGTCATCACAAGTCCATCACAAGTCCATCACAAGTCATCACAAGTCATCACAAGTCATCACAAGTCATCACAAGTCATCCAGCCCAGGTCAACTCAAAAGCTAGTCAAATGAACTATGACATTCCTTTGTTGTTGTTCATCGACTGTCACTTATGATTGGATTTGCAAATTGGCTTGTTTGTGATTGACTTGTGAGAGTACTTTTAATGTTCTTGCGAGCCATCACAAGTACCTTGTCTACAAACGTAGTTCTAATGCAATGGGACTCCAAGCAGAATTAGTAACAGGCTAGTGGACTTTGCACATATGGCAAGAACTGTGTACTGCAATTTTCCATCTTCACAGAGAAAATACAGATTTTGGATGTAGTTTTAAATTAATGAGTAACTTGCTCTTTAAGGTGTCAAAATAACCTACCAAAAAGAATAAAAATTTATAGCCACATTTGATGGTACTTCATATATGTGACCCGCTCCACAAAAATGAGTCTGTTGTGGCAAAACTGAAATTTTTGAGTTAACTACATTATTAAAATGGGAATGAAATAAGCTTTCATTTGGTATATCACGGACCTCCCTAGGGCGTTTGGTTGCACTGTTGTGCCTTTTTTAATTCTGTCAAGTTTTTGCAAAGCAAGAAATGTCTCAATGAAGAAAAAAGGGTTTAAAAATTTCAAATACACTGTAACTAACCAAGAAAAGCACCAAAAATCATAAATTTGTTAGTCTTTTTCTTACAATATTTAAATTTCTGTGTAAGATATCTGAACTAAAACTATCAAACAACCAAAATAAAACAAAAACAAAAAAATCCAAATTTTGAGCAAATTTTCACTGTTTCCATTTAAAAGTGGTAAAAGCTGGAATTCAAGCTATGCGACATCAGACTCATTTTTGCAGAGCGGGTCACATATTTTCTATAGGTATAGAGCCTTGCTTGGGTTAAACCATGTGTGTTGTATTCTGTATTCTACAAATACAGCATGGTTTGAGGGGAAGTAGTGGGAATTACTGGTCCCGAGGTGTAGGTCAGCTTGACTACCTCCCGACGTAAAGCGGAGGGAGGTAATCAAGCTGACCTGCACTGAGGGACCAGTAATTCCAACTATTTACCAGAAGTAAACCATGCTGTATTTGTTTTACTACACCTCATAAATTGTATTTTATTAAAATAGACTTTGCATCTTTATTCAGCACAATTCAAGTTCTTTGTCACAGTACATGAAATAGTCTGGTACCAACACTCTTTAATGTGTCTTTACTTTAGTACTAACAGATTACAACAACAGACTGGTTTCGTAAAGATTACATGCCACAGACTACATGTCTACGAGGCAGGTTCCAGAGGGAATTTTTGGTGCTCCCACAAAAAACTACTGCACGGCAGCGAGCTGGATACTCATCACTGGGATGACGTCACTTGGGCGTGTATCATTTTTACTTCCCGGACGCCCGGCAGAATCGGCAAATGACGCGCTCCAATTTGATCATGAATATTTATGAGGTGTAGTAATCTGTGATTATCCACAATTTGCATTATAGCAAACAGTACACTTCCAGTCTACTCTTCCAGACATACATACCTTCACCATCAGCGTGGTAATTTTCATCCACTGAGGCAGGTGGCCTAGAGAAAAAAAAATACAACCAGACAAGGACTTGACGTAGTAAAGGTTTCATGACAGAAATTCACATTAACTTGCATTGAATTTTCTCTAAAATGGCTAAGTTTGATGCAAAGCCTCCCTGTGGTGATAAATTGCAAGTAGAAAAATTATACTTTCCCCCAAAAAAATCAATTAAAATACGTTTAGCACTGTCGATATCAGAAATTTCGATAATATATATATCAGAAAATCCAATATCAAGAATATTTGATTAGCGATTATCCCATATAAAAGTTAAAGACCATAAAAATGACACTTTGTTTAAAAAAAATAATAAAAATCTCAAGTCCTAATTTTCCACTGCTTTTTCTTGAGCATATTGCTCAAAGTTTTTGAAACAAATCTCAGCACTGACAGTTTGTCCAGAACGGGCAGTTTCTTTTGAGGTTTTAGGGGAGACTGTGAATTCCAGCAAACGCAGAGCACAAAGCGAAGCTGCAGCCAGAATTTCACGATATTTTTATTTTTAGTCACAAGTTGCCGCCAACGTTTATTTTATTATACAGCAAACATTAAACACAAAGTAAAAGCACAAACAGGAGATTTCTTTTGATGCATGACAATATTCTGATGCATTTTTGATAGTTTCAATATCATTGAAAATTTTGATATTTTGATATGATTAAAAACTTGCTATCAGCGATATCGATATCAAAATATCATCCAATAATTGAGTAATATCAACATATCGATGGTGCTTAAAACACAATCAGTTTCCCCTGTGTGGTTTATTAAATGACCATTATTTTTTTTATAAATACATCCTCCAAGTATTACCCCTGATTGCCATTTCCCCTTTTGGGTGTAATCCCTGACCTTGTGGCTGCCTAGCTCCTCTGAACAAAAAGAGTCACTAATAAGCCATTTGCGAGTGACCTACATGTATGCCCTTTGGGATTTAAATTTGAAAAACGTCCGGTACACTGACTTGCTCAGAATGCTTGGCATATTTTAACTTTGAATTCTCCAGACCAAAGACACCGTTGCTAATCACATGATTCGGGACAAGCTCTTACATAGTTACGTAAGAGACGCTCAGCACCAATACATTGTTCACAATGGGTGAGAATGGCACAAAGACACCAGACCATTCCGGAGCTGGGGGTTGCTAGCATAAAGCTTGCCCGAATCACGTAATATAGTAACAGTCTATTTGGTCGGGAGAATGCAAAGTTAAAACGTGCAAAGCATTGGATTAAGTCAGTGTTCCAGATTTTATTTAGATTTAACTCGCAAATGGCTTATTAGGAGACTGACATCAAAAGACTAGATAGCTCAACTGGTGGAAAACCAAAACTGTACTCCAGAGGTCACAGGTTCAAACCTTGCTCCAGTCAATTTTTGTTCTGCACAATTGAGTGCGTTTCAGAAATGTAAACAGCCTCTCCACAAATTGGTCTGCAATGATAGAGACAAATATTGTACTAATAAGATGGGGCAATGTGCTTGTCTCAGTTTCAGTAATCGTACTTTGATTTTCTTCTTTTCTTGACTTTACTTGGAGGCGGGGGTCTCCCATGGGCTTTGGATGTTCCCACATCATCTTCATCATCAGCACTATCATCTGTGAGGGAAGAGAAGATCATTCATAAAATGAGAGACTTTATCAAAGGAAACTGGAGTGACCACACAAGAATCATGCATTCATGCTGCAATTAAATGTAGATATTCTTTCCCAGTTGACAGACTGATGTGGCTTATTCACACATCTTCAACCAACCACTTACAGCGCTTGTGCACTTTTTAAGAACCCTTCCTTTCATGGAAGGTAGTGTTATTCCACATTCATCAACGGAGAAGGCACAACAGAGAATCACAAGAAGCCATTTTGTCAGAAGAGCTCAAGAAATCCACAATTTACATCCTCTCACGCCCAACTGGCTAGCCTGACGAACAGTGGATCCAGTATTTGAAGAAGGATAACTCCAATCTGCACTATTACATACAGTCACCATCAAAGAAACCTCTCAGCCCTGAACTTGACCATTCCACCTAGGTCAAACTCAACAGACATTGCACTAGCTGATGTCGCACAAAGGACGTCTTGGTCATGATTGGATTAGAAGAGCCAGACCTCTGTGAGTGTGACTGCATGCAGGGGCCAATTTCATAGAGCTGCTTAAGCACAAAATTTGCTTAAGCACAAAAACGTCTTGCTTAATAAAATCAGGTTACCGGCCAAAACTCCATGCGATTGTTATGCTAAGTAAACAACAGCTCAATACCAGTCACAAGCAATGTACATCACATGGAGTTTTGGCCGGTAACCTAATTTTACTAAGCAATGTTTTTTCGTGCTTAAGCAAATTTTCTGCTTAAGCAGCTCTATGAAATTGGGCCCAGATCGTAGAGCACCTGATCTCAAGACGTCGTCTCCACAAAAGCCCTCACGGGAAGAATGGCTTGAGGCAGTTGGATGAAGACAGTCCAGACACTATTGACTGGCTGAAGAATCTACAAGTGCACCTGTGATCTTCACACAAATGACGACGTTTCATGACCAGAAATTGGTGGTATGTCGTGAAGACATTAAGTAGTGAAGTATATCAAAGAGTATCTACATGTTAACTCAGCTGCCACTCAGTCGCTTAGAGAACTGCAAAATGTGTTAATAATGAGATTGTCCAAAAGTGTCTTTATTTTATCAATTGCAGTATATCTTCATCCATTGGAAGACCTACAAGGGGCTGGGTTGGTTAGTTACTGAAATACACCTACCATATTCCATTCAAAGTTCTAAAATGTTTAAAGGGACATGACATGAATTTTACATGGGAACATATATTGTGCAATTTTTTATTCCCCTGAAATATTTAAAAACTATGTGACATGCACTTTTGGTTAATCTTTTTGAAAAGTAGTTTCTTTTAGTCAGGTGGCATACGGTCAGAATCGTGACCGACTGGTCCAAAGCACCAAACTTGGCACATTGATTCTTGTAGCCCTAAAGAAGATATTTAGAAGGGGTGACACCTGACATTATTTTGGGAAGGGTGCCTAATTTGCATAATTCATTAATACCTGCCATGTAATATATTTATTCCCATATTTGGGTGAACTTTTATTTTTTTAAATATTTTGAAAAGTGTATTCAGGGCATTCTACTTACATATCCTTACTTAAATAAAGTTTCCCAAAGCATATCAGAGACTGGATGATTACGAGGACATAATGAAGATCCAAAATGGCTACAATTATACCCTAAAATGGCACCAATTGACCTCTTCCTCCGATATCATCAAGTAGTTTCTAAACCTCAGTACTGATGAGCTCCAAATTCACAAACTTACTTACTGGCACAGTTACCCTTACAAAAATAAATGGGAAATCATGTGAAAAATGATAACATCTTGATATTTTTCCCCCAAAAAAACAAAAAGGGGATGAATGAGGTGTCCGCAAATTGGGCTAAAAATTAGGCGAAGGGTTGGCTAACGTGGAGGACCGGAACAAGTTCAAGGAAATCCTCCCAAATAAGAGATAATTGTTGTTAACTATATTTATGTCTACGTCAAAACGTTTTCTTAACAATAATTTTGGGAATTTCCTTGAACTTGTTCAAGTCTCCCACATTAGGCAACCCTTCACCTACTTTTTAGCCCAATTAACGGACACCTTGTTTTTTCCTCGTTTTTGCTTTTTTTGGCTAAATATCACAATGTTATCATTGTTCACATGCTTTTCCATAATGTTTTAACAGGGTAACTGTGCCAGTGAATAACTTGGTGATTTTGAAGCTCATCAATACTGAGGTTTGGCAAGACTACTTGATGATATCTGGAGACAAGGGAAATGTGCGCAACTTTAGCGTATAATGGTAGCCATTTTGGATCGTTACTATGTCTTCATAATTATTCAGCCACTTATATGCTTTAGAAAATGTTATTGGAGTAAGGATGTGAAAGTAAAATCCCCAAAATATACTTTTCAAAAAATTATAAAAATTTACTGTATACCCAAATAATGGAACAAATATATAACACGGCGGGTATTTATGATTTGTGCAAATTGGGCAGCCTTCCCAAAAGAATTTCAGGTGTCAACCCTTCTAAATATCTTCCCTAGGGCTATTAGAATCTATCTACTAAGTTCGGTGCTTTGGACCAGTTGGTCACGATGTTGTAAAAATTGGGTCTAAGCCACCTGACTATTTATGAACATTTAAAGTGTTCCATGCATTTCCTGACAAAAGAGGGTGCTGTTGCTGTGATGTCATTTAAGACACACACTCTTCAGTTAAGGGGTTTTCTGTTCCAAATTGTCAATGACCTACTGCCGTGTAGTGAAACAACAATTAATCACCAAAAACAAATAAAATGTATGTCAGTAAAATATCTAAAATTCTGGCAGCTTTTGGTGATGAAATAGCTGTATCACTGAGGTTTCTACCTAAAATAACATCACATTTTTGTTTAGGAAATAAGAAAATTTGAAGTATAAAACCAAAAGGCACAAAAACACCCCGAAAAATGGCAAAATGATAATGGAAAATGAAATGGGACACAAAGGTGCATTTTCATTGATTGTATTTTAAAATAAAATCTATATCATAGGCCTTCTAATATGTTGATGTTAAAATATCTAAAAAATTACATGTTTTAGCAGACAAAAAAATCAAAGAAGATGCATCAAGGTAATTCCTGTGGGAAGGTAAAAATAAGTCTGGTAAAAACTTTGTCTGTACAAACTGCCTTCGTACCTGCGTAGAGCTTGGATTGAGGTCTGCGAGGTTTCTTCTTACTTGAAGATCCCGGTGTCTCATTGTCTCGTAACACTTCATCACTAACTGATCGTGGGAGCCGGGACTGTCTGTGCTCTGCAGAGGTACCATCCAGAATAAAGTGCACGATCATAAACTATCAAACTAATCAAAATATGAATTAGGCTTGTGCGGTATTGGATTATGAGAGTCCACCGTATTCTGGCCAAAAAAAACATTGCGATATTTGGTATTGTCAGGTACGTTTCTGGGTGGAATATTAAGTCATCAAAATACAATAAAACATATTACCTGGTATATAAGGTTAAGGGTAAGGGATAGGGTTGGGTTGTCTAATAGTTACCTTTTTTCCTTCTTGATGATCCAGGAGATGCTTTCAAGTTGTTAATGGCAGGGGTACTGACAGAGATTTCTCCATTTGCTGTATCTGTGGATTACAGAGCAGAGGGAACAACTGCAAGTAGCTTCAAAAAGATATCATTTCCATCAATACAGCATAATTTCTGAATGTCAAAATCTCAAATATTAATACAATGACTAATGCCATAATGCCAGTTCGTACTTCTAGCGAATGCGACGTGAATTTCATGATGTCAACAATTTGAAGTTTCACTGTGATTTTTGCCATTACCCTAGCAAATTTGCTTGGCATTGAAATGTGCAGGTGAAGTTTGAACCGGCCTTAAGTTCAGAAAACATGTTAGCTGTCAGCTACATACTTAACATATCTATTTCATTCATTCATTCATATTTATTTCCACTTAATCATTTTGAAGGGAAAGGTTTAAACAATAATTTAGATAACAGGATAAGATTAAGCGGTGGGCTTCTCCAAAAAGCAAGCTTGTCAAGTGGAGAAGTCCATTATGTGTAGGAAAAGAATATATATTAAATACATTTGTACCTTTTACTTAACTACACAATGAAGTTTAAGTTACACAAACACACATATACAAGGGACCAACACAAACAGGACAAGACTAAACAAATCAAGTACAATCAGAACCTACATGGGAAATTATTAGAAGAATATGTTCACAGCAAATAATAAGTAAAACTAAAATTTAGCATTAAGCATTATTGTAACTTTCCATAAGCAGAGACTTTAGCTTCTTCTTAAATAAAGGCCTACTGTTGACAATTCTAAGAGTTTGATTTAATGAGTTCCAGAATTTGGGGCCCTGATAATGAATGAACTTTTTAGCTTTAGCAGTACGTATGTGTGGGATATGGAAATCCCTAGACTGTCTGGTATGATGACGATGAATAACGGTATTAGTCTTAAACATTCGTTCAAAAGAATATTTAGCTAGTCTGTTAGTCCATTAGCACCTGGACTTCATTGAATTACAATGTACATGTATTTATACTGTCTGTCTGTCTGTCTGTCTGATGTCTGTCTGATGTCTGTGTGTCACATTTTTTTGAAAAGGCCTAAAGCGTGTACTCAAGTATAAAATACAACGTTATCGTAACCAGGTCCTGAAGTGGTACATGTATATGCCTCAATTTCACTGTCCTCCAAAGTCATGGTTTCTACGTAAAAACAATTGATTTACTTGTTTTGTTTTGCTTTTTTGGCAAATTTGTTTCTTTCAGACTTTGATTACGTATTGCAATATTATCTGTATGAAAACGCTCAAAAATGTATCTGCATTTCAAAAGCTGACTGTATAATGAACCACTTCTCTAAAATAAGTCAATTGATGTTGCACTGACCAGTAGTTTACTAAAGAAATCAATAAATCCATAGAATGCTGGGGTGGTTTTAGGGGCTACAGTGAGTAATAAGCAGGGTGTTTTCAGGTTCTACACTGACTAAAGGACTAAATGATATGAGCAATGAAAGGGTAGCTATGCAATTATTGCCACTTATGATTTATCAAGAATCAATATATATGATTTTCCCTCAACATCCATATATGGAATTGACTTTTTACTATATCTCTGAGAGATGCACTGTGCAGACAAACCATTGCTTAAGCAGGGCAGGGGCAGAACAAACTCCTGCAAGTCTATGAACCGATTTTGGGGTCACAACTCCACAAGTTGTGTGTGAGTTTTCCATGTGAGTTTTCCTACTGAGGCCAAAAAAAAAATATTTCTGCTTCCAATTACATGGCATTCGTAAATAGGGTAGGTAGGTAGGGATTTTTTTTGGGGGGGGGGGGGCCAATTTGTTAGTGTACGATCATATGGTGGCGTCTGCATGTAGTCAAGGGTAAAAGGTATAAAGTGATGGTTTTGGGTGTTTTTTCTCATTTTTCCAATGAGAAAAATTAGGATAGGGGCTGTCAGAATAGGGTAGGTAGGGAAACCGGAAGCAGAACTCTTTTTTTTTTTGGCCTGATGAAGAACAAAGTTCTTGGTCAAATCTTGGTCAAGAATTTCAGGCAGAGTTGGTCTTTTGGTCATTCCGAGATCAAAACTATTTATTTGGATGAGTTGGATTGATTGTTGTTTTTTGGAATTCAAGTTGCCAGTAGTACAGAGGTAATGTCATCCTTACCATCAGCCCCACTCGCAAAGTCATACCCATGTGTCATCTTCTTCTTCCGTCTGGTTTTCTTGACCGATGAGCTGACCCCATTCTGGCCATTCTGGACCAGATTCTCCCGACTGCCCATGACTGGTGAGTCATCTTTCATCTCTGAAGGCAATGGACGATGTTTGCTAGCAGAGGACTGCTGGGAGTCACTGACCTCTGCTGCTCCTGAAAAAAAAAAGTTGCGTCAACATTTTCAACACTGAAACCATTTCCCTTATAAAATTCAGAAACATTTTTTCTTTTTCATTTGTCAGCTGAAACAGCAGATTTCAGGGGCGGATCCAGGAATTTTCGCGGGGGGGGGGGGGGGAAGAGTTTTCATAGGCAAAAAAATCTGAAATGTAGACACGTTTTTTTCTCCGGACTCTAATTAATTAAAGAAAATGCGGCATTTACCTTCTGTTAATTTCTTCTTTTTCCTCTTTGGTCGCTGTGCTTGGCTAGCTGATAAATCTGTAGTGTGCAATAAAGGAAGATATACGATTGACAGGAAACTTTTCTTTCTTTTTTGCTGTGCTTGGATGCAGAGTATACTACAGGGTACTAAAGTGTTCTTTTTTTGTCTTATAAAAATATGCGTTTACAAATTGAAACTGTCCACAGTAAATTAAATAATGGGGGGAAAATGTTTCACAAAGGCAGTAGTAAGGGTTATTCTGACAACATGACAACTATATGTACTACTATTTGCAAGTGCTATCATTTATCTACCGCTACATGTAACAGCACTAGGTGGCAACTATAAATGTGGTTTTCAACCCATGTATATGACAAGCATCATTAAAAGTACAGTGTGTGCATACCAGTATTACTGGTGAGGAGTGGAGGTAGACTTCGTCTCTTCACTGAGGCATCCTGATGTGAAAAAAAACATAAAACAAACCTTGCTTATAAAGTTGTACTGTCATGCATGGGCGGGCTGTAATGTGGTTATTGTGTGCTTGTGCTGACCAGCCAATCAGATTATTAGTCCTCGTTATTCAAGGAATAATCTGATTGGCTGATCGGCACAAGCATACAATAACCAAAACACAATAGTAATATTTTGAACTATGTCCAAACTTTTTGTATGGCTTCTATGGTCTTAATTTATTTGGATAGGTTGTGGTGTCCTGACGGCACTTTGCTAGTTGTGCACTAGCCCCATAAATGTGGCTGAAATACTGGACTACAGTACCTCCGTATTGTCAGCCACACAAGCTACATATGGCCTGTGCGTGGATGGTCCCGTTGCTAGGGGAGCCAAAAATCCATTTCAGATCGAAATTATTTTGTCACTTGAAAATTGCCCCAGCTAGTAATAGTATGAATGCTAAATTGCAAAAAAAAATTGAATTCTGTACCTTCAGACGTCTAGTTATCCAGTAATTGCCAGTATCAGAGACGCCATGCTTTTGGAAAACCATCGCAATTTGTCGCTGAATTACCATGATTCAATGTCTCATCTAGCGACCCGTCCACCCGTCTTTTGGACGGGCAGTTTGTGATTTTGGACAGGCACAACTACCCCTCAAACGCTGTAGCAAAAACATCAGAATCTGATGTTTTTGTTGGCCAATGTTGTTGTTTTGGGGTTTTTTGGTCAACGGCAGTCTGCAGAATAGTGTCGCGCGACGTTTTCTCATGGTTTCTGGAGAATCGCCACCAAAATCATCGAAAAATTACATATTTTAGTCTTCGTTGTTCTGTTTGAAGTCGATTATTAGCTTCATGAATGTCTGCTGCATCGTATGAGGTATGAATTAAGGAATCTGGGTCGGGATAATATAGGGCAAAAAAGGACCGTTTTTGTAATGCACTTGCATGACTTGGGATATACACTGCAGTCCGGGATTTCGGGATTCTTACGACCTGGTGATTGTAACGTAGTTGTGACTCCAGCTTAGCCCCATAATGTGGCCAGTTTACTGGACTGCCTCCGTAAACATAGGCCACACGTCCGCCATCTTGGAATCTGACTCGCCGAAATTTTGAAAGTGATTTCCACATTGCGACTTTAAACCCAGTTCATTTATGCTTTAAAAATACACTTACCCTCTTAATAACAAAATTAGAACCTGCTGCCAGTGTCAGTTGCCCAGCTGCTGCGTAATTTACGACATTTTCTGGACCATTCTTGGCAACTTGGTCCAACCGTGGAGCTATCTCCATGGTCCAACTGAACAATGCCCTCGCGCAGATCGTTCACCTGTCAATCACGCGTGCAGGACGCACGCCGCAGGCCCAGTGGTAGTCCGGTTCCCAGACCAAAAGATTCTGACTATTCCTAGGATCAGGAATAGTCAGAATCTTTTGGTCTGGGAACCGGACTACCACTGGGCCTGCGGCGTGCGTCCTGCACGCGTGATTGACAGGTGAACGATCTGCGCGAGGGCATTGTTCAGTTGGACCATGGAGATAGCTCCACGGTTGGACCAAGTTGCCAAGAATGGTCCAGAAAATGTCGTAAATTACGCAGCAGCTGGGCAACTGACACTGGCAGCAGGTTCTAATTTTGTTATTAAGAGGGTAAGTGTATTTTTAAAGCATAAATGAACTGGGTTTAAAGTCGCAATGTGGAAATCACTTTCAAAATTTCGGCGAGTCAGATTCCAAGATGGCGGACGTGTGGCCTATGTTTACGGAGGCAGTCCAGTAAACTGGCCACATTATGGGGCTAACTCCAGCTCTAATGCGATAGGCATTAGAGCTGGAGTTACTCAAGCTAAATCCATACTAAAAATTACTATGACTACGTACAGGCCTATACTTAGAGTAGGCCTAGACTTTGTTGTACACAACTTAACCACCGCGTACATGGCGTAGCGTCGTCGGTCGTCAGGTTGCAACATTCTTTCCAAAAATACATGTCACAAGCCTGACAAGGGTAGGTTCGTCAGACCGCAAGCCCAAGTGGACTCCCTTACCTCCCTACGTTACGGAGGGAGTCTAGGGTATGAAGTGCCATGGAAAAAGTTCAGATATAGTTCAAAAATATTTATATTTCTTAATTATCATCATGATGTTGTGCCCATTCTTGAAAATCACGCATTCTCGAGAATGGGCATGCACATTCTTGAGAATGTGCAACTGGATCCTTGCTCAATCTTGGCAAAAAATAACTCTTCCAGATTGAGCGCACATTCTTGAGAATGCGCGACAAGATAACGGTCTTGTCGATGCCGAGCACCGGCTGCGCTTGGCAAGTCTAGCTGAATCCTCGTTCACTGATTCTCAATAATTATACTGTTGCAACGCAAGGCGCTGAAAAGTAGAGTGGATATGATAAGTAAAGGCGTATTGATATGGGGGGGGGGGGCGGACCGGGAAAATATAAGAGACATAATAATACTAGTGCAAAGAATTCTGATTTTTGGGTTAATAAAAGCGGGGGGGGGGGGGGACGTAAGAATGAAGAATGTGAAGAATGAGAATGAATACTGCGACATCCCATAGTGCTAATGCTATTTCCCATTAAAATTGCCACCAATTTATTGTTCACATCCGACCATAACGTCGCAGAGCTGGATTCTATCTAGTCAAAAGAGCAATTTTGGCAGCTCCTGGACATCGTTTTTTTTTCGTGGCATGCATATGATACATGCAGGGACTTGTAACTTGTCTAGCCTAAACAAAGCACTTCCCAGACTAGTTCCCAGTCCTCCGTTATTACAAAACTTCCCATAAGTGGGCAGAAAAAAGCAATAATAACAGGTTTAATTTGATTCAAATTATCGTAGTTATACGAGTACAGAAGTATAGCACATTTTGTTTCCTCTTTATATGAATTGTTTCCCTTTTAACCGCTATACAATTCATTTAACATAATTATGTCGTGCAATGTTTGTTAAGATTGGGCAAAATTCACAAATTGTGCACGTGATTTTCCCACCCAATCTTAAGAATGAGCGCTCATTCTTAAGAACGCGTGCTCGTTCTTAAGAATGAGCGCTCATTCTTAAGAATGCGCGCCCATTCTCGAGAATGTGCATGCCCATTCTCGAGAATGCGTGATTTTCAAGAATGGGCACAACAATGACATTAGCCCCCAATAAATTCAACAATCTTACCACGGTAGTCGCCATGTTGAATTCCAAAGACGTTTGTCGGGAATAATAGCGCCCTCTTGTGAAAAAAAAATGGTGGCCCTATCCATTTGTACGGAACGTACGGGCGTACGTACCCCTTCTCATAAAATTTAAAATTTATTAAAACATGACAATATCCGATAATATTAAAGGTGAACTTGGGAATTCTCGTTTTAAGTAATTTGAGAAAATGTTGGTTTCGATAACACCATGGAGGAATAACACCAGCCCTGTTAGCAACGCATTCGTCGAGTATTGTTATTCTACTGATGCGTTTAGCGCGGACGGTGCGTCATGATTGACTGGACTTATAAACGTTCATATCATGGCGATGTGACTTCTGATGAATTGAATATATTTTGTGCTTGTCCAAAATGTAATGGACAGGACTGAAACGATTCCCTCCACGGTCCTGTGACGTATAAATAAATCGTAAATTTCTCAAAATAAACTAAATGAAGAGGGGAAACACCCCCCCCCCCCCCCCCCCCCCAGCAGAGTTGTAATTAGTACTCGAGTCTGACTCGAGTCACATTTTTGGTGGCCTCGACTGTCACGGTAAATGATTCGACTCGACTCGAGTCACTGCGAGCAAATGAATCGAGTCGACTCGAGTTCCTCATCAGAGGACTTGACTCGAGCGAAGGCTAATAAGAGAGTCGAGTCCCAAAAATAACAACAAAACTTAACTTGCGAACGATACAACGTTAATGTTCATGTCACTTTTGCGAATAGTACACGGTACAGCGGACGCTAATTGTCATGTTCAAACATACAACGCGTCAAATTATAAAGGCTCCCGGCCCCACCTCAACGGTTTTGGAAAAAATCATGACTCAGGAACCAGATTTTAAACACATTGTCCAATTCGTTGTTTCATCATATGACTTTGGGCGATTTTGTTATAAAGCTCTTGGATTCGAACGCCGGTTAAACGTATGCCCTCTTTTAAATATTAGATAGATACATGCCCACTTTTAAATAATCAGAAACACTTTTGAACATTGCAATTTGGTTTGGATGTTGTCAGCGATAAGCGAAAAAAAACATTATAGACCGGAAGCCAAATCAGATTGCCCATTATAAGATCATAGTTTCACTTCTTCAATCTGAATATAAGGAGGTACTGTCAAAACTCCCTACGTTGCTCTGCAACAGTTGGACTATACGGGCAGGCAGGGGCGGCGGAACCGGGGGCGGGGGCACTGGCACTTGCCCCCCCCCCCCCCTATTTTCCCAGGCCAACAAAAGTGCTCCTCTCGCGGTCGTAAATGTACCTCGAGATGAAAACACAACTGCCCCTCAAACGCACACATGAAAGCATTATGACCGCGCTTAAAATTTGTCTTCTCTCTTGTTATGCAAAAGTGCCCCTCAAAAACACAAATACTATTCGCACATTAACAAGATTGTGAACCTTCTCGAGATGGAAAACTATCAATCGAAAGCACAAACACCCCTCCCGCAATAATAAAATTGTGCCACTCTCGAGATTGGAAATTGGCCATAAAAACAATGGTGCTCCTCTCGCGATAACTTTCGAGATGGAAAACTGCCCCTCGAAAGCACAATTATAGTGCCCCGTTCGCAACACTAAACTGTGCACCTCTCAAGATGGAAAACTTGCTTTAAAAAAAAATAGTGCTCCTCATGCGAATAAAATGTTCACTGAACTGGCCATCAAAAGCAAAAGTGCCCCTCTCACGATAAAAAAAAATGGTCCCTTTTATAGGCCTAAATAGTCACATTCAAGGGCGGACCCAGAGAGGTTATACTGCCGGGGGTGTACCGGAGGCAGAAGGGGCTCTCTCACGTAAAAACAAAAATACCATATATTTGAGAACATTCAGAACAATACGGCTGTATTGAGACTATTTCAGGAATATGCCTACACTGAATTTTTTTGAGTAAGGGAATTAAGATTTTACAATTTTAAACGGCCATTGCTATCAGGTTGTAAACATGTTGCATGCTAAACATTTTAGCATGCGGGGATAGCAAGAAAGTGTTTAAAACTGTGTTTACTTGCTAAACACATTTTTTTGTAGGCCAGGCAAATATCCACAAAGAGTCAATTGGCCTACCTTTGTCCCAGTGCCTAAAATTGAAAACTTGGTCCCTTGTCAATTTGACCTCTCTTGGAAAATTACTCATAACTCTGTCAAAAATTATCAGATTTTGACGTTTGATATCTCATTTTAAAGTGGAAAGGCGTATCTTTTAAACCATACCTATATTATCTATTTTGGTTACACATTCTACGTCTGGCATTTCGTTATAGTTGTTTGCCTTTTTTGGAGACACACTGTATAGTGTTCAAATATTCGTGACCCGGATTGACTCGAGCTAAATATTTGACTCGACTCGACCTTCTTGGCCTAATGGTTGGACTCGACTCGAGTCACTTCCTTAAAATGACTTCGACTCGACTCGAGTCACAAAAATCAGTGACTCGTTACAACTGTGCCCCCAGTGTCAAATTAGGTTCCCCCCCAAAAAAAAATCACCAACATTTTGATACTGGATACGCCGGTGCACAAAACGAACAGAAACAAATATTGGGGCACCGCGCATCGGTTGATTATCGGGGCCGGTTTCGTTTTTGTGTGCCGTTGCTCATTGGAAAGCCCACGACATCACGTAGATCATGCCAGTAACTTTGGTGTAGCTTGAACGAAACAAATCTTCAGATTAAGCGTATTCTCTTTCCCAAGTGATTCGCCGCTACAGAAGCATACATTTGGTCCCGCACCAGGAGCAGTATGCACAACGGATGAATACAGTTGATAAGCAAAATATTCTCTGAAATTATACGGGTTGATTTTGGAGACGTGGCCATTGGACTGTGACGCATAAAGGCCGACAAGTTAGTCAAATTCCCGCGACCATATGTGCTTGCAGAGATGTTGGTGATCATTGGAAACGAGTTTCTGTGCAGGCACACTCCCATCCTCCGTATAGAGTTTATGTTATGATAATGAAGTGGCAGCCAATCACGAAAATTCGACGTTCAAAAAATAAAAGAAATATATGAAATGCTGGTAGGTGGTACGTGATGAAGCGACGACCATGCAACAGACGGGGAAAATAAACGCTGACTGAACACTGACTAGTTACAAAGCTCATGTCCCTTGAACAACTCGCTGAAAAAAAGTGCGGGCATTTGCATTTAGATACAAAATTAACGCACTCCATTTCATTTTGTGGCGGCTCTTCTGCAAGATGTGTTTGTCATTGTATTACAGGCTATAACATTTGATCGTGTAAACATTAAAAGAATTGGCGTTTATAAGTTTATTACTCCATTAAAACTCAAGATACACTGATTGCATTATTGCCGGTTTTTTATTATTATTATTTAATATTGCCGTGGACGATAATGCAGTGGAACGCGGATACCTGGTCTGCGACGACTTCAGTCGAAACCGGCACTACGTCCCAACTATTTGCCTCACGGACTCCCAGTCTGAGCAGCGTGTACAACAAGTGCAGTGTCGTGGGGGAGTCCGGGGCTGGGCCCGGAGGAGCCACCCACCAGCCCGTCCCACTGACTTGCCGTTACCCGTACTATCCAAATAACCTAGACCCCGGTTCGTCATCCTCCGCCCTAGCCAGCATCTCTCCCTACGGAGACGACTTCTCCGTGTGGAATAGCTTTGATTTTAGCTCAGCCACCGGATCTCAACGATACCATAGCCCATTTGCCTCGCCGGCGGCCCCCACGCCTCTCAACCCAGCCGCTGCCGCTGCAGCCGCTGCGGTATCTAGCCACCAACACACCAGGGATTCCTACCTATCTGGAGCGTCTGGGGCCGGTGGATACTCATCAGTCAGTCATCGGAGTACCAACTACCCGCTCTCGGTGTCAGGTAAACAAACTTCTTTCAAATTATATATCATAATTTCAATTTTCATGTAAACAGTTGAAGAGTTATAGTTGCCATTCGAATCTTGATCACGCACACACACAAAATACGAATACCACATTTTGATTTGGCCAAATGTTGGGAAGTTCCATTGAAAATTTGTTTTATTCGTAAAAAAAAAAATAACTAATCAATAATATTCTATGGTCAAAAATATAATCCCTCTCCCTCGATCGCCCGCAGTCCACAATGGAATTTCATCAATGTGTAAATTGCGTGATGTTGATAGAATGCTAGGCTTAAGAATCAGATTTCATCTTTTATAACCATTCCGATATCCAGCAGTTTAGCACGGAACTGTCAATAAAATGGTCGTAATGCAATTTGGTGCGATAAAACTAATCCAGCAGTAAATGTTCAATTGGTTGTAAATTGTTTATATTGGTGAACGTGTCAATATTCATTTAGGAAACTGTCGTCGATTTTTATGCAATAAAAAGTGTTCAGTTTTATTCAGTTTCTTTGTTGAAACGAAAATAACGCAACAATCAGTTACCCTGATGATTCATCAACTTGTTTACCGCACTTTAAAACATAAAAAGGTTAGGCCTACTCAATTTGCTGGACAATTTGGTATGGATTGAAATTGGTTTCCATGGTCAATCATTGCCGTATAAATTTATTACAAATCTTTATGCGAATCCACAAGTGCCATCGTTAAATGTTGTCAAAATGATTAACAACTAAACTTATCTTTAAGCATCGACGTTAAAGCGAGCGTTTGTTTTGCATAAAAACGCACAGTCCACGCCTTATTGACAAGATATTATCAAATAATCGAAAATTATGATGTCGTTCCAAAGTTTATAACTGTTGTTAAAAAAGAGCTATCTGAAAGAATAATGATGTGTGATGTAACCTTGGTTTTTTGTGACACATGGACGTTGAAGGTTTAACGAAGTGGCGTTATAATGGTCAGGAGCCAGTCCTGTGTGACTTTCTTCTTCGAATAAAGAAAACTACCAAATTTTTTTTCTGCGTCAAAAATGATTGCAATCATAATTCATAAAATAATAAAGACGCGACGAAAGGCATTATACACGGTAATTCGTTCATGAACGAGTTTACCTTGCATTAAAGCTTCAAAGCTTCTCTTATTATTCCAGAGCTCGGTCCTAAAACAAAAATGATGCCATTTGCATGTACACATATTTACAAATAATAAGTACAAATACTACTGCAATCACACCTCAACAGTGTCTGTGAAAACTCTGCACTTGTTTTGCATTTTATTTACAAAGTGTCTACAAAGTTTCAGTGCAATCAAGCAAACTAAATATTATAAGTTTTCCCGGCTATTTTGAAACGTTTATCATTCGAATTCACCGTTTCTAATATTCAAATGCATCCATCAACATCGATTTACACTTCCAATGTTTAATCTCGTCTTTTCTCCGACAATTTTAAATTCACTTCAAGCAAATTCAAACAATGAGCACAAGTTTTCGTAACGGAGCATTTGATTTCGTCTCGTCTACGCCAGACCTTGTTATTCAGATATCAAATTCGTCTAATTGATTTATATAAGACGAATTCGATCACTGAATGCTGTCATTCAGCAACAGCTTAGACGAATTTGATCTGTAATGACGAATATTCTCGACCCTGTGACTAAAGAGGGTGACCAAACTTTGAAATTGAATGGTAAATGACTCAATTGGGTTTGTTAAAAGCGTGTGAAATTTTTCTCGGACGAAATTGAATGTTACAGTTGATAAATTTGAATGGAAAAAAAATGTTTTTTAAAATAGCTGGGAACCTATATCAGACTATTGTCATTTATTACAAACCGTTGTGAATGACCATGCATTGGTAACAATATCGCACAATAATTAGTATGGCATACTGTGTAAAAAAAATTACACTTCTTCAGAAACTGAATTTCGTCGATAAAATGGATGTCTAAATATGTTCGTAAAACAATCAACCGGTGATTCGGCGAGACAGTTACTCATCAAGGCTCATCCCCGCCGAAAACAAATACTGTACAAAAAAGACGGGTGTGTGTTACCGCCCATAAATTAAAAGAAGAAGAAGAAGCCAAGAGGAAGCGGTTCCGAGAATTTGCATGCGCTGCCAAATCAGAAATCACCTTCCCCTTTGTTCCTTCGACATAATAGGACATTTGTCCTGGGTACCTTCATTCTGTTAAGGTTAAACCATTGCTATGACGTCACACTATTGTTAAAAGTGTGGATTCGGAACTACGAATCTTTAGTAAAGTGTGGATTCGGAATTACGAATCCACACTTTGAACACGTCGGGCAATTATTGTTCTCCATAATGAGCATTTATAGGACCGTATGCGTAAAAATTTTCTCCCGAAATTACCAATGCATCTTCACTGTCAGATTCTCCGCCGTCACTGCAAAACGGCTTCGAGTCAGAAAGAAATCATCGTCTATCCATATGTCAATGGAAGGATCAGGGGAAAATGTTGCAAGCTGACGCCACTTTTTTTCTTCATATATCATCTCAATGAAGGTCATTTATTGCAAAAATTATGATAAGACATGAATCTGGGGCTGAGAAATATTTCCAATTTTGTTAGGAAATACTTTGTTAGGAAAATGTTCTTGACTCTCCATAGACTTTGTACACAATCGCGGAAGTAGCGTCAAGTTGCAACATTTTTCCCAAGTCTTTTCATCTCCATTCACTGTTAATGCCAACACTTCTTTGGTCGCCATGGTTTAAGTCGAAGAATACACTCGTAAGTGTGGATTCGCGCCTCGTAAGTGTGGCTTCGCGCCTCGTGGATTCTTAAATTACGAATCCACACTTTCTCGTGTATTCTGTTAAGGAGAATACACGAGAAAGTGTGGATTCGTAATTCCGAATCCACACTTTACTAAAGATTCGTCGTTCCGAATCCACACTTTGTGACCAGTGTAAGAGATTCGTAGATCCGAATCCACACTTTTAACGATAGTGTGACGTCATATCAATGGTTTAAATTAGCATTACTGCCTCATTATGGTGCATGTATTATGTGCATACGTGCAATTGTTGTTTGTTCTTCCACTGGCTTTGTGAAATCAATTTAGCGCGAATTTTTTTTTCCCAGTTTGCATCTGTTTCTGTTAGGTGTACAACAACGATAATTGCCAAACAAGAACAACAACAACATAGGCCAAATTTCGTTTAAGAATCGCGTTTCATCAGCAATTCCTTATTGGCGATTGTTTGTAACAATAGTCGAATTCGGTTTCCGAGTACATTGCCTTTGAGGAAATTTCAACAGTGAGGTTATTTCAACCTTGGATTTTTGTCTTTTCAGCTAAAACGTACGTTTTCCGCCACTGAGCAAGTTTTGCTCATAATCCTTTGGGCAACACATACATTTTCATTTCAGTTACGTCGCACGATGCCAAAACAATCATGTTATAATACCAAAAAAAATATTCACACGTTATATAAATTTGACTACTGGTTCGCGAGGTGTGTCCTTAATTATAACTATAATAGTATTATTATTCAGATTTACATCCAAGCATGCACCAAAAACAAACAATAAATTTAGCTCATCAAGTCACGGTGGTGAGTATAATTATGACTCTGTTTTAACTCGGCACCATACAAATTACAGACATAACACAATCACCATTTGAAACTCGTCCCATAATGTCATATGTGTTTGCATATCAATCATAATTATACTCATTGCGTTTTATTAACTTTTTATTCTCAGCTTTTCATATACATTGCTAATGCAAACAACCAGCGAAAATAGTTTCAGTAAAAGTTTATATCGTAATGAAATTGGAATCCGTGCGAATTTTATGGCATCAATAACTCTCTTTCGAGTACGCAGTAATAAAAAACAATTAAAATCCGAAGGCTGATCATCGTAATCCATTGAAGTAATGCTTTAAAAGTCAATATAATGTATGCAGATGAATGAGTTTGCACTTACATGGTCTGTGACGCTATAATGCTCAGATAAAAACAAATTGCAGCGTTATCGGCCTTCTCGTGATTAGATTTTTCTGCATTACAGATTTGTTTCGTATGGAACCGATTCGCCGTATTCGTGTATCAATGCATAAAACCTGAACCCTCTGAACAAATAATGGCGTTCACCTACCGGTACATTATTTTTATGCCATTACAACATGTATGTCTTTCGTTGTAGGTATTCGTTTCTGCTCTTTCGTATCTTTCTGTCCACGAAATATTCATAAATTTATTTTGGACAGAAACAAGAAAAGTTACAGTAAAGCAATAACGATTTCCATTCGCAAAAACAGTCACTGGTCATGGAGTAAACACACAATCCCAAAACAAACAAGTCTGGCAATATGGATGAGTGCGACTAAGTCAAGTTTTAAGACTCTGAAACACTGCATGTGATTCGTCTCTGACGAACCTTGGACAAAATATCATTATTTAGGTTTAAAATCCCTTTAATTTATGTAACTTAAAAATAAATTATACCTTTATAAAATGAATGACACCTTTTTAGCCACCTACACACATCTAAGCTTAGGAGACATTAATGGCTCAGGACAGCTCCGAAAACGAAACGTTTAACAACTTTACTTTGTTGAACATTTCTATCCTTATACCGTGGTAGTAAGTTCCAATCCAGGTACAAGGTTGGTCTGTTCCATCTTGCATAGCCTCGCTAATTATATATTCGCATAAGCAGAATTCAGAATTTATATTTGCATACGGCATTAAACCAACCCAGCGGAACAATGGTAAAATATGCGGGTACCGTACGCCCACAAGGCCTTGTGCAGTAAAAAAAGAACAAGAAAAAACATATTGTGCCTATGCAGCCTAAGCAGAGTGTTCAGCACTGTTATAGACTCAATTAGTGGAAAAGTACGATTTTTTACGACTGGATTGTACATGCGCCTTCTTGTCTCTTTACAGTAATTGTTTATATCTTTTAAATGGACGGTTTAGCGATGGCAAAACATCCTGCGATAACCAAATCGGTCAAAAAAAAAAATTATTCCTTCTCGTTTTGGAAAAACTGTAAGCAATAGGCCTACATGCCTACATTTAACCAGTAAGAAGGGCAGCATTTTACTTAAAATGAACCAGTTCGAGAAATGAAGGTACAAATGCCAGAAAATAAGACGAATGAACATTTATTCGAATTGCTTATTAACCGAACTCTCGCAAACTGATGTCATTGGTCCCGCTGTATATTTGGACCTCACTGCGCATACTGATAACTATCAATCAAACTATTAATATTCATTTATATTTTCCAGGCTCATCCAATCACTTGTCAGCATGGGTTTCATCGGTAACCTCGTCCCCAAGGAGGACCAAACGGCGACCATACTCCAAACTGCAGATTATTGAGCTTGAGAAGGAGTTCCAGGATAACATGTACCTCACACGGGACAGGAGAACGAGGTTGGCCGAGGTGTTAAACTTGACCGAGAGACAGGTTAGTCTTTGTTCCATAATACAATTACGTGTTCCGCCCAACTTCGTTTGTTCTATTTCAAAGAAAAACCCACTTTTGTTCTATTGTGAGCGTCTGCAACAGAGGCGCAGCTACGGGAGGGGGGGGGCACGCCCCCATAAACAGTCGTCCCCCACTGGAAATTTGGCAATTTCAGAAAATCACAGTCCTATAAGCCTCTGTACTAATGACACTTCGTTTACATGTGCACTTTCGTATGGAGCTAGTGGGGCCCACCGTCCATTGAGCACCATACGAAAGAACAAACGTAAACAAAGTGTGACGTCATTAGTACAGAGGCTTATTAGTTGCCATGCTTAGCTGGTTTAACATAAAGTGGAATTTGTGCACTTTTTCTGATTATTACCACCCCCCCCCCTCAAGCTCATACAGATTTGCCTGAATTATGGCTGGACTGCACATATTTCGTCATTTGGAAATTAATTATTCCATCCCTAGGAATTAATTAAATCATTACTAACGTGGGCTGATTCTTTAGTCCGAGATGATATAGACTGAACAACTTTGAATTGCTTGGGAAAAATCGAAATGGCACATGAACAGCAGCTCTAGAAGTTGGTATGTTCTTTCACGCATTCCGAACATTTAATACGCAGAGATGCCACCAGTATATCAATAAAAAGCCTGAAACACTACTAAAAAACCTGAAACTATCCTTACCCCCTTTCAAGAATGTGTTTTCTGGATGCTTCAGACCAAATTCAGCACTTTTAATTTGTCACATTTTTTGAAAAAAACCTGAATTCAGGTTAAAACCTGAAAAGTGGCATCTCTGATTGTATACGTGCCTCACCTATTCCTGTCATCCCTTCACTTCAATTCGTACTCCGGCCCTGATACCCCTCTAATTCCCCACTTATCTTGTCATTGATCAACCGTTGCACCTCTCTCTTCTTACCCCTCCTTAAAGGTGAAGATCTGGTATCAGAACCGGCGAATGAAGATGAAGAAGATGACAGAACGAGAGAAGCAAGAGCAGCAGCAAATTGAGAGAGAAAAGATGGCTCTGGGCTCCAAGTATTTTGCCACTCACCATCATTAATTATTTTTTTCTACTCAGCACAATGACTTTTTATAAAGGGTTCATTTTTCGACTTGTACAGATTTTCAGTGCTGCCCGTTTATGGAGGATATACCCAGTGGTTTGTCGCAGATTTGCAAATTAAGTCATTTTGATCACAGTTCGCACAGCCCGCCAGGTTTAATACGTACATGTTCATTTTTTCAGTTTCATGTCGAATGAAAATTGTTTCTTGCATCTTCTTATTTTCTAAATGGATTTGGGCGTTAAAAACGTGAAGAATAAACTTTCAAAGTTCAGCCAGCTTGTTTAACTACATAAACATGAATTTGTTATTCCGGTATAGAATTTTCAATTTAAACATGGTGAGACCTATGCAAATAGGCTAATCTGAGACGGGCTTGTTCATAATGGAAATGAAAAAAAAACGTTTTAGTTGAAGCGACCATGGCTTCTTTTTTTTAAAGTTTTTCACGTAGATGAATTTAAAGACTAAATCGCCCATGAATCAGTAAGTGGTACGACTTGCACTAAATGAGTTGTGTTGTTGCATAAACAGAAAACTCATCCCAGCCCCGTATTCTTGCCACTGGTTTTCTGAAACTTGTCTTACAGTCCCGGAGGAAGGTATTATAAAGATTTTGGGTTAAAAAGCAATGATCAATTTATTAAGGACATGACAGAATTGTTGTTTTCTTTTATTACCGTACTCTTTCTATATGTATGTTGAAATGCATGAACGTGGGAAAGACAAACTTAAGGATAAGGATGGGTCATGGGACTTTTAATTCCAAGATTTATAGCAAAATATGGTTTGAAAATGTCCTTTGGGCTACTTGTTTCCTTCCGAAGTCATTCGAATATTTAACTAAAATATATTCGATTTGGGCTATCTTACCCAGCTTGTATTTTCCCAACGTTCGCTACAATTTCGTTATCCGTTGCACATTTTTTTCTATTATCGGTTCTGTTTGTATATATGGCTCATAAATTAATTTGTCAATTTTTGACTGTAAATATTACCACAAACGACACTGTGCTTGTTATTTGGGCATTTTTAATAGAATTCAAATATAACTTGGTTTTAGAAAATCCTGAAAACATAAATGGATATTACTGAACATCATTTTAATATTTTATTGTGCAATGCGGTATTGTGGTGTTATTCTAATAAACACGTTCTGACGATTTAATAAAAGAAATTAACACGTAGTGGCGTTTTGTCAAAATTAACACATCGCGTTCGAGTTAAAGATGATTCGCCGTCCTATTTCAAATTTCAATCTCCCCAAAAAAATACTTTTGTTTTTTTCCCATTGCTATTTTCCTAGCAATATTAAAGTTATTCACTTTTGAACGAGACATCGAATGGAAAACTTCATCGACGTTTAGTTATTGAATGATTTGTCACAAAATGCAAATTATTGTTCTCCCGGTAATAATTCGGCTCTCGCAGTGAGGAATCATTTGTGCGCAGAATGAAAGCCCTTCTTTCAGAGGTTTGCAGATGCCCAAAATCGGGGGAAGTAGATTTGTTTTGATACAAATAGCCAAACATACAAATTGAAAATCCGTCAGCACGGAGCATGCATACATGTTTTCCTGGAAATGTTTCTTTATAAGTTCAAAACTACATTTCACCTTTTCCAACAAACGTATTGACTCTTTTCTTTCTCTCTCGCCGCTCTCTTTCACTCAAATTTCAAGGAAAAGTAAATTAACTACTTAAAATAAATAGGTACTAATTCGACATATTCAATTACAGGTATATTTGATTATTATTGTGCCTTTTTTTTCAGAATCTGCGATAAAGTTCAAAACCTTACACAACGGCCGAGTTTTATAAAAAATTTAAAGACAAATCGTTCAATATACATGTGCGTGTAATACACGTTTGAAAATGATCTCGGACTCATGAGGATGCTAAAATAAATTTTTAAAAAGGAAAAACGTTGGATAATTCCTCATGGATTTGCACATAGGTTTGGGTTATGGTCGATGAATAAGGGGCATTGCAGCTATCTCTGAGCTGTGTACTTTTGTTCCATGTGGATACATAAGAGTAGACATCTTGTCTGTTCATGCAAACGGACGGTCTAGCCAGACGGAATTGTGGGGTGATAGCATTGTGTTCCCATTATCCCTTTTTCTAAAGATTCTCTTCTGGGGTGATGTTTTTCTATTGTGAAAATAGTGGGGTGATGTGTCCTGAAAGGAACATCACCCCACAAGGAAAAGGAATGGGTATGGTCAGAACGGCAATTTCAAGCAAAGACTCCCACACAAAGAACAATTTCGCTAAGACGTATTCCCAAAACACAACCCAAATTGAGTAAACTTGTGGTAAATTCACATACTTTATTCACTTGTGTAAAAATTGACTAATGAAGTTCAACAGGAAGTTCTACCAGCGTTTTCGATTGCTGAAAACATCTTTCTTTTAATTAATGTTTCATAGAAGTTTGCACTAACCATTTTTTTCTGCATCCTATTGATATCTGTACAACAGACTTTCATGTGCTGTATCTTTCCATTTTGTAATCGTTTTTCGAGATTGGCTTTGGGCCTAACCCAGGTACAAACCATATCCATTCTCATCGTTTCATAGATCTCTTATCTAGACTGACTAGATTATGTTAGCACTGTGCTGTTTGGGTTAGCTCAAGTGATTTCACAAACTTCATTAGGCCTAATCAACAGTACAGAACACTGGGTCGAATTTTTCACTTATCAAAACCTGCACAAAACGTAAAGCCAAAGAAATGGGTGTCATATTTATGGAGCATTCTCCCCCACCCCAACCTTGGAGAAGGGTGCTCCAAACAATGAGGGGACAAAATTAGCTGAATGTTGCATTTCCGAAAGAGAGTACAGTATGAATAAGGCAGAGAAAATTTGAAACTAACCGTAAATAGTAAAACCACTCAACATTTCAAAATCATAAAAAATATTCTACAAAAAAAATCATGATTGTTGCCAAAGAAAATTATGACATATCTTTACATTGCTTGATGCTCCTCATAGGTTTCAGTACATGCTGTCACATTCCTGCAAGTGGTGGATTTTGGAGTATCCTGCAAGATTTCTCAGAAAAAAAATGCCCTGGGGATTATGAATTAAAGGTAGTGTACAGCACTGGCAAACATTAAAAGCAATACTACCCAATAATAATGAAATGCCTTACTTGACTGTCAGTAAATAGTAGTCTCACACATTGTGTGAAATCATGGTAGCTGGTGTGCTGTCATTTTGAAGAAAAGTGGAATTTTGTATATTTGTCCAGTGATTTGTTGAAAGAAAATGGCTTTTTTCAAATACTGCCCCCATTGACCGAATTTAGTTGGCCCACATTTGGCAGAGTGTGCAATTGTTATCTCAATGTGACGGTGACTTGGCTGATGACTGATGAGGCCAAATGATACACATGGCCGGCCACAGAATGATGTTGCAAACATGGGCAGCATTTGGAGTCTCTGGTCTTTGCTTCCTTTGCAGTCGTTGGGTTCTTGCAGACCGTATGCGCCATTCCTCAAAGGGTTCTGCTGCTGTCTTCTGCGAAAGGGGCGCAAGCCAACTAGTCTGGTTCCCTCACCCGACAATACCCTGATGATTATAAATTGTTCAGTTCTGTCTGAAGCACCGGGTCAGGGAACCAGCCTACAAGAACAGTATTTTTTATGTTTTCTGGCATACGCGAACACAAAACTTTAAGCAAGTCAGTTGAACGATATTTGCTATAAAATACCATCCATTCCAAAATTACAGCAAAAGCAAATGTACATAATGGGGACCACCCCCCCCCCTACTAAGGTTTATTTTTAAGGATAAACATTGGTGAAGCATACACAACAGAGAAAAACTTAATGAACCATACATCTCTTGGCCACTTAGCTCTTGATTATCACATTTGGGAGAAAATCCTTGCTGCAAGATGTGCCACCTACTTGAGACTGGCGTTGCAGAGTGGTACTGACCTACACAGGTTAACTATTAAACAGACTTTGGTTTCACGCAGGTATACCCACTTTTATGTTAATTTTCCATTGATGCTGGGATCATTCTTTTAACTATTTTAAATGATGCTTTGACAATTACAGTAAACTCCGGCTAAACCGACATCGTACAACTCGTCAAATTGCTCAAGTCGGCCGTCTGACTAAAGTCCCGATTGTCCATAATTCATTTCCATTGATTTTTTTATTTTTAAGTCAGATTTTATAAGTAGCCATTTCGCTCAAATCGTCGTGTTACTCTCGGTCCCCTTTCCATAAAAAGCATTACAAAATCCTTTGTGTAAAAAAGTCGGAATTCAACAAATCACACGTCGAGTGAAAAGAGGTTTTGCACGGCCCGTGATCGCTGCATGCATCGGTGTCGAAAAAGGGTGTCCTACTGCATACATCGCATATACATCGTGAGCATATCAAACAGTTCCCCCTCTAGGCTGTACGCATGAACTCTGTCCATTTTGGGGGTTGTCTTATTGAATGACTAGTGCTGCAGTCAATGCGTGCGTGGTATATACCGGACCACACATGCATTTAATTCGTTACTGTGCACGTACCATTGAGCTGTATAATAAAGAACCTCTACGGCACGTACATTTGTATCGTGGTCTCCACTATCAATTAATTTGCAGGATTCAACGCAAGCATTAAGGAGATAAACCAGTGTAAATCAAAGCCAATTAGTGCAATGAATCGTGTGTGCAAAAAGGCCATTCATGTAAGTCGGCAAAATGACGACTTACAGCAGATATCGGCATTCGCGTAAGTCGTCACAAATTCTCGGGTCCCGAGAGTGCCAACTTAGCCAAAGTTTACTGTATTCAGAAGTTGTTTGGACTGCCGATCTGAAACAGATGTTAGGGTTTGAATCATAACTCAGGATGTCCAAGGCAGGGGTTTGCTTTGGTTAGAAATAATCTTTCATTTTCTCTAAAATCAATTTTTTTTTAAATGCATTGTTTTTTACAATAAGTAAAAAGTACAACCAGCGGTGAAGTAGGAAAAAAATTGGAGCTACACAAAGGCAACAAATACTTATTTAATTCTAAAAAAGGAATAGTTTAAAAACAGCCCCAAGAATATTTGATTTGCTACTCTGAAGCACTAAAGGGTATTAAAACGGTCAAGTTAACTCTTTTTACAGATAATTAATTGCCTTAATTAAATGGAATTAAACAATGAGCACTGACATTTAAATCAATATATAAGCTCTTCGTCTTAAACAGGTGCACTGTACTCAAAGAGTTAATTGATGACATGTAATGCAAATTAAAATGAATAAGTTCCCTTATACCAACTGTAAATGGTGGCCAGTTTCACTGCAGATGCTATGTCGTGCCCCCTTCTATTACTTGCAGCGGCTGATGTTGCTGCTGTTGTAATTGAAGGCCTTGTTGTTGCTGTTGTTGCTGTTGTTGCTCCTGCTGCTGCTGCTGCTGCTGCTGCTGCTGCTGTTGCTGCTGCACAGTGTCTTCTTGATCCTCTTGGGACTGCTCTGATCGCTTTGATCGCTGCCAAAATAAAACATCAAAGCATTTTCAGAATGTGTACTGTCATTCACTTGAATAAATTACAACTTCAATATTTAGCCCTTTAACCCTTTCCTTTAATCCCCTTTCATGACAGAACCATGGAGTTTTTGGCTGGTGGCACAATTTCATTGAGCTGCTAGGCACAAACTATTGCTTAGAACTTTTTGTTCTCAATCCGCTGAGAACCAGTCTCAAACACTACACATAACAAGACAGTTTGGCCAGTGACCTGTTCTGTAGGCATGTGGGGCAAGTGCGACTAGTCGCCAATGCTAAAAAGCATTGGTAATGGTAGTCACGACCATCAATTTTTAGTTAGTTGACTAGCCGTTATGCCACGACTAGCAGTAGCGCCAAGACTTAAGAGTTGCACCGCGCTGCACACTGTAAGTCGAAAGTGACTAGTGCATGAACATGTACATGCACGTACATGACGTGCATACATGTAATTATAGGCATGATGATTCTGGACAAGTCTGATATCGCTCTGAATGCTTATTGCGCATGAGCAGACCCATATGATAGATGTCTTGCTCTATTAACCAGATATAACTCCAACCAGTGGTCATCCAAGCTTCTCAGGTTTGAGGAAGAGGATGCTACCATGGGTTTGCATATCTCCTGGGCCAAGACCAAGATCCAAAACACTGGTTCAGGACCGTCCCCCGATTCCATCACTGTGGCAGGGCAGGCAGTTGATGCAGTGGAGAAATTTACATATCTTGGATGCGACATTCACTCAGATGGATATTCCTCACATGATATCCATCGTCGAATTGGTTTGGCTTCTTCAACCATGGGCCAGCTGGACCTTGTCTGGAGAAACAAACACCTCACTCTCCGCACCAAAACCCGGATCTACACCACCTGTATCCTACCAATCCTCTTATATGGATCTGAGACATGGACGCTGCTCAAGGAGGATGGACGTAGACTCCAAGCTTTCCATATGTGTTGTCAACGCCGCATACTTGGGGTGAGATGGTATGATTTCATCACTAACGAGGCCATCTCCCAGAAAACCAGGCTGGAGGATATTCGCTGCACTATATCTTCACGGCGTCACTCCATCTTTGGGCACATTCGTCGACTCCCTAGCAACACCCCAGCACACGCCGCTCTCAAGCTGGCCGTTGATGCATCTACAGGAGTCAAGCCTGATCCTGGTTGGTCACGACCACGTGGCCGACCCCAAAACACCTGACCATGCTCTGTCAGCCCCTGGCCTGTGGCTCATCTCGACTCATCGGTTGGCGTGGGTGGCTCAACTCCCATAGCTGGATTTGGAGACTGATGATGATGATGATTACTGGCTAAATAAATAATTACTAGTTGCGACTAGTCGACTAGTCACAACTTTTGCTCACACAACTAGTTGGCTATTGAAATTCACTAGTCGTATATGCCTACTGTTCTACTAAGCAAATAACTTCTATGCAGAGTCAATTGTTTTGCTTACAGCAGCTCCATTGACCCCAGATCACCGATACTTACCTGCGGAGGCTCCTCAATGCGGATAGGATTGACCTGTCTCTTGGTCTGGACTCTCTTGACCCCTTGTTGCTGCTGCGCAGGGGAGTAATATGTCACACCTCCAAAGGTCTGTGATGGGGGCTGACCTGGCCCTGCTGCTGGGGGTATGGATGCACTGCCCCCCTGGGGTAGGGGTGGCACCTGGGGTGCAGGGGTCTGCTGGGGTAGCATAGGTGGGGGTAGGGTGGGTATGGGACCAGGTTGGAGGGGAGGAGGCTGGGAGTGGGGGGTTATGCTCTGTAGAAAAGACAGAATTCAAAACAAGATGGAAATGAATTTACATTCATTAATATATATATGAAATAAACTATAGCTTTTCGATTTTGTTTAAAAGTTCATACAATGCAACTGGAAAATTCATCAAATTTTGAAACTTTCCATTGGAAATATCATACAAAGTTTTCATTATAATGCTATGGCTTAATAAAGGGGTAAATCACTGATCCTAATTCAGCAGAACAATGAAAATTTCAAAAGAACTTACACCCATTTGCTCCTTAATGTTATGTGCAATTATACAAAGCAATGGTTGATGATAAAGAACAATCACTATCCGGTTTGTTAGTGTGACGTCACTTCAGTTTAAACCACGCCCACTGCACATTAAGTAGCATTGAAACCATTGGCACCGAAAGTTAATGCAAAGTGAGTGTTTAGCCAATGGGCGCTGGTAATCAGTGGTACATGTGCACTGACAAACCGGATCCTGACACAGCTTTTGTGGACCCCCTTAGGACCGCAACAGCACTGTTTATCGGTAATACAACTGGAAGTTTCTCAAGTGGAGATACACACCGGCAGAGTGACCTGGGGAAATTGCTGCATCTGGACTGGGTTATTGAGCTGATATTGCTGGCCTGGTGAAGCCCCGTAGTTGACATAGTTGAAATGTGGAGGTGGGGCAAAACCGCCTTGGGGAAGGGGTTGCTGAGGCCTCAGTGCCACGGGGTGGATAACTGACGGGTTGGCTATGTGGGTTGGGGAGGGGTGTTGTATGCCTGAACAAAAAAACAATGAAATGGAACATAATATTAGTTGAGTGTTCTACGCTTGAAAATGATAAATTGGCTGCTACCTGATTCTTCCAGTGTCACTGACTGCAATCAAGGTCATCTTCTAACCAATAACTTACTTTGCTGAATGTAACTTCATACACACATTTTCAAAACAAATAGTTGACATTCATAAAAAATGAATTCTAGAGACACCACCATTCAAGCTCATTGGGCAAACTTTTGTATGTAAATTAGACCTACCCATAAGATGGAATTTACATTAGAGTGATATAAATTAAGTTCTTTTTTTTTCTTTCACTGACACATTTTTATAAACACTGTATACTCAATTATCCCAAGTGATTGTGAGAAAAAAAAATCACGAACTACTCAGGCAGGACTCAAACTAAATCAGGTTACATTAAACCTTCCAATACAAAGATGGCTTTAGGGGCAGGCTTCTGTTGTCATTTGTGTCACTGCTTGACCATAACTCCATTGACATTTTTGCTAGATACCTTCGCAAATCCTCCAAGTCCATTGCACTGCAGGAACCAGTGGTAAATTTGATGTAAAATGGGTATCAAGCCCCATGTTATAGACATCCCTCAATCCTCATAAAAACTCCAAGAGGAATTGAATGATCTGTGAGTACAACAGTTTAATAATACAAATGAAAGTAAAACAATAAAACAGAAAATATCAACAGACAACCAACCTGGATGTATCGGCACATCTCCTTGCAAGATGATTCCCTGTGGCATCACGCCCCCTGGTATAATGGTGGGAGGCGCTTGGGAGGACGGGACAACACCCATCCCTGGAGGTGTTGCTCCACCATGTATGGACACTGATGTGTTGGGTAGTGTGTGAGGGGGTGTGCCACCCCCACCTCCCCTGCTGTGCTGCGGAGAGCTAGTGGCTGGAGGTGTGTTACCCTGGCGACTGTAGCCAGGTGGGGGAGGACCCTTGAGCTCACTCTTGTAGAATGTTGGGGGATGTAAGACAGGTGTGGCTTGGCTGATGGGAGGGGCCTGGGTGATGGGCGGGGTGTCAGCTGGTTGGCGTTGGCGTTGGGAGGAATAGCGCTTTGGCTTCAAGGGCTGTAGGAATTTACACAACAAAACAAATAATCTACAAAGCCTACCCAAGAACAAAATAGAATACTGTGATTTGTAAATCAAATTTTCATGTTTTGGGTATGCTATTTGACAAATGTTTTTTAAAAAACACCACCAATCACAGTTCTCTCATCTTATTTACAATAATGTGCAAATATTGGGATGTCAAGTCCCAGATAAAGAAATGGCAGGGTTCCATAATAATGGTTTCATAGAAATCAGGTGAACATCAGGTAGGTTTTGTTGGTGAGGGATATTAAGGTATCAGACCTACCTCTCTCTTATCACCCTGCATTCTCTCTGCTATTGGTAAGCTGTCTTCAGATTGGTCAACTCTTACTTCTACGCAGAAAAAGGGGGTTAACAAGTGAATCAATCAAGGATACATCACAGAAATTTTCAATACATACAACAAGCATACTGGGCTAGTCAAAAAGAAAGTGACCGGTATTAATTATGTTTTCCTTTAAAAACACATTTCAATTTGAAGTACGTATTAAACGAGCATGTTCTTCCACTCATCTGAAGAAGAAAAAAATAACGAATTGATCCTTGCTATCAGGAGCTATGCACGTTTTACTAAAACTTAAGGAACCATTGTTAAAGCTGTCCATGGAATAAAGCTTTGAAGCTATTCAGCTGAGTGAGAACCAGAGATTACATGCACGCATTCACATTCAAGTGAGGTTTATTTGTGAGTCAAGACTGAAACATACTCATTAACACACTGAGTATACAGTGTTTATATGTCGGTGAAGGGCAAAACCTAAATTGGATATACATCACCCGGACGCAAAAATCCCATCTTATGAACTGAAACATTACTTAGACTGTCAGATTTTGCATTTTGTATTTGAGGAATACATAAAGTCTTAATCTGAAATGAGAATGGTGATTTTTGTCTGTTTTCCTTTGCAAGTTTCTTGTGTTTGTCTCTTTACCTTGGTTCATTGTACATGTGTATTTATTCAGATTTATCAATGTGTATCAGTAAATGATCAGTGGTGGATAGCTGGATTCTGTGATATTTCTATTATACAGGGATGGCATGTCAATTTTAAAAAGTCTGAAAATGAATTAAATGTCTGAAGGATGCATACTTTATAAAAAGTCTTTCTCTCGGATGCAAAAATCTAAACAATCTCATGCCTTATTATAATAGATATAACGTGTGAATAGAGTATGCAAATTAACCAAAATTTTCAGTTACTAGACAATAAGGCAGTGTCCAAAACGTGCTTCCAGAGCTACGTCTATATTCCGTCTATTGTCAGCACAGCCCTGCGTATTTTCAAGGAGCGCAAAGCTAGACCTAGCTCTAGACAGCAGATTCAGATGCAGCCTAACATGTACTTTAATCCTATGTTATTTTAATAAATGGAACAAACCACTTATGTTTTAATATTTCTTTCTTACTCGGTCGCTTTCTTTCAGACTCATCCTGTATAATATGACACAATTGAGTACATAAATGCTAACAACACTTATATATCAGTGTGCTAACCTGCTGAGGAAGGCGTCGGCAGCAGACCCTGTGACTTGCCAGGAGGTGATGAGCCAGCTTGTAATAATCCTTCCTGTCTCTTTGCATTCACGTTACTTCTGCCAGTCTTAGCCACAGCCTTAGCCCAATCTCCTTCCCCACTCTCCCGGCTTGGTTCTTGTCTGTCCGTTCCCCTCTGGGGACGATCCCTCTGGTAGGACCTGGCTTCTCTTGGCTGTTGCCTTTCTGCTTTCTGCTTCATGTAAGATGAGCCCAGGGCTGGGAAGTCTTCTTGGGCAGGCACTTTCTGCTGTCTGTCAGACTCTGGCATTCGATGATGCCAGTCTTTCTTCTGTCCCACACCCTGTTCTCGTCGATTTGACCCAGAGCTGCTATTTATCCATTCCGTCTTATGGGGTATCGTTGCTGGCTCAGGTGTATTCTGACCACGATCATAACTCTCCCGTCCCTGACCCCTAGCCCCACGACCTCTCCCACGACCTCTTGACCTTCCAGACCAGCGACGCTCCCGAGTGTAATTCCCAGGGGGTTCTTCACCATTTCTTCCGCCTTGATCATCATTGTTTTGTAGAAGCTGTTGATTGGTCTCTATTGATGTAGGTGGCACGTTGTTGTCATTCCAGTCTTCTCGGGAAGGTTCTCGCCTATGAGGTTGCTGTCTTTTATTGCTGTAACCATCTCCTTTGTAAGACTGTTCTCGATTGTTTAAGCTTTCTCCAAGGTTGTATCTCCGACGGCCTTGATGTTGACCTCTTGGAGACTTTCTAGATTTAAAAAATAATATGTTCTCAACATCCAAAGATTGCATAATTCTTGGTGACCCATTCTTACCGCAATCAGTGTAGCAAAATGGCAACTAGAAATATAATAAATGTCTTTTCATATGTGGAATAAAGATAATTTTCATAAAAGAAAATACTGAAGAATAAAAATGGATTATGAAGCTGTATTTTTTTTGTGAATATTGTAATTTTGAACCATTTCTAAAGTAAACCCGAGTGATTCCAAGTATTGGTGAAGCTAGCCTGGTGATATGAACCTACCGTTGTTGTCGTGACTGCCCAGTCTTGGGTGGTTCATTGGAGCTGCGGACGTCGTAGCCATAGACGCTCATCATTTCTCCCCGCGGCTTAGGCACCTGTTCTTCCTCAATGTATTTGTCATGTAGCCATGTGTTGTCCTCCTTCCACAATTTCTTGTCATTCCCCGGTCTTTGGAAGAGAGTCAATAAATAACGACTTTGATAACAGATTCTATTAAACATAACACCAAACCCGATACTTTATTACTATTCACTCATAAAGACCCCTTGTAATTTTTTATGCCATTCTCTTAGTAATGCTGCATTCCATGCAGGTGAACACATTTTTACCTGATGCAGCATGCAGTTAAAAAAAAAGACCACCTGAACTAATATCTCATTGCACAGCAAAGGGATTGTATTCAAAGAGGACACAAGTTCAGGTCTTGGAACAGGCTTACAAATGGATTATGGAAACTATGGTCCCAGTGCAGGAAATGTAGATTGGTCATTCTATGCATTGAGGGTCCAAAGTGTGATTTTTTTCCTGTCCCTGTTACCTTGGTACTTTGCCACTTAAGTATCATCAACCCTAGTCTAAGGGCTAGACGTTGATTGATATGCGATGATAACCTTCCGCCGCAAGATGGCCCTATCAAGACCAACCAATATCACTCACGAACCCGTCAAAACAATGTCTAGGCCAATTCCTATTGGCTGTGTAATGCGGGCGCACCTGTTTGGCCTAATATATGCAGCGTGCAATTTTAAAAAAACATAGCAGTTCAAAAGCAAATTCTCGAAATTCTTCTAGCATAAAAAAATGCAGCAAGACATTTGTGTAATTTCACTGGTCAGCTCTTTTGTTGTGTGTAGTAGGCCCTATGTGTGGGACTGAAAATGGCCCATAATTGCCTAAAGAAGTCGCGCATACGCACTTCTTTCCCCCATTTTTTTTATGGGGGGGGGAATTTTAGGAACTGACCTAGACGTGGTTCTGACTTGTTCCTGGGTGATATTAGTTGGTCGTGATAGCAACCTCTTGCAGCGGCAGGTTATCGCGTATCAATCAACAACAACGTCTAGCCCCTAGACTACATTAACCCTAACCCCCTAGGCCTTTCTGCTAGGATGCATCACAAAACCTTCAAAATCATCAATTGCCTCCTTGTAAATATTTGGATAAAGCCTCAATCCTCCAAATTCATTCATTATTTGTTAAATTTGTTCATTGGAGGAGTGGCCACTACCTCAATCCTGCAAAATACTGCAACGATCACCGTTAATATGTTGAGGCAGCGCTGGTGATATCCAGAAGCAGTGTGGATGATTTCAAGTACAATCTAGGCTATTCATAAGATGAGATTTGTTTTCGTCTGGGTGATGTAAATCAAATTAGGTTTTAGCCCTTCACTGACATTTAAATGTTTTTGCCCTTCACCCGCTGCTATGTACAACAGATTCGAACCAACCAGCTGATCCCGATAGCTCCTGGGTTGAGTGGTAAGACATCTGCACTAGAAAGCACGAGGTCGTGGGTTCGAGTCCCACCCGAGTGAATTTTTCCAACTTTCGCTCGGGGCGTTACACACCGAGTACACAGTGTTTATACGTTGGTGAAGGGCAAAACCTAATTTGATATAATCTAGGCCTAAATTTATAAACGGCAAAGCATAAACAACACAAGGTAGAGCCCGTAAACTTGACACAATGAATCCTCCCAAATCAAGTACATGTACACACTTTTGCCGTACAGCCTTAAGCCGTCGAACTTGCCCTCTTATGCAAAGAGGAGAAACCCCCCGCCCAAAAAAAGTCAAGTTCCTACCTTTCTTTCTCTTTGTCTTCTTCAACTTCCATTGACCGGACATCGTGCATGAAGTAAGGGCCTTTTCTGGGGATATAGGCAGGGTTCTTCAAGTCCTGATCAGCATCCAGCTTTTTGTCGGCTTCATTCTTCAAAATAACCAACAGAGGAAAGAAAATCCCAATCAATGGCAATCAGTCAACAATTACACAAGGCTGCAATTGGAAACCTCACTGATACATTCATATTATTACAAACTTCTGATTCCTTTTGTGAAAGAATGTTGATTTTGCAGGCAGATGTTTAATTTTTCCCCAGCATATCTCTGTGGGCATCTTTTCGAGAGGCATTGAGGTCTTCACTAGTAAGCAAGAGGTTGTGGGTCCCAGCACAGTGTGACTGTTCCTTGCAAACCCTCACACAGCAAAATCTTATTGTGATATTTCTTTCCATAATGAACTGCTACGAAAATTGCCACTCTGTGGTAAGATCTCAGAGGCACACTTATTCTAAATCATTCATATTCAAAATGAAATCCAACCTCCTCATCTGCATCCTCAGGATTTTCTTCATCGCTGACATCTTCTCTGTCAATCTCTCCTTCCACACCTTTCTCCCCTTCCTCCTTTTCACTGTCCCTATCATCTCCATCCTCGGCTCCTGAAGACTGATGCCTCGGTTCCCCCTCAGAAGCCCCTTCTTCCTGCTGCGGGGACGAACACAGCAGGGAAAAAAAGAACAATATTCAAAACAAGAAAACCTGAAAATGAAGACAACTACATTTCCTTTTTAAGAAGGTGGATTATATAGGAGAGCTCCATTTAGCAAAACCAAATAGCATCCAGCTATTGTGTCTACAATGCCTAAAAAAAAATTTTTAAAGCCAATTGGTTATGCACCTAAAAGAAAACCTTGGAATAAGTGTTTGTAGAGAAAGCTTACATCCTACCAGTATGTTACCATGTAAGGTCGTGAAAATGTATGACTGCTGCAAAGATTAGTTTTAATTGTACAACATGACATTTCTCAAGTCTGAATAGTGACAAAAATATTCCAAATGTTCCATTTCAAATACATGTAATGAAATGCAGCCTGCTTCTCATGTCAAGTTTCAGCAGTTTGAAACACCCTGTTATTTTTGAGAAATGTTTCATCAGAAAGTTTTTCCTCAGTTTTATGACTTTACCTCTCCATGTACTTCCTCAGCACTCTCATACTCATCAGTGTCTTCTTCTTCCTTATCAAATATGGTGTCACTTTCCTACAATCACACAAAAAAGCACAGTTTTGAGGGTAAATCCAAGTAATAAAATACACCTGCTTCTTGTTGCTACCTGCTTCGTTTTTCCCATCCACTCCAAAGGTGTGAGTGACCACTGATAAAAAATAGCTGAAAAAGGTGTAAAAAAGCTGAACTTTGGAAATTTCCTATACTATTGTACACAGCAAGTGAGGGAAAAAAGCTGAAATCCAAAATAAAAAAAGCTGAAATCAGCTTTAAAGCTGAGATTTCACACCCCTGCACTCTACATTAGCAAATAGCAATATATCTTGCAAATATCTTGTCAATATATTGTCTTTTTATCTGTTTCCAACAAAATTGTGCAATGTAGAAAGGGTTATGGCTCATTTGGACACAATTTTTATCAGCACAAAAAGTCAAGAAAGTTAAAGAATACAATCTCCATCTTAGTCTGCCATGTTGAGGAACAAAAAGGGGGCTGTCTCATTCCCTTTTTAAAAAAGCCTGGACAGGAAGCTATTTTCTTCAATGCAACATTTTCAACTGCCAATTAACAAAATGGGTATATTTTTTGTCAATTGTATATTGTACAAATGCCGGATTTGACAGTGACTTCACTCCTGAATTCATACATTCATATTCTTGAACTTTAGAGACTCTCCGTGATAGGAATGCACGCTTGTGACCCGTTCAATTCAGAGAGCTCCCCTCCTGATCGTGAACATGTTAAATTTCTCACTCACGTTTATGTTTGAACGACGCGATGTTCACTCGACGGTCCTCGTATCCAGAGTGCGATTCCGTTAGGGATCGCGCGCAATGCATCCATTATGATAATGAGTAGACTGGATCACGTTTGTAAACACAAGTGCATTTCGAACGATAATAGGGAGTCGGGAACTAGGGCAGATTTTATGAACGGAAACCTGTTCAAGTTAGTTCCCGACTCCCTATCATCGTTCGAAATGCACTTGTTAAAGTTTACAAACGTGCTCCAGTCTACTCATTATCATAATCGATGCATCGCGCGCATAACGGAATCGCAGTCGGGATACGGGGACCATCGAATGAATGCTGGGCATGATGACCACATCGCGTCGTTCAAACATTAACACAAGTCGGAAATTTAACGTGTTCACAATCGCGAGGGGAGCTCTCGGAATTGAACGGGAAATTTCACTTTTCATCCGGATCATAAGTAAACTTCAGTACAACTTATCAAATTATCAATGTCTACTTGTTTGTACCTCAGGTGGCGTATCTAGTTATTTGGAGGCCGTTTTGGGGGTGAAATCTGATGTTTTTGTTGGGCACTGTTGGGTTTTTGGGTCAATGACAGAATGTGTTGCTTGGCACATAAGGATTAGCTTGAACCCTACTATCGCCAGACCATGTCCGAATGTTAAAAAGGCGATAAGTTGGGTCCAAGTTACTCGGACTAGTCGGGTTTCCTACTGGTGGGACTTCTACCGTTTTGCGCATGCAGAACTCGGGGTACCAGAGTGTCATTCCTGTCTTTGATTTTCTGATCATTTTGAAAACGTTCGTTGTGACAAAGTTGTGCCGTACTTTTTCAAAGTCAAATTTCTTGGCAATGACAGATTCAGCACAATAAATTCACAGGAAGCCTAACAAGTACACACATGTAAGTGATTAACCTATGTGCAAAATTAAACATGGTTATAAAGATCAAAAGATAGAAGCATTTCGCTTGTATATTGTTGATGTACCCTAACGTGGCCATATCTACCCGGAGGGCAAAAGATAAGGTAGCCCGACTGCATCTGGCTGTACAGTACTATCGCAAGCTCTGTAGTACGGCCAGACAGCCAATGCTCCCCTAAATGCTAAACTCTGATGTAGTGATTTTGCTACCCATTTTGATCGCGACTACATGTATCTTCTCATCCAGGACAGAAATTTCCAAAGTTGAGGTTCCTAATTGTAGAGTAACTCATACCTTTTCAAAAAAAATGTTCTTTTATCTAAAAATCTTCATCCATCTGACCAAAAAACGACTTTCAATCATCATCTCCCACAAATATCGTCCCGTAATTAATGTTCCTCCATTCAAAATGGCAGCCGCATTGTAATGTATGCATTATGCGGGCGTGCTTGAGCAAGATTATGAATATGCATTGTTCAGTTCATGACCTCGTGTTTGTATGGCCAGCCACACCGCGCGCCTGACAAACGTCATGAACTGAATGCATATTCATAATCTTGCATAGGCTGTCTGGCCGTACTACAGAGGTTGCGATAGTACTGTACGGCCAGATGCAGTCCGGCTAAAAATAAGGCATCAGAATACCACCGTATGCTGTGGTATGTAGAAAAAATGCCAAAAAAAGGTGCGCCAGGCTTTGGACTAAACTCCTCAGTAGGTTGGAAAACCTGGCATGTGGCCGAACGTACAGCGCAGCAATACTGAGGCCACACAAGTGAGGCTAGTTATTTATCTAAGTTTATCAAGTTTACAGAAATTCTGAAATGTTAATTTGGAATTTTCCGAGATGTATTCAAGTGCGCCACGTTAGGGAACACTCCGCCAATTTGTGCCCAATTTCCGCACGCCACCGTTTTTGAATTTCAGATTAAATTTTATGAAACCGAAATTGTTCACCTGTTCACAGAGGCATGGAGGTTAAATAGCAAGCATTAAAAAAGGTAATCCTTACTTTTAGGACACCTCTATTTTGTACGAGTTCTGTTCAAAACTGACTTTTGCAGATGTCTGTCCAGTACCAAAGTGACTTTTGCAGGCTAAAGCAGTCTTTTTTCTTCATATAAACTCATGTTAGTTGAAATTTTGAAAGCACTTTCATAGAAAATGTGACTTTCCTACCTTTTTTCGCAGTCAGACGTGCATGTTGTAGTTCTCACAACACAGTGAAAGCCCTACATAATGAAAGCCCAATGCTGATTGGCTGCTAAAAAAATTAAATAAGATGTTTATTTTTTTATCAGCCAATCAGCATCGAGCTTTCATCGCATCGAGCTTTCACGTTTGCCATCTTGGTTTTTGAGTCTGTTTTCTGGTTGTCATCGTCGTCTTTTACCCCTGAATTTCCCTCATAAATCAAAGCCCTGCCCTCTTTCCACAAAATTAAACCTGCTGATATTCAAGAAGGTGTCATTGCCAATTGTTCAGAATCATATGTGCCAAGAAATATCAGAATGTCAATTTTGAGTGTCATTTAGTCAACTGTTTTGGTCGGTCCTACTAAAGTGCATCAACAAGCGTCAACAAGCGTCTACAAGCCTCAACAAGCCTCAACGGTCGTCAACGAGCATCAACAAATTTTGTATATGCTTTTGAACATTAAAAGTAGCTTTATATGGTAGAAAAAGCAATAAAGAACAGTCTTCTGCATATCAATTAAAGTTAAAATTATTCAAAAACTTGGTTTTTTTTACACGAAATGTACGACGAATTTGTCGATTAGTGTTGGCCCCCATCTTGTTTGGATGGCGCTGTACACTTCGCGCATGCATAGTAGGGCTAAGCTTCACGTAAACAAGATGGCGGCCAACACTGACAAATTCGTCGTACATTTCGCGTAAAAAAAAAACAAGTTTTTAAATAATTTTAACTTTAGTTGATATTCAGAAAATGTTCTTTATATGGTAGAAAACTTTTTCTACCATATAAAGCTACTTTTAATGTTCAAAAGTAAGCCTGCAAGTTTGCGGTTTGAAAATTATCCGTGTAACCGTATCTTTTGCGGTTACGGTTAACCGTAACCGACATTCAAAGAAAAACAAAGAAAAAAAAATCTTATTTGTTACCACGTACGTGTGACGTAGGGCATTGTTAAAACACCATTGCAAACGACGCAAATAAATGTACCAAGAACGGCCCCTGCCCCAGTACAATGCCGACAAACGATGCCAACGTGTACATGTATTTACTCCTGATGAGCACGTGGAAAGTGATTGTTTACGGTGATTGCCTTCCCCTGTCACATCTCAGCCACCATCGTAGACTAGACAGTCCCGCCCCTAAATACAACCAATCATGATGCCCAGACGAGCACGTGGGAAGTACTGTTTACGGTAATTACCCGCTTCCTGATGCCCTATTGGCTCTCAGCCAACATCGTTGACAGCCCATGCCCCCCACAAAATAATTATCATCCAACCAATCACGATGTATTGCAAAAAGAGTCCAAGCACGCGGGACAATAATGCTTTGTGTGTATTCTTATTTTTCTGCGGCGATGGGCGATATTGGAGGATTATTTTTATTATTATTTCGTTAGGCTTCGGGGGAAACACCTTCTGGTCAACTTCGACACCATTTTTTTTTACAAGAATTTGATTACCGGCGGAATAATATGGAATGACTTGAGAAATGGAAAGCAGAATATTAAACATTGAAGGGACAAGAAATAAAATGTAGAATAACATTGAGTAAATTGAGAAGAAAAAGGCGAAACAACATTTAAATAAATTGACGAAATGGACAAGTGTCAAGTGATGAAAGGTCGTACAACATTTAATAAACGGGCAAATGGTGGAAGGCAGAACATGTTTTAATAAACGGGCAAGTGATAAAAGGCTGAGCGACATTTAATACATGGGTAAGTAATGAACGGCGAAAATAACATATTAATATTTAATGGTCAAGAAATAAGGTGGAATAAGTATAACATTTAGTGGGCCAAAAAAAAAGTGTACATTGACAGAAGACGTCCAATCCACTCACAGCTATTGTCTGGCGAGAATGCGTGAAGGCGGCAACTCAAACAGATTGCCCTCAATGATGTTTGGCGACGTTTACCGTACGAAGGATTGTGCGGCACTATTGATCCCACAAGACCCATGGCCTTTTTTTCACCAATATATTTATTAGGCCTACTGGACTATCGAGGCAAAAATACCCCCGTCTTCAACGGTAGGCCTATGCACAGTGGTTTAAGACCCAGACATTTTTAAAAAAAATCCCCCGGCTAATATTTAATTGCCAGCCTAGTTTTCTGTACCCAGAGATGGTATTTAAACATGCTTGATGTATT